AATTATCTCATTAGGATCTTGTGTACTTATAGTTTTTCACACCAGAGAGACTATTCGGTATTTACACATGTGTGACTTATTTATTTCACTTAGGACTATTAGTTCAGTTCAAATTAGCCCAACGAAAGAAATCAGAGATTTTCATTAAAATTATCTAGTACTACTGCAGAGGAAATGGAAATGTGGCCTTTCAGACTGGCAGGCAGTTTTTACTTAATGATGAGAAGATTATTCCTGTTTTTGTAAAAAGGATTTTTGGAGTTTTGTAGTTAGCATATATGACTGGAGAGGTTAGCGTTTAGTTCAGTTCAAATTAGCCCAACGAAAGAAATCAGAGATTTTCATTAAAATTATCTAGTACTACTGCAGAGGAAATGGAAATGTGGCCTTTCAGACTGGCAGGCAGTTTTTACTTAATGATGAGAAGATTATTCCTGTTTTTGTAAAAAGGATTTTTGGAGTTTTGTAGTTAGCATATATGACTGGAGAGGTTAGCGTTAAACTCAGCATTTTCAACAACTAATGTGAAATAATGCTTATTATGTTAATGTTATTTTCTGTTTCTTTTTACTTTAGGAGGAAAATAAAATTTTGTTTTATCATCCAAACGAAGTAGAAAAGAATGAAAAAATTAGAAACGTTGGTTTATGTGAAGCTATCGTACAGTTTACAAGGTAATGCTTTTAAATGTGCTTTTATAGAGCTTAGTGAATTCTTGTGACTTATCCTGGAGAAGTATTCCAAAAATATTCTTTTACCTTTTTTAGAACCTTTAGTCCATCAAAACCTGCAAAATCTTTACATACACAGAAGAATAGACAGTTCTTCAATGAACCAGAAGAAAACTTCTGGATGATCATGGTATTTACATACACAATATATCTTTTTGAAGTTGCATAGCAGAACTATGGGTGGTGTTTACCATTAGGAATTTAGGAAAGTCTCTTGGCTTTTGCATCAAAGTCAAATTACAGTAAAATCAGCTGCCATTTTAAAATCAAATTCCTATTTGGTATATTTGTTCTTGGAGCTGTTTTAAGAAATTATATTTTCAAATTTAATTTTAGTTATCATTTTTATGAGGCTAGAGACTGGGTACATGTGCTCGGCAAGCCCTGAGCTTCAGCCCCAGCCTCAGGTTTTTTAAATTAAGGCAAAATTTAAAGACATTTGTAATCACTTTGTTGTATAATTTCGACCCAATCAACTTTTCAGGTAGTTCGGAATCCTATAATTGAAAAACAAAGTAAGGATGGAAAACCAATTGTTGAATACCAAGAGGAGGAGCTGTTGGTAATGTGTCATTATTTAGTTTATATTTTTAGAAAAAAGTGTATTATTGAATATGTTGAATGATTTAGTCAGATTTAAACTCAGTGCATTTTACATACATTTTGTGGGGTCCAGAGGAGGAAACCTTTATGTTTATTGTTTAAATTATAAATTAACACAGTCTTTTAAAAATGTGTGTGTACCCTGCCTCACTAATACCTTCTACTGATCAGCTGTGTGTGACTCTTCCAAAACTAAGCTTACTGGTTTGTAAATGTGAGTTTAAATACCTTTTCTTTTCATAACTATTGTAGAACCACACTTGTAATCATTATATTGCTTTGCCAGTAGTCAGTGTACCTTTGCTATTCACAGGAGATAATAACTTTCTCTTGATTTGATGCCTGTACTCTTTTCTTGCTTTCCACAGGACAAGGTCTACAGCTCAGTGCTGCAGCAGTGCTACAGCATGTACAAGGTAAGCATGACATTTCTGACTGACTTCGCTCCAGTACCCCACTTACAGGCCTGAAAGTTATTTTGAAATAATTCTTAGGCTACAAAGTTCCTGTGTGTCTGTTTTAGGAGAAAAAGCAACGGGGTCTTTGAAACAAGTAGTGAAGTTTGTGTGCAATAATTTATTCCATAAATATCTCCTAGTCTTGTAATAAGAATAAATCTGTTTGTGTACAAATGAGTCCTTAGTGATGTTGCTTTAGATATTAGTTGACATTTTTAAAAACTGTCTGAGTGTGATGGCACAGCCCGGCAGTCCTAGCTATTTGGGAGGCTGAGGCAGGAGGATTGCTTGAGCTGGGGAATTCAATACCAGCCTGAGCAACATAGCAAGACTCTATCATAAACAAGCTTTTTGAGAATGATTAGGTGGTTTCATTAAAATGACAGTATCACTTAACAGTGATTATTTGTGTAATTTCTTTTATAGCTTAAGCTTTTTCATGTAATATAGAAAACTATTTGAAAAGAGGGGGAGGTTAATGACCTGAATTAATTAACTGTGCTGAGGTTGAGAGTCAGGTGTTAGCCCTCAACAATACATAAGAAGAGTTTGTATCTCTCAGATTGGCCATGACTTCTGAAGGGCTGAAAGGAAGAGCTTATTACACTAAGCAATAGAGAGACTCAGGAAATTTATTTCCTTCCCCAATGTTTTACACCATTAGCTTTTTAATGGGACATTTCTGAAAGCCATGGAAGATGGCGGTGTCAAGCTCCTGAAAGAAAGATTAGAGAAATTCTTCCATCGGGTAAGTATTTTGAGTTTTATTTATAACTGTAGTGTCATTCAAATAGATCTTTGGAGAAATAGGGATGCAGACAAGTTTGTTTTTTACAGACAAAACTCCAGAACTTGAACGTGGCAGAAAACCTAAGAGACACAGTGGCAAAACCTGAGCAGTGAGGAGCCCTGCGGGTGTGCGCTGTGCAGCGCTCTCCCAGCCTTGAGCAGCCTGCCCCTGCCCATGCCTGAGCTTCAGAGGCATCTTTGGGCTTTGTCTTTGTTCTACCAGTGTCTGTCCACGTGGGCTCCAAAAACAGTTTTTTGTTTTGTTTTGTTTTTATGCTGAGCACGGTGGTGCACACCTGTAGTCCCAGTTACTTAGGAAGCTGAGGCAGGACAATCCCAAGTTGGAGGCCAGTGTGGGCAACTGAGTGAAACACTGACTCAAAAAGAAAATTTGCAAAAGGGCTGAGGATAGAGCTCAGTGGTAGAACATGCTGGGTTCTATCACTAGTCCCCACCACACACACATCTTACTGTGTGTTGAATTAGTAAATTGGCAAAATTTAAACAGTTATGAGAGCTGCACACTCTTGTGGACTGGTTATATTCTCTAAAGAGGCATACTCTGTATTGACTCAAGGAAAAATATTTAGTTGTATATATTAGTATTGTTTTTTTAACAAGAAATTTTTAATCTATAGTTTTGATATTTGTATATTTTAAAAATAAATGTAAAACTATAAAATTTATTTTCTTATCTTTTGTTTGAGACAGAGTCTCCATATATAGTCCAGGCTGGCCCTGAACTTACAGCAGTCCTTTTGCCTCAGCCTCACGAGTGCTAGGATTACAGGTGTGTGCCACGACACCTGGCTTAAAGTTAATTTTTTTTTAGTAATCTGTTTCTAATGAATTGACTATTACATTTGTAAAGCTCTGAAATGGCCAGCAGACCATAGAAAGACATCCCTTTGGGCTTACACTAGTGTTTGTTTTTTGTTTTTTGTTGTTCCAGATGATGATATCCCTAAATACTTGCTGTTCTCTTTTATTATAAATTGAATTTTGCATATCTGACCCTTACCTCTGACAAATTCAGTTTATCTAAAAAGAGAAATACTCTATATCCTCCCTAAAATTCCTCTCTAGTTTGAATTCAGTTTTTCTTTTTAAAATGCTTTTGGCGTCTTTTTTGTTTTTATGAATTAACTTTCTTTGTTTCTTCACTTCAGTGACTGTAATTAGTCATTCCTGTACTATCTCCTGATACCTATTTTCGTTCTCTTTTCTCTCCTATTGATGGGACATCCTTCAAGATCGCACTTTCTGTCCATAGTCTTACTGTGTGGATCCCAGAGCCAAATCTGAGGAGCACTAATAGGAATATTTATTTATTTATTCAGTACTGGAGATGAAACTCGGGACCTTGTGCTTACAAGGCAGGCGGTGAAACCACTGATCTAAATCCCTGGCCCACTTATAGGAATATTTAACTACTTTAAAGAGATAAAACATATACTGAATGAATACTAACTAGTTAGGTGCAACTTTTCTTTTGAAATTGGTACAGATTTCAGATCCAGTTACCCATAGATTACCTACTTGTTGGTCATTGTGCTGTTTGTTAGTATGCAACTGTACCATAGGTATTAGTCTAAAATAAGATTATTTTCCATTGTTGATGAATGGTACATTGAATGTATTATTAGTAACTTATATGCCTTATTTTTTCTTAACAGTATTTGCAAACACTACATTTGCAGTCATGTGACCTACTTGATATTTTTGGTGGAATCAGCTTTTTCCCATTGGATAAAATGACTTATTTGAAAATCCAGTCCTTTATTAATAGAATGGAGGAAAGCCTGAATATAGTCAAATATACTGCGTTTCTCTATAATGATCAACTCATCTGGTAAGTATGCCCTGAGGCACGCCATATAAGAGAGTGAAGAAGTGGGAGTATTTTGAAGGGACTTCATGGCAATGTGTCTTACTGGAATAATTTTTAAAACTTAAGCATTTATTGTATATTTCAGTCATACCTCATATTGTAGAAAACGTCCTTTTTAGTGTTTTGTTTTGGTTTTTTTTCTTGTCTTAAACTCAGTTGTTTTTTGTTTTGTTTTGGTGCTAGGGATCAAACTTGGTACCTTGCACTTGTGAGGCGGGTGGTGGAACCACTGAGCTAAATCCCTGACCCAAGAAGCTCAGTTTTTAAGAATATCCAGTATAGGGGGTCAGGGATGTAATTCAGTAGAGCTGTACCTGCCTGGCAAGTTCAAGGTCCTGAGATGGATTTTCAGTATTGGGTTGGGGGAGAATATGCAGCATAACCACTGTTAAAATAAGAAATTATGTACTGTTACCAAACTATGTTTATATCTTATAGTGAGAACAAACACCTTTTTTAAAAAAGTCTAACGCTAAAGAAGAAAAGATAAACTATTACAGTTGTTTATCTAATGCCACACTTTGGGGAAACGTGTGAGTGAGCGTAAGACTGGAGCAGAGGTGACCTCAGGCAGTTGCGTAGTGGGCCAGTCCTGGCTAAGATGAACTCCTGAGACCCAGGAGTGAGTGATTGGCCAGCGGCCTTCTAGCAGCTACCTTGAGATTGCCTCAATTTATCTACCATAAACTACTTTCTTAAATTAGAGATGTGGTCACATTTTAGCACAAAAAACTGAATTCATCTAATGGAAAAGGCCGTACTAGTTGCCCTGAAGCTTACCCCACCTTTGCCAGAATTCTGTAGCTCTTTTTTTTTTAGAAAGAGAAGCAAGGTAATCTAAAGAAATTTGAGTCCATGTAGTAAAGTACATGGTGAGTTTCCATGTGAAGTTTTGTTTCCCATGAGGATGATATAACAAATTCCCATGAAAATCTGCTTTTTCATTTATCACATTGTTTACCAGGCCACGCAGGGTAGCAGGTAGAAGCCTGGTTGAGCTTCCCCAACTCAGGTCTTCAGGGCAAGGAGCCGGCCCACAGGTGCCTTGGAGATGCTGAAGCGCTGACAGCCTCCTGGTCACAGGGAGATGCAGCAGCAGTGGCCTCTTCTGCACTGTCAGCAAAGGGCAGCTCAGATTCTGGTCTCCGGGATAGCTCAAGGCCCTGATGTGGGTGTGAATGAATTCTGGAAGTGGGAAGGCCCAAAGCCAGAGGGTCCCCTCAAGCTCTGAGCCTGTGCTGGGAGACTGACTCCACGGTGACTAGCAGGGCTGGGTTTCCGCAGCTACCTGTTGCCCACTGCAGGGGGTCTTCTCCACATCATCGGGTGTGTGAGTGGCATCTGCTAGAAGTGAGCTCTCAGCTCCATGGTCCATCTGCCCTGCCATCAGGGGAAGGTTGGGTCCAGTGGTAATAGCACATTTTGACAGGCAGTTGCTTGTTCCAAAGTTGGTATGTTTAAATACCGTGAAAGAATTTTATACTTCGTGAGCAGAGTATGTAACTACCTATTTTTTTTCTTCTTTCTTTATTTTACTACCTATTTTTTTTCCTTTTTCAGAACTGGGTGTTGAACTCAGAGCCTTCATCCTGGCTACATTCCCATTTTATATATATATATAAGTGGCGAGGGCATACATAGCTCTTGTGTATAAACAAGGTTTACCTGCTTCTGACTACAAACCATAATGCCAAGGAAGTGAGATGAAGGTGTAATGCTTTTATCTTCACAGCAAAACAATGCTAAATAAACAAAAATTAAATAGATTTAATTAATCCTGGCCATTCCTACAGGGAAAAGGCAAGAGGACCTTCAATTGACTGGCAGTATTGTTTACAACAAAAGTCCCATTAGGCTGAGCCCCCAACTCTCTCTCTAGTACTCCAGCCTGGAATCCACAGGGCTGGGCAGTGGGTTCTTCTGCCCCAGAGTCCCCTGAAAAGAGAAGCGGGTGAAGTCCTGTGAGGCTGGATAGCCTGGCTGTGGTGAGGCAGCTTTGGGCAGCAGTGTCTCACAGGGAAGTTGACAGCATACTCTGAGTTAGTCCTCTGCATGGAAATGGCAAAGAGCTCAAAAGGGTGAAAGGGGAAGAAACAAGGCTTCAAACCTTGTATTTGGTGGGGCAGCCCAGTAAGCAGGCCTAGATCTCAAACTTGAGCAGGCCAGAGTCCTGGGCATAGAACGTGATAGGGTGGTCTCCATAGGTCTTGGGTTGCTTAATGACTGACACCTATTTGTCATCATAGCTAAAGAGGGACAAGTCCAGCTAAGGGCTGCTGCTGAAGGACTGGGCACTGATGGGGCGCTGACCCCACAGCCTGTGTACTGCCACTGTGCACCCTCCATACTTGGGATTTATAATTTTGTCTTTGAACCAGCACTGGATCTGCCTTGCAAAATTGTTGCTAGAGGCTGAGCAGGGAAACTGGACTCTACTCTGCAGAGTAGTGTTGTGGAATAGATCACAGAAGTTCTGAGAGAGCTCCAAAAGCTCATCTGACATATTCTCAAGCACAGCAGTCACTTCAGTTGTCACCATACTGTACACCATAAAAACCCCTGACAGGGCTGGGGTTTTAGCGCAAGGTCCTGAGTTCGATCCCGGGTACCAAAAAAAAAAAAAAAAGACACATGAGATGGATCTGTGACCCGCAGTATCACCACCTTCTCACTGGTATACTTGATAAATGTGGTTTTCGTCCAGAAGCTGCATTTTCCACATGTGCAGCTGTCACAGCTGGTCAAAAGAAGTGCCTCCGGGCCTTTGCACTGTAATCCTTTTCTGCTGGTGCCACCGATAAACCAGCAGCTGGTGTTTCAGGGAGTTGATGAGCGGATCCCTGAAAGGCCATGTTGGTCTCACTGTCCTGCTGTACCTCCAGGAAGACAGCTGGCACAGTGAGCAGGTCATCCTCATAGCAGAAGTGGCCAATGGTCCGCATGTCAATGAAAGTGCCTTTCGGGGTCACCTGGAAGGCATGGATGGTCTGCTGCTGCAGACAAGATGGCCAGGTTGTTTTTGTACAAGTATAGCCCTTGGTTGTGTGACTGGACCAGTTTATCACACTTACATGTGCATGTATCCCACAAGTGACCAATGTGAAGGTCAATAATGTGCAGGGAAGAGGCCTCTATGGGGACTGTGGGTTTGGGGTGACTGACTCACTATTCTGATACACCTCATAGGGAGGAGAGTGAGGCTCATCTGGGAGATAGGCTGCAGAGCAAAAGACGACACTGGCAGTCATTGGTGAGGGGGCTGCACTCCCGGTTCAGGTGCTCACCATTGGCCATGACATTGGTAATGTGCAACAAGCATATACAAAGAGCCGGCCCCGGATATTGACTGACTGCTGGTCATTGCCATTAGATGGGATCTGCCCTCATGGCCCTGTAGTGAGTCTTCTGCTGCTTGGCAGCCCTGGTATAGATTTTTTAGGGAAGTCTGGTCAGAAGAAAAAGCAATAAAGTAGTGTCCATCAGGTGAGAATTCACACAGGAAACAAGGAAACTTTTCAACATTGACCACTGTGAAGTGGGGAAGACTGGTGAGGCCATCAGCCTAGTGCCAATGGGTACCTGCCTTGCCTGAACTGATCCACTGACGTTCTAAGCGGTGGCCATTCTGGTTTTAGGTTCTTCAAGGTTTGATGGTGGAAACATGATGATCCATTATCACATCTCTGTCAAGTCCTGCCTCAAGGGGCCGGGGCAAAGGACACCCCAGCCTGTTCCACACGTACCTCCTCGGCCCCACCCCCGCCATTCTTAGGACCTTAGTGCCTGCAGTTCCCAGACCCTGCTTCCCAAGTTTTATTGTTTTGAGAGGGAATCTCCCTAAGTCTACACTTGATCTTAGCCAAAAGGCTGAGAAGCGATCTCCCTAAGTCTTTGAAGTTACCCAAGCTGGGCTCAAAGTTGCATCCTCCTGCCTCAACTTCCCAGAGTGCTGGAATTACAGGAGTGTGCCACCATGCCCAGTTTTATATATTTGTTAAATGATCTGATTTAGAATAGACACATCTTTCTGTGCTAGTACATGACTGCAGCATGGCACATAGTAGGTGTTCAGTAAATGCTGACAATTCAAAGAAAATAATGGTAGAAAGTCATCTCAGAGTACTGATTATGCATTAAAAATGGATTTGTTTTTTATAGCAGCCATTGCCCAGGTTAGATATTTATTGCTGGGGGTGGGGGTATGAATTTCCTGTCCTGAGCTTTTAGCCAATTTTTTCTTTTTAGTGTATTAATTTACTCTTCAGGAATTAACACTTTTGTGAATGTCTTAAATATTTTTGAAGTTACTCAGAGTTGAACATACTATTTTGTGCTAGATTATTTTTATTTGATATGCTATTTAAAGTATATTTTATTCTTATTTATGTGTTTATTTTGAGACAGGGTCTTACAATGTAGTTTAGGCTGCCCTTGAATTCACTGTGTAGCCCAGGCAACAAACTCAGGGATCCTCCTGCCTCAGCCTTCCCAAGTACTGGGATTTCATGCATTCAACTCCACACTGGGCTTCAGGCTATACTTTAGACTAAAGTGATCCTGAATTGATTCTGCATTGACTCATAACCACCTTGTTCTTGGTATGATTTCTGCTGAAAGTAGTTCAAAATAACTTAGCATCTCCACCGGAAATAGGGTTGGGGAAACTAATGAAAGTCCATTTAGTAGCTTAGTTGTAGAGCACTTCCTAACATTCATGAGGCCTGTGTTTGATTTCCACACTTAGGGCGGGGGGAGGCCTCATTCCTGAAAGTCTATTTAGCATTGAAGTAAAAATAGCTCAAAATTTGGTACAAAAGGAAAAATCAGTCTTGACAGAGCAGAAGTGCCATGCGCACATGGGGTATTTGCACTGAGCTACATCCCTACCCCATTATTTTTTGTTTTGAAACAGTCTTCATAAGTTTCCCAGGCTGGACTTGAATTTGCCATCTCCTGCTTCAGCTTTCCAGGTGCTGGGATTACAGGCCTGTGTCACCACACCTGGCTCTGGTTTGATTTTTTTTAAACCTTTTATTTTGAGATCATGGAAATTGTAAGAAATTTTCCCCAGTGACAACATCTTACCTAACTATAATGTGATACTGCTTCGTTTATTTTTGTAGTGGAGAAGGCATGGTGTTAGGGGGACAGATGCTAGAGAGAGAGTGACCATGTTCAGAGCTAATGGAGGCCTGACAATGGAGGAAGACATCTCCTTAGGCACGGTGGAAATCCACCAGCTTGGGATTCTGTGCTCTGAGCAGCTGGCTGCAACTGCATTCAACCTTTTTTCTCCTAATTTCCTAAAACTGATATAAAAGTGTTTAAAGCCTGACTAGTCTTAAGTGAAATAGTTAAAAGAAAGTTCAAGTAGCAGTTCACAAACTTTGTCTTCCATTTTACCTTCTAGCTTGTGTGGTTTTTTTGTACAGGGGGGTTGGTGGTGGTGGTATTGGGAATTGAACCCAGGGCCTTCACACTAAGTTACATCCCAGCCCTTTTAATTTTGAGATAGGGTCTCACTAAGTCACTAAGTTGCCCAGTCAGAACTCACAGTCTTCCTGCCACAGCCCCTCAGAATGTTGGGATTATAGGCATGCACCACCATTGCCTTTTTATTTTATGTCAATATTTCTACCAAAAAAGTTGGTATATTTCCATATATTTGATTCATTCAGTCTGTCTCGTTGGCCATATGAGACTTTCAACCCAAAAGTGGTCTTTCCACTTGGCAGAAGACAGACCTGCCTTAGGGTGTAGGGCTTCCCTAGAGTTTTAGTTGGGGTCAGCACTCCTGAAAATCGAACCTTGAAAGTAGAGAGACGGTATCAGAAGAGGAGGAGGTAGGAGGTGGAAATTTAGGGCCCAGAGAAGAGGGCAGGACAGGCCTGAACTTTTTCCAACAAATGACCATACAGGGAAAAGAAGATAGAACATCAGGAATATGGTGTAAAGGCCTGAGTCACCTAAAGTGAGATTTTCCTCTCAGGATGTTTTGATTATCTTGAGTAGAAAAACCCTACATACAGTCTCATTGACTGTCTCTTTTCCTAAAAAAAATATTTCAGAGGGTCTGTCTGACACCTGCTAGTTCCTCAGAGCTTTTCCTATGTGCTCCTTACTCTTGCTACCTTTGAGGTTAGATGGTTTGCCTGAAAGCTTGCTGTTTGTCTCCATGGAGATCCGAGAATAAACACCATTTCTGAGACCTAGGATCAAGCTCTCTGTCTCCAGCAAACCAGCGTTTTTCTGAAATGCATTTGTGTTACTGTGTGGGACAGGAAGCCAGAACGTCTCTGCTGGGGTGCAGCAATGTGACTATTAAGGCTCCTTAAGCAATCCTGCATGAAATTCACTCCAAGAGGCTTACCTGCTGGGACTTTTTTTCAGATGGTGTATAAAATGTGCGACTGGAGGCACAGGCTTCAGTGGGTCTCGGTTCATTCTCTCCATACCCTTCCCAAAGAATGAAATTCTTCAGGGATATAAAGGAAAAAAAGGTTGATTTCTGTCCTGGAGCAATGGAAAGATGAGCCCAATTCCACACTTGTAACAACACTTTTCTGATGTTTCAGGAGTGGATTAGAACAAGACGACATGAGAATTTTATACAAATACCTCACCACCTCTCTGTTTCCCAGGCACATCGAACCTGAGGTATGATTAGGTTGTACGAAGACACATGCACATACTGAGGACTGGGGATGAGGGCGCATGGGGCATTTCTGAGCTGTATTTGACATTAGTAGTGTGATGCTTAGTGATCCAGCGGACCCTCAGGTACAAACTGGCCTGACATAGGAACAACTTGGGTTAATTAGGTTAATGGAGGATTCATCTGCCTGTTATCTATAGCGTGTACCCAGGTAAACATCCAGATCTCAGCTGTATTGACTTAAAACCAACTTGAGTTATAACCAGCCCTTGTGATCCAATCAAGTTTGTAAGTCAAGGGCCCACTGTATTTAGTTCGTTGCATCAGTTAGTAGCACGGAAAACCATGCATGTTAGCTTTTCTCTACTCTGCTGCATCCAAATACAGTAGCAAAGATATATTTTAAGAGGAGTAATTCATCAGGTAGAAAAAAAATTGGGTTTGGGGAATTCTGCAAATACCAAGGATCTCTGACAAACACTGGTTGATCCTGCAGTGTCTTGTGAGACAGAATTGTGTAAATCGTAAGTATATAGTATACTGCCTCTCTGACTTTTCCACTCTGGTACTTAATTTCCCAGTTTTCTATAGAAAACTTTAAATAATACTAGTGCTTGCCCCAAAGTATCCTTTTGTAGCTTTAATTGGGCTAGAAGGGAAAGATGTTCATAACCCATAAAACTCGTTTTTGCTCCGGTGTATGCATGCACTCTCTCTGCTTGCAAGGTGTTTCTGCCCCCCACACTTTCCTTCCCATCTTCCTCCTCTGTATTGTTAAGGTCTTGATTTGAAACAACAGGCAAAATCTCTTTAAGAACCCAAAAGGGCTTTTGAGAAGGGTCTCTACAGCTCTTGGCTGATTTCTGGTCAGGTGGATGCAGCAGCTGACAGTGTGGAGAACCGTATACACAGCCACCATCCCCAGCACCCCTGCCTGCCCTGTGACCTCAGACAGCAGTCTCAGGATTTGGGTCTGTTACCTCCATCCTGCAGATGAGGCTGCTTGGGCGTAGGAGGCATCAGAGCCCTACTCAGGGTCACTAAGGATGTGGCAGAGCCAGGACTCAACCTCAGTATCTGCTGAGTCCCCAAACATCTGCTTGTGACACACTCCACAAGGTCCCTTCAGGTGCTCCTTACCCTGTGAGCTGCCACTATCTCACTAGAGGACTCTCTGATAATTTAGTGTATGCCTACAGAGCAAGGTATATACAGGAAGGTATATATAGGAAGCCACAACATGCAGAGTGACAGTGTGACCCCAGATGCCTGAGGTCTTCTCTCTTGAATGGCCCATGGGGATGAGAGTTTATGGCATGTTTGGGTCTCCCGAGGTTGTGTGCTAAAACTATATAGACCAGAAGGGCTTCAGACACTTCTAAAAAAAAAAAAAAAAATGCCAAATTTCAGCTGACATAACTATTGGATTGGGTTTTTTTCATTTCCTGTGTGTGTTGAAGTAGTATGTCTTCAGGGGTGTCAGCTAGGAATGTGTGATAAATACAAGTCTTTGAGGAGATGTGGTGTTATACCTAAAGGCAGAGACACTGGCACCAGACATGCAGGCCTGGTGTTGCCGTTTGACCTTACGCAGGAGCTGTGTGCACGTTGGCACACTCCCACACATTCCAGCTTCCACATGTAGTAATGGGACAAGGACATTCCCCACAGGGCGATGTGAGATGGCCCTAAGTAATGTGTGCCACATGAGAAATCTCAGCTACTCTTATAAAAGGAGCTGAGTGGTTTGTGGATGCAGGGTGGGGTACAGTTGTCCTGTGACCATTCTCATTAAAACTAGTCGGTTCTGGACTTTGGGAATCCGCCCCTGTTGTTTTGGTGGGGAGAAGTGCAGGAAATCAGTGACACAGAATGGCATGAAATCAGCACTCTAGCAGATAGGAAAACTGTCAACATTTTGAAAGTAAAAAAAAATCTAATCAGTCATTTCTCAATATTAAATGTATTTGCAGTTGGCCGGAAGGGATTCTCCAATAAGGGCAGAAATGCCAGGAAATCTTCAACATTATGGGAGGTAGGACTTTTGTTCTTTGATTTTACAAGATTGGGTTTCATTATCTTTTATGGGAGGTAGGACTTTTGTTCTTTGATTTTACAAGATTGGGTTTCATTATCTTTTCTGGTAAACTTGTAAACGTTGAATTACCATTGTGCTATTTCATGACAATAATCAAGAGAGGCAATCCTGTTGTTCCCAGTGAACTGTAGCTCTTTATCATGTTTTGGCTTAGTGTTTTCCACATAGTTTCTGGGTTCAAAAAAAATTAGATGTTTATTGAGTCATTTATTGAGTTCCATTTATATATTTCTCTTTATAATTTACCTCATTGAGTTGACTCTCTTTGTGCTTGCTTTTAAGATTTCTTACTGGACCCTTGAACCTTAATGATCCAGAAGCAAAATGCCGATTCCCGAAAATTTTTATAAATACAGATGACACTTATGAAGAGCTCCATTTAATTGTTTATAAGGTAAGAACTGTTTTTTCCTCCAGTGTTACAGATTAGTACTGAAGTAAATCTTCCTTGCATGTGTTTATGACTATAATGCAGAGCTCTTACGTGTTTCTTGGAGAAGATGTTGGGAGTTGTAATTATGTAAAACTCAAAATGGGTGCTTTTCTGGAATAGTAGGTTTGGTGCAGCTCTTTTGAAAGTGCTATTAGTGGGGGAGTAGCTAGCTAAGGTGATGGCTCTCACAGGCCAAAGATTGTGCTCCATTCGTGGCTGCCTGCCAGCTGAATACTTTCTAGGTGTGGCCACACTTTAGCAGATTCAGACTTTGCTCTAATTATAAAGCTGTTGGCTTGCTAGTTCTATAAAGGGATAGTGTTTTGAGTCTGTCAAGGTACTACCCTGTGAGGATATGTGTACTAGTCTGAGTTTTTGTTTTCTTTTGTTTTGAGGGTATGGGGACTCTCTTTAGTGCCCCAGGCTAGCCATGAACTCAAGATCCTCCTCCCCAAGTAATCCTGAGTGCAGGAACTACAGGTGCACCCAGCTAGTTTTCTTTTTCTTTTTTTTTTTTTAAGGAAGTTTTTAGTGCCAGAAGGAAGACTGGATACAGGTGTTTATTTTTTCCTGCCTGAAGCTACAGTTCAGTTTTAATTCATAAAGGCTTAGAATCGGTGCCCCAGGAGAACAGGAAGGAGTTCACCAAAAAGTGAGAGAACCCCTGTAACTGTCTGGAAGGTGGAAGGAGATGTGGGAGTGATGTCCAAGGGGTGAAGAGAGGAGGAGGAGGGCATGAGAGCTGGCATTGTGCTGAGATGGGTGCTTGAGCCCACGTACACTCCTGACCTGGAGCTGGTCTCCTGCGGGCCAGGAGTGGGCTCTGGGTGTGGGAAGAAGGGGCACAGACAAGGCCCAGCACAGTGCTGCTCACCTGTGATCTCAGAATTCTGGGAGGCCGAGGCACCAGGATCACAAGTTTGAGCCCAGCTTGGGCACCTTCGCAACTTAGCAAGACTCTGTCTCACAATAAAATATTAAAAAAAGGGCTGAGGATATAGCTTAGTGCAAAGGCTCTCCCTTTTCATCATGTCAAGCAGAAATTCCCTGCCCATCGATCAGTTGTTCCCCCACCCTGAAAATACAGTTTTTTGACATTCTGAAATTGAAGGGTAAAGTTGGCTTGCCCTAGGATGTGAGATAAAATGATGAGAAACATATGGGAAAGAAAGATGAGCAGGGGAGATTGATTTCAGAATTTCTTCACCTGATTAGCTGACAGTGGAGGGAAAGAAGCTAGTGGAAGAGGAACACAGTGTTCCAGACAGGACAGACATTCTGAATGTCTACCACACTAAATAGCCACCGCCTCCATCCAACACTGGACAATTTCAGAAAAGAAGATCCTAAAAGCTTCCAGAAAAAATTCCAGTAACCAGAAAAGAACAAAAAGCTGGTACTAGTGGTTTCCCACCTGATATTAAGTGACATACAAAAGAGGCTTCAAAGTTCTGAGCAAAATGGTTTTTGATGTAGACTTCTTTCCTAGGCCCAACTGTCCACTGTGGGGGAGACAGATGCATCAAACATGAAAAGTCAAAAAGGGTGTGTCCCTGCCTCCTCTTTGGGTACAGCTCAGGAAGGTGAGCTCTTGGTGAGAATACCAAGGTGCCTCATTCATAATATGCTGCATCTGAGAGATTCAGTTAAATACGGGATGGGGTAATGCCAGTGAAGTGGGGCATTCCAGGCAAAGCAGCATAAAGATGTGATCTCAAAATGAGCCACACTAAAATGCACAGTTTTGTGCAGTCATTGGAATTGGACTGCATAAGCTGTTTCCCGAGGGTTGGGGCTTGTAATTTTCTTGTGATGTCGTTTGTCTGGTCTTGGTGTCAGTGTAATGTTGGGCTCACTGAATGAACGGGAAATATTCTCACCTTTCCTGGCTTTGTGAAGAATTTGTGAAGGATTAGTGTTAATTCTTTTTAAATGTTTGGGAGAATTCGCAGTAGAGCCACTTGAGCCTAAACTTTGTAAGAAGCTTTAGCATTATTAAATAGCCAGATATGGTAGCACACACCTGTAGTTCCAGCATTTCTGGGAATCTGAGGCAGAAGGCTTTCAATTTGAGTCCATCCTGAACAATTTAGTGACACTGTGTCTCAAGCTATGTGGCTTAGTACAAAGGCCCTGGATTCAATCCCCAGTACCACAGAATAATTATAATAATAAAATCATTAATGGTCTACTTGTTACAGGTCTATTCTGATTTCCTATCCTTGAGGCTGTTCCCATAGTATGTGTCATTATTTGTTAGTTTATTTGGTTTATATAATTTTTTATATATAATTTGGTTTATATAATTTGTTTATATATAATTTTTCATAGTGCATATAGCCTTATACTCCTTTCTTTTCCTGTAAAGTTGGTATTGATGTCTCTTCTTTCATTCTTGATTGTTGTCATTTGAGTCTTCTTTTTCTCTGTAGTTTAGGGAAGTTTTTCACTTTTGTTGATCTTTCCAGAGAGCTAACTTGTGGTTTCATTTATTGTCTCTTTTACTGTTCTGTTCTCCATCTGATTTACCTCTGCTCTAAGTGTTCTCGTTGCCTTCCTTCTGTTTACTCTTTTCCAGGATCTTAAAATGGAAGGTCGATTATTAATTTGAGATCTTATTTTTATATGATTGATTACTTATGGTCTTGGTTGTAGATTGCTGTAATTTGCTAATGTTGTAATATTGCTTGCTAGGATAAAGTGAGACAAGATGGTACCAATTTGTGGTCTTTTAAAAGTTGTATTAATGGAAATTGTCAGGCACACGCAGAGATTCTAAAATAAAGAACCCCAAGGTACTTGTCATAGTGCTTAATATGATGATAATCTTTTGTCCACCCCTCCTCACTATTGTGTACTTTGTTTGTTGAGCATCATCATATCACTTCACTCATAAAGTCTCACACCTGCCTCCCTGGCTGGTGAGGACATTTATTGTGCCATAACCACCATGCCATTATCACATGTGACAAAGTCTACAGTGCTTGAACACCATCTGCTGTCCAGTCTGTGTCCACATTGCTGCAGTCTCTGAAAAGGATCTTTTTATACAGTTGGTTTGTTCAAGTCAAGATTTAAGCATGTTTACTGCATTCAATTTTATATATATATATTTTGGGGGGGTACCAGGGAACAAACTCTGGACCTTGCACTTTCAAGGCAGGTGGCAGCACCACTGAGTTAAATCCCCGGTCTCAATTATTATTTTTAAGCCTCATTTCTGTGCCATTTTCTAACTGCTGATTTGTTTCCTCCCAGGCAATGAGTGCAGCCGTGTGCTTTATGATCGATGGTAGGTGCACATCTGAGTCTTGTTACAGCCTGAGCAGATCTGCCTTTTGCAATTTGCTCTCTCTTAAATGATAAGCATGTAGTCATAAGCAACATAAGCATGTGTTAAGGGCTCCTCCCTGTCTGGGACTTCTGCCCCCCTTAATTCACCGTTGCTGAGGTTTCAAACGCCTGGCCTTCCCTCTTGGCCTCAGTAGGACCTAGGTTCCTCTTTGTACCTCCCTACTTCATGGTGGGGTTGCAGCGGTGCCTGCCACAGTGGGACTTGGGGGATTAAACAGGTAATACTGTAAAGCACCAAGTGACATCTGGGCCCTGAGTGCTGCCTTGTGGGTTTTTAAAAAAATATATGACCTTAAATCTGCCTGGGACATGGCCCTTTTGCCACCCCTCAGTAGGTGTACAAATCACACTTCATGCCAAGAAGACAGTGCGGTTCTTTTTCATCTTAAATATAACTAATTGTAGCTCTTTTGTTTTATTCTTAATTATAAAATTGATTCATAAAGTTTTCATTTAGATACTATTAAATATTAGATAGTAAAATGGGTATGGACTTTTTTGACACAGAGTGTTACAATGCTGAATGCTCTTTTTCCATTCCCTCTCTAGCGTCCATTCAGCTAACGTTGGAATTTTGCCGAAGACTGGACAGCATCGTGGGGCCCCAGCTCACAGTGCTGGCATCTGATATCTGTGAGCAGTTTAACATCAACAAAAGGATGTCTGGGTTTGTACTTCATTTCACATTGACTTTCAGGCACTTAACTGGTTGTGGAAGAATAAGGATGATTTTTACTTAAGAAATGGGCAGCAAGGACATTGCTTTAATGCTGAAGGGTAGTGATGGCTCTTGATTCCTTTCCCAAGGGCCCCCAGAGAACTACACCCAAACTTCTGTGCCCTACCATGGGGCTGGGTCTCCAATTGGTGCTTTTCCTCAGCTCTCCCTGAGGCACTGGAGGTGTGAAAATGGTTGGGGTGGTGAGGAGTGGTCTGTGGTGTGGCTTTGTGAGGACCATAAAAGCCACCCCAGTTCAGCGGGCCGGTTGGTGTGTTCTGGCTGGCAGTGTGATCAGCATGGTGTGCCCTGTGGGGACAGAGAGCACCTCACCTCTTGTGCTAAAGTGTCTCGGGGAGGTGACTGAGCTGGTGTTGGTTGAGTCTGGCTGCAACAGGAGACTAGGGTTTAATTCATGTTATTCAATAAGAACCCTGAAAAGTCATCATCTTACTTACTTTTGTATCGTGGAGACAGAATACCCAACACCCACAAGTTAAGGGAAGAAAGGTTTATTTAGCTCACAGTTTGCAGACGTTTTAATCTATAATTGGCTCCAAGGCAGGGAGGCATGGCAGACAAGCATCACAGAGGAGAACCAGTTCATGGCAAGCAGAAGACAGCAAAAGCAAGCAAGCAAGGGAGAAGACAAGCTTCTTTCTGTCCCCTGTATTGTATCCAGGCTATGAGGATTAGGGCAGTACCAAACCAATGTACTGATTTAGTAACTACACACCTTTAATCCCAGCATTATACTCTTGATTCAGCCATCTCTGAAAAAGCCCCACTATGACCACATGAGGCTTTGGGGGAACATCTGGACCCAAACCATAACATTCTACCCTAGCCTCCCAAAGACTCATGTACATTGCTTTGCACAAAAGGCATTTAGTCCATCTCTAAGAGTTGCCAGAGTCCTAACAGTTTCAGGGTGGGTGAAAAGTCCCCACTCCAAAGTCTCCTCTGAGATTTAAGGCAAACTCTGTGAGCATAGACATATTCATTCCAAAAGTTACAAATGGGAATACAAAGGAATGGGAACAAAGCAAGTCCAAAATCCAGTAGGGCAAACATTAAATCTTACAATTCCACTTCCAGCACTCCCAGCAATCTATGACAGGTTGTGAACCCCACCCCCACAGGACTGCTAGTAGTTGTAGCACCCATGGCTTTTCTCTTGGGCTGCCTTTGCTCACTCCTTTGCTCACTTTCCTTGGACAATCCATGTTTCTGGCTTCTCTAACCTTCTGGGGTCTCCACTGCACCTTTGGCTTCACACCCACAGCTTCACACACTGCCTTCTCGGCACACTGCTTGGTCCCCCAGGCCTTCTTCTGAAATCTGGGTGGAAGCCTTTCTGACCCCACAAGTCCTGCATTCTGCACGTGTCTAAAACAGATATCAAGGTCTGTTGCCAGCTGGAGCAGTAGCCAGGCTATCTTCTCTCTTGACTGTACAGATCCAGTGCCTATGAACCAAATCCTGAGGAATAACTTCCCTAGGCTGCCACCATTCTACAACATGGTGTTCTGGGGCTTTCTTCTCAAAGAGAAATCTTTTACTTTTGAAATTTTGAGGCTGGAAAGGGTGCAGTCCTGCTGCTGCTTGTGATGCCCTCAGGCCATCTTTTCTCTTGTCTTCTTCTGAAATACTTGACTTTTTCTTGCTAGTCTTTTCATCAACCAATTTCTCCTCTGGTCTTCTTTGCAGGCCACACATTTACTGGGGCTTCCTTTCTAGCCAAACTCAGAACATTTTAAATCATCCTGCTGGGCTCTTTGCCCTTGATTCTCAACACAAATATGACAAAAAGCCCCCAGTTGTAGCCACACCACCACTTCAACATTAGACTGCCTTCAGACTGGGGATTTAGCTCGGTGCTGCCGCCTGCCTCGCAAGCACAAGGTTCTGAGTTCAATCCCCAGTACCAAAAAAAAAAAAAAAAAAAAAAAAACCCAAAAAACAAAAACATTAGACTGCCTTGAAATTTCTTCGACCACATTAATTAGTCTACTACCCTTAATCTCAGTCTCAGGCAAAGTCTCTAGATAAGCAAAATGCTGACAAACTTTATACCAAAGCATAGCACGTATCATCTGGAGTCCAGCAGCCAATGCAGTTCTTCTTTCCAGCAGAAACCTCCCAAGTCTGGTCTTTATCAATAGAATTTCTATCAGCATTCTGATCTAAATTCTGACCAGAATTTCCCTCAAATACAGCCTAAGGTGTTCCAGCTCTACTTTTTCAACATCTCCAAACTTTTCCTAATTCTTTCCCTTCCCACAAGCCAGTTCCAAAGGCTCTTAAACCACATGGTTAGGTAAGTCACAGTAACGACCCCACTCCTGGTAGCAAATTCTTAGTTTTCTCTCATTGCTGAGACCAAATATTCAATACCCACAAATTAAAGGAGAAAAGCTTTACTTAGCTTATAGTTTGTAGAGTTTTCAGTCCATAATTAGCTGGCTCCAAGACAGGGTGGATGGCAGGTAGGCATCTCCGAGGAATAACAGTTAATGGTTTTGCAGAAGGTACCAAGAGCAACAAGGAACCTTAACATCTTTCTGGCCCTTTTATCTCATTCAAGCAATTTAGTGTGAGTAGCACTAACACCCTTAATCCTAGTGCCCTTGAGCCTAGTATTGAATCATGAATCCAGCTATGACTACATGAGTTTTGCGGGGGATATCTAGATACAAGCCATAACAGTCATTGAGACTCTTTCTATTTCTCTTTTCTCAGTGTAAAATAGAACTTTTATAAATGCAGACTGAGCAGAGGGAAAGTATGTTGAGAGATGCATTGGGGATTTCCATCTGAGCAATTACTCAAATGCTGTGAATTTGAATAGAACTGTGTTTTCAGTTTTTGGTAAAATCTGTGGTCTTTCATAAGCAGCAGACTTTCTCACTCAAAACCAGTTAAGGTGAAAGCACTTTTAGATTTGATAGGTTGTTGTTGCTCTTGACCGTTGACAACTTATTTGCTTTGGAAAAAGATACAGTCAGAATTTAAGAGTGCCAAAGTAACTCACCTCTTGACAGTACTGCTTAGTTGTTTGATTTTGACCATGAAACTGTCAGGTTTCTCTCTCTTGAGCACTCACACGCGCGCACACTCTCTCTCTCTCTCTTCCTTTCTCTTCCTTCCTCTCTCCCTGTCCTTCCTTTCTCCCTCCCTCTCTCCCTCTCCCTCTCCGTCCCTTTCTCTCCCTTTCTCCCTTCCTCCCTCCCTCCTTGGTAACAGGGATCAAATTCAGGACCTTGCACTTTGGAGGCAGGTGTGGTACCACTGAGCTAAATCCCTGGCCCCAACTTTTCTTTCTTGAAAGAGTCACAAGTGAGTTAAATTTGATTTGAATTGTGCAGGTTATGAATAAATTCATGGAGTGGTACAGTGTTTTTAACCACCATCCCCAGAGCCCTGGGGAGGTTACTAGACATGGTAACTGTTCTGCCTGTGCTTCTGTAGATGTCCCAAGTCAGCTATCCCAGGGTAAAACTTGTCCTCAAGGACCTTTTACTTTGCAAGTATGGCTTAACCCTCCTTACAGTTGCATCTAAAGAGAGGACCTTGGGTATTAATTATCCTGTCTGAAGAAGCAGTTCTCTTTCTGATATTTTATTATGGAAATTGTACTTGGCACGCATCAACTCCCAGTTAGATTCTACAGTTAACATCTTCTGGAATGTTTTATCTTACAACTCTTTTTCATAGAGGACAAGGTTTTTTTGACTCTTATGAGAACCACTGAATAGTATCACTAGCCCAGTGAAAGACATGGTGCATGGAAAACTGGAATGCAAACTAAACATTTATAATTAAGGGGCATGCACAAGAACAGGAATTTTAGAAGTGTTCTTCTCATTGAAAATTGACCTTAAGGTATGTTTTGATGCACCCAAGATTTTATACATATGGAGCCGTTGCTCGCTAGACAACAGATATTAATTGGCTCACAATAAAAGCTTATAGATATAAAAGATAATATGTTTTTCATCTAGAAATCCTTCTGACATAAATCAGACCAATCCCCCATTCTGGAACCTCCCTTTTCTTTAGAATTGTTTGGAGTGCTGGTTTAGTATTCATGAAGTTTCTCAGGTGTTCTTTGTTGTGGAAGTATCTAATTTCCCCATTGATTTTGAAAGATAATTTTGCTGGATACAACAGTCTAGGTTGGAAGTTATTTTCTTTTAGGGCTTGAAATACTTCACTCCAGGCTCTCCTTGACTTGAGGATTTATATTGAAAAGTCTGCTGTGATTCTGATGAGCTTTCCTCTATATGTGATTCTGGGATCTTGATTATTATATGTCTAGGCATAGTTTTTTTTTATCATGGCTCAACAGAGTTCTGTATGCCTCACTTATCTGTATATCAAATTCTTTTCCTCTGAGAAGTTTTCTGCTATTACTTCTGTGAACAGTTTTTTTGTTTTTGTTTTTGTTTTTTTTTTGGTACCGGGGATTGAACTCGGGTCCTTGCGCTTGCAAGGCAGGCCATTGAACCGCTGAGCTAAATCCCTGGCCCTTGAACAGTTTTTTTAATGTCATTTGTACTTTCTCCTGCTTTTTCATGGACTTCTCACAGTCTTATGTTATTCTTTGTATCATCTAGCAGCTGGATCGATTTCTCATGGTCCCATACTTTTTTTTTTTTGGTACTGGGGATTGAACTTGGATAATTGTGCTTGTAAGACAAGCAGCAGGACTACTGAGCTAGATCCCCAGCCCCCATACTATTTTTAAGAAAGCTCTCTTTTCATGGTCACTAACTGCAATCCTGTCTTCTATATATGATATTTTATCTTCACATTGACTCATTCTTCTGTGAATACTTTCAATGGAGTTTTTAATCTCCTAGATATCTGACTATTTCTTTCCTTTGTTGGGCATTCATGGCTGCCATCATTGTCCTGAGCTTAACTGTTTTTTATCTGTTTCTGTTCTAGAGTCTCTAATCATGTCTTTGATTCTGCTCACCATCTCTGGAGTTATCTGGGAAATTATTTCTGTTTTGAATTTTTCTAGAGCCTTGTTCATCTGTTGTTACTTCCTGTGTGCTATCAGTTCAGGGTGTCTAGGTGGTGGTTGCCTCTGGTTACCCAGAATTTGCCTTTGGTGAGCTGGAAGTCTGGGTTTGCACCTTCTTGTTTGTGTCTTCTCATTTCTAATTTTGTTGTTGATGGTGTTTTTGCTTTAATTCCTGGGCTGATACTTCAATATTTCTTATTGTATCTTTATTACTTGTGTTTAAGGTCCTTATGGAGTGATTGCTTCTTAGAGATATCTTCCAGGTATAACTGGTTTTTTTAGGCTTTGAGTCTCTCATGACTCTTAGGCAATCTCGATTTCAGTATACCAGGGAGGACAACTAATTAGATCAATCCTGACACTAACCATGGTGGTCCAGTGTGCCTAAAGCAGAGATTTTCTTCACTTTCCCGGTGGGTTTCAATTTTCATTGAATCTCAGAGAGGCCCTCTCTGTTGTTCACTTTTGCTCTACCTTCTGGGACTCATAACCATGGCCTTTATGGCCTCCCAGTGCCTCTGCAGTGTGGATTCAGATATCACTTGGTGTGGTCCTTTGGGGCGTGGCCAGAACCTCCCTTTTCTTAGGCTGCTGAGGACAAAGAAACCCTGAGGGGGGGAGGCAGATCCTAGAGGTCTCCCCTGGGTGATGCTGGAGGAGAAGGGGGAGAGCAGGATGCCTTCCTGGCACCAGAGCACTTCCACAGCCTCAGTACCCTCCTGTGTTTTCAGCTGCATCCCTCACAGGCAAACCCCAGTAGAGCTGTTCTTAGGGTATGGTGTGCAGTGTTGAATCTGGCTCTTTGAATGCTCCTCAGAAACTTGAGGTGTCCACCCTTCCAAGAATGGCAGGAAGCAGGTTAATTTGGTATTGATATCTTTTGTGTGGCACCTTGATTTTCTTCTCAAGGACTTCTATGTATATACATATGTGTGTATATATTAGAGTACTGGAAATTGAGCCCTATGACTTTTTGTTTATTTGAGGATAATTTATGCCTTCAATTTTAAACAGTTTAAAAATATAGTAGCACTTTTGTCTGTTTTTGTCTTAACTTGTGGGCTAAGACCTATGGACAGGTGCAAAAAATAAATTCTCTTTTGCAACCCAGAACTCATTGTTTAGTATGAGTTTTGATACATATAAGAAGGAACATTACTGCAAGTGCAGTGATGTATGGCTATGATCGTAGTACTCCTGAGGCTGAGGTAAGAGAACTAAAAGTTTGAGTCCAGCCTAGAGTACATAGTGAGACTCTGCCTCAGAAAACAGAACAAAAACAAACAAAAATTATACCTAAGACAAATTAAAATGATGGGAACAAAATTAAAATGATGGGGGTGTAGATAACCATTAAAGTTGGTTCTGACATGAGAGTTGTTACTTAGTACAGGACATGAGCAAAATCTTGGCTCTGTGGATTCAGGACTCCAATTTTCATGTTGTGACACACAAAGAGAGTTTTTTCCCCCTCTTTTTTAACCGCTTCTGCTTGAACGTGAGGTCTGGAGTTGAAGATATGTCTGTGTTTAGATCATGTTTGTTTAATTATAGTAAATAGTAAAAAATTTAAAATTTCCTTGAATTTTAATGAAAGGTTTAGCTTTCTTTAAAAATACATAAATATTAGAAATCTTTCTAATTGAGCTTTCAACTTTTTAAACTTACACAGATTTAAACATGCTATCATATACACACCGTGTCTTCTTAAATAAATATGACATAAATCTGGAGCTTTAAATGTGGCATGAACATTTAAAATCAATAAATGTGGATGCTCCTTCTTACATCCTCAGTGGCATCATGGTACACACCACTAATCATGGCACGCACTGTAGTTTGTTTAATCATGCTCCCATTTGATGGGCAGCCTGAGGTTGGCTGTTCTCAGTGAACAGTTCTTTAGTGGACAGATCTGGTGCACTGCATTATCCTTTGAGATAAATCACTAGATTTGAGTTCAGGGCAAAGGGAAAGAGAATGTAAGATGTGGGCGTATGTTACTGGGTCACCTCTCACAGGGGTGTCATTCTATCAGCCACCAGTTCTGCCAGCAGCATGCATCCTGTGTGTGCTTTGCATTTTCATAGTTTGATGGGCGACACTGAGGCCATACATTCTTTTCTGGTTCATTTCCTTTTTTTCTGTTTTTTACATATTACCCCTCTGTTTGAGCCAACTAAAAGTAGGAAAAGAAGTAGACTACAGAGTGAGAGTGGACCACTGTGAAAGAGTCAGTGGTCCAGAGCTCAATGGTGGCAAGTTCTCATGAGAAGAACTGAAGATAGCACCCTCTGATTGGTTCCAGATGCAGAGCTTTCAAAACCTGCACGTGTCCAGGAGTTCTGTGATAGATCATTTCCACTCCCCAGCCAGTCTGCCAAACCCTAATCTCCTGCCTCACTCTGAGGGATACAGTGCTTGGCTTCCCAGGCCACCTTCTGACATCTAGGTGGAAACTTCCCTGACCCCATACCTCTTGCATTCTCCATGCACCTAAAAGTAGCACCATACAGATGATGCTGAGGTCTGCCACCAGCTGGACCAGTACTAACAGCCAAATTCTTTTGCATCAAGACTTCACTGGTCTCCAAATGCCTGGATGGCTGAGCATAGTGAATTGAATCCTGGGGAACCAAGTGCCTAGGCAGCCCATCTTCAAGAGAGTGACCTCGGGCTCTCTTCTCAAAGCACAGTCCTTCACATTTGCAATTTTGAGCCTTGGAAGGGTGGAGCCTTGCTAGATCCTCATATTTCCTCAAAGCATTTTTCTTATTGTGCTAGGGTAGAGTACTCTGCTTTATTTATTTATTTATTTTTTAATAGTAATCTTTTTAGCAACTAAGCTCTCCTCTGCTCTGTCTTTGTGGACCCCACCTTTACCCAGAGCTTCTTTTCTGGCCAAACTCAAAATTTTAAATTATTCAGTTGTACCTTTTGCTCTTGATTCTCAAGGTAGAGTTGGCTAAAAGCCCCCAACAGTACCCATGGCCACAGCCTTGAAATTTCCTCCACCGCATTAATTAGTCTGCTGTTTTAATCTGTCTCCCTCAAAGTCAGGACAGGAAGAAAATGTAGACAGATTTTCTGCCAAATTACAACACATGGCTTGGAAACCACTGTTAATGAGTCCTTGCCTTCCTCCCCTCTGTTCTCCATAAAACTATCAAATTTGAAGCCCCACAGAGATTAGCTACTCTCCCCATTCTAGTTACAGATCAGCCCCTTCTCCCTCTGGCTGTCCTTTATCACTACTACTAAAAATAAATGTGCTACAATTATTTTTCTCCACCTGGCCTCAGCTTTTTTTCATCTGTTTGTCTTTTCTTTACCCCTCACCATTCTCCCTCCGTGGACCCTCTAGCACACAGGCTGCAGCACTTGTTCACAGCTGAAACCTCCTATCTTAGTTACTTTCTTGTTGCTGAGACAAAATATCTGACACCTCAAGTTAAAGGAAGAGAGGTTTATTGTAACTCAGTTTATAGAGTTGACTCCCAGGCAGAGTGGCACAGCAGAGGAAGGAGAATGGTGTGGTCGGCAGGAAGCAGCAGCATTGCTTTTTCTTCCCCTTTTAATTCCTTTTAGGCTACAAGCCTATTGGTTGGCACCACTCACATCCAGGGTGGGTGTTCTATCTTCAGTAAATCCGTTCAGTCGTACTCAGAAGGACACTAAACACAATGGACTAATCCAGTGTCTTAGTCATGATCCAGTCACTCTCAAAAGCCCCACCACTAGTGCATGAGGCTTTGTGGGGGACATCTAGATATAAGTCATAACGCCTTTTATTCCAGGTCTTTTCTGACTGCTTTTTTTTTTTGTTGTTTTAATCAGCATTCTGTTCTTCTGAGCTCTAACTAGAATCTTGAATTAAGTCTGGTTTACAGCATTCTCAGTCTGCTTCTCTGGCCAGCATTCCAAATCATTCTAAACTCCTTATGAGCCAGTTCCAAAGTCTTCTTAATCACATGGTGAGGTAGTTGCAGCACTGACCCCACTTCTTTGGTACCGAGATCTGCCTCACCTTTCTTATTGCTATGGCACAATATCTGACACCCATAAGAGAGGTTTATTTTGACTCACAATCTGTAGACCTTTTAGTCCATAGTCAGCTGGCTCCAAGCCAGGGTGGCATAGCAAATGAGAAACAGCTCATGGCGTGGCAGTGGGAAGCTGAGGAGATCAAAGGAGGAAGGAGATAGACCCTTCCAGGCTACATCCTGGGATCACAGCTGTGCACTTTTTCTTTTAACTTTGAGTTTACTGTGCTGTATGATACACAAGCTTAGGGTTTATGTGTATTCAGTTTTCTAAATTATGTTTCATGGTACTCTGTCTTACGTGTCATTCTTGGAGCTCTCCACCTAAAAATTATAAAAATATAATCTTATTTTATCTCAAGTATCTTTATGGTTTTATTTTTGTGTTTAAATCTTCAATTCACCTGGAATATGTAAGGATGTGGAAGAGGATTCTAACTTTAAAATTTTTCTTCAAATCAGTAGTTTGACTCTGAGACTCTGGGTTCTATTCCTTTCATGCAGCCCTGTTCACTAGCTAATTTCAGTATTAATCTTTAGGTGATGAAGAGGAACTACAGAGTTATCAGGAGCGAGCACTTTCCTGTGATCACTTTGGTGCTGAGATGAAACCAGGACTTTGTGCATGCTAGACACCCTAACCACAGCCCTGGCCAGTGGATTTTTTTTCTTTTTTTAGTACCAGGGATTGAATACGGGCTTTCCCACTGAGCTACATCCCCAACCCACTTTATTTTTTGAGACAGGGTCTCACTAAGTTACCCAGGCTGGACTTGAACTTGTGATTATCCTGTCTCAGCCTTCCAGTGTGCTGGGATTAAGTGTGCTCGCCACACTGTTGGGTCCCAAAGGCATTCTTTCCAGGTTCTTGGTGTCCTGAACAATGAATTGGACAAGACACATGGAAAAAATAGTTAGGGTTTACATTTACTGAAAGTGGAAAAGTAGACTGCAAAGTGAGAAGGCTCACAGCGGCCCAAGGATCGTAGTGTGGGGGTCTTTTGTATCTCCAGTTCCTAGATTGATTCTCCGTCAGCAAATAAAGCATTTGGTCCTGTCAGAGTTCAGTTGGCCTGAGGTCACACGTAAGTTGTCCTGTCAAAGGCCTGTTTGGTTTCTCATCTGATGTAAATGAAGAGTCAAAAATGGCACTTTTCTGATTGATCCCAGGTGCTACAGAGACACTGGGATTCTATCTTCTGCACTTGCCTGGAGTCGCCAAGATGGACAGGCCACGCCCACTTGTTTAACCGGTTTTGCCCCGCCCTAATCTCCTACCTCAATTTTTTTTGTGCCCTTTGAATAAATTTGTAAAACTACCCTGTTGCTTGGGATGCTGCCTAGGTTTGGGTTCACATAAGAAACTAACCAGCTTTCACAATAGGAGCTGGAAATGAGCAGACGCCTGGGGATGCCGACAGGAGAAAAGGGGCCGGAAGATTGGTTGGGCCCTAGTGGAGAAGTATGCAGGGGAGATTTTCTTGGAAGGGGCACCCTGAACAGTCCCATTCCCAAGATTCTTGGCTCCTTCCTTTCACTTCCTCATTGTTCTAGGGAGGCAAAGAAGAAAAGAGCTGTAATGTGTAACTAGTCACTGAATCCAGCTTTCCTTTTCACAATGCCCAAAATTTTCAGTTTCAAATGTTGCTTTGTCTTGATGAGGTCTAGTAAGCCCGGAACAGCCTAGAGCCACACTGACCTAGAAATCAAGCATCTGGTGATATCGGCTCTCTGGAGCAGAGTGCAGAACAGACTAACGCAGTCAGGTGACCTGTGCACTCCCAGGCAGCCTGAAGTGCATGGGAGACCTCATAGGCAGTAGCTGTCATTTGCTGATGGTGTCCAGGCCTTCTGGGCTTACAGTGCCCTTCTTGTGTGCCTTAGAAGTCAGGAAGGCTTGTGCACTCCTGGCCCTTCCACAGTTAAATCTCCAGCATCTCGATAAGACATGCTGTTTACTCACTCCAGTTGCAGTTACAGTTGTCACAGGGTTGGTGGATTGATTCCAGGGCCCCACATGTATACCAAATGCTCAAGACCCTTAAATAAAAGGGCATAGCATTGTGTAGAACCTATACATGTGACGAAAACTTTAAAACTCCAAGCCATCTTTGGGTTACCTGTGCCCCCCGATACAGCAGCAGTGCTGTGTAGTTGCTGTGGAGAATGATGACAAGAAAAAGCCCACACATGTTCGGGACAGATGGAGTTTTGGTCTCCAATGTTTTGGGTCCTTAGTTGGTTGAATCCATAGCTTCAGAACCCACAGGCACTGAGGAAGGCCTTGTCTACTTGGCTTTCAGCTTATAGTAGACAGATGAAAAGGTTTGTGAGAACAAAACCAGCCAAGGAATCCGTCATGGTAATAACTAATGAATACCTCCAAAAATAGGGGAGTTTTTCTTCAAGATTAGTGGACATAAAAACTGAAAAAGCCCAGAATGCAGCCACTGAAGATAGACTGCCATGTGTTTTGAAGATAGCATTGTGCTACAGTTATTTTGTATACTAAGCTTCTGAAGTCATCTCAAAGAATTTTGTACTATTTTCCTATTTAGAGTTTCCTACAGTGACATAGTTAACTATATGTAGTGTGATTTTTAAGAAGGCAAGATGTATGTACAATTTTGCTTTTTAAAAAATGTTTTGATGCTTAAGAGGTGATTTAAAGATTTGGTTTTAACTCTTTGGAAAAGATAACAGGTAAATTCACTTATCGCTATTTTAAAATCAATACACTATTCGATTTTTTTTTTTTTTTTTTGGTGATTGAACTCAGGTCCTTATGCTTCCAAGGCAGGTGGTGGAACCACTGAGCTAAATCCCCAGTCCCTCAATCTTAATTTTTATCTTTAGTAAAATCAAAGCTTCAAAAATTATCCTGAAGTTTTGAATGTGAGCAAGTGTTTTCTTGTTTCATTAGTAGTACTTTGTAAGTAGCAATTTTCTGGATCTGTTTTTATATTATACTTTGTACAAAAGGGATTTACCGTCTTAACTACCTAAATAACTTTTTTTTTGGAAACAGGGTCTTGCTATGTAGTTCAGGCTTATTCTAAACCAACTGTGTAGTCCAGGCTGGCCTTGAACTACAGGTGATCCTCCTGCCTCAAGTGCTGGGATTACAGGCATGTGCCACCAGGCCCTGGCCCTAAATAATATTTCTAATGTAAATTCCAACCTACGGGTATAAAAGAAATGAGTACATTTCACATATTACATATGGGTGAAGGAGGAAAGCTACAGAGTGTCTGGAGTTAAACAAAGCAGCCAGAGCCAATTTGAGTTATTTGTCCACATTTCTCAATTGCAGCTCTTTCCACGTGTCTTTTATTTATTTATTTATTTTGATGCTGGGGATCAAACTTGGGCCCTTGTGCTTGCGAGGCAGGCGTCAGAACCACTGAGCCAAACCCCCGGCCCTCCACATGTCTTTTAAAGTTTTCATCTTTCTATCCAGTTTTTCTTATACTTACTTTTCTTAGCGCTAGGTACCTACTGAAAACAAACTCTGGGTTTCTAAAACTTTACTTTCATTTCCCTGGAAGCTAAATCACCCACATTCTTTCCTTGCCTAGATGGGAAGTATAACAATGTTAACCCACTTGTCCAGAAGTCGGATTTCTGGCACTTTCAGTCCTCCAGAGCATGGCTGCTGACCCTGAAATAAGCAAAGAAGCTGCTAAGCCCAGTGCAGGCTGAGCCCTGGCTCCCCCAGCCCAGGATGTACATGAGGGCACAGTGAGAGGGAGGAACAGGAGCTCATCAGGCTGTGCAGCCCTGTTGTCCCCATGGCTCCCTCAGAAGAAGGAGAGCTCTGATCTAGACAAACTGTAGTAGCACCACCCAGTTTAAGAAAGAAAAAAGAAGCCAGGTGTGGTGGCCTTCACCTGTAATCCCAGCATTCTTGGAGGCTGAGGCAGGAAGATCACAAGTTCGAGCCCAGTCTGGGCAACTTGGTGAGGTCCTATGTCAACATTAAAAAAGTAAAGATCTTGGGGATGTAGCTTAGTGTGAAGGCCCTGGGTTTAATCCCCATTACCACCAGAGAGAGACAGAGTGGGAGTGGAGGCATTGGGGGAGGCAGGAGGAGATTGATTCCAATTAGAATGTTCATTTTACTCCAGCAGAAAAGTATATTTCAGCATGATTTCCATTGAGAATGATGAAGTTTGTATGTTAATTGGTTGGTTTGTTTTTTTGTTTTTGTTTTTGATACAGGGTCTTGCTTTGCAGTTCAGGCTGGCCTTGAACTCACTATGTAACCCAGGCTGGCCTTGAACTAGAGGTGATCCTCCTGCCTCAGCCTCTCAAGTGCTGGGATTATAGGTGTGCACCACCACATGGGGCTCATGGTTGGTTTTTTGTTTTTTTTTTGTACCAGGGATCAAACTCAGGACCTTGTACTTGTGAGTCAGGCTTAGTGCCACTGAGCTAAATCCCCAGCCCCTCATGGTTGGTTTTTTGAGACCACAGTGGTCTTATAATGTATCCCAGGCTGGCCTTCAATTCTAGATCTTCCTGCCTCGGCTTCCTGAGTGCAGGGATTACAGACATGTGTCCAATACCCCACTGAATGGAAATCTTTGTTTTGTTACTGCAAACTTTAGTTATGTGGCTCATTAATATACACGGAACACCTTGTTCACTCCCCAGCACTGTTAAATGATGTCACTGTCCTAAATTGGGTCAGCATACTTTTTCTGTAAGGACTAAAGGACAAGTATTTTAGACTTCATGGGCTGTGGATGTTGCAACTACGCAAGTCTTATTTTAGCTTGAAAGCAGCATGCACATCATATCAGTGTAAGAGGACAGCAGTGTTCCCATAAAAGTTTATTTAGAAAAAATGGCCAGATTTGGCCACAGGGCCATGGTTTGCTGACCTTTCCACTAGATGAGAAATAGCCTATATAGATTTCATTTGCATTTTAAAGCAGCAGTTTTATTTAGAAAAATCATCACATAATGGTTAAAATATTTTTAAGCCAGGCATGGTGGCACAAGCCTGTAATCTCAGCACTTGGGAGGCTGAGGCAGGAAGATCGCTGTGAGTTCAAGACCAGCCTGGGCTACATAGTGAGTTAGAGGGCAGTCTGAACTACACAGTGAGACCCTGTCTCAAAAAAAAAAAAAGGTCTATAATAAAATTATAAGTACATTAATATATATATAAGTATATATATTAGTGTTTAAGAAATAGCTCTCTGGAAAATTCTGTCACACTGGATATTGCATAAGTTACTACTGAAGAGCCTGTCACATGTTAATGAACAAAGATTCTTGATTTGAAGTCCCCATCATTGAAATCTAAGGCCTCAGCCATGTGGTTGTAAGGTCTGTGCGGCTGTGTAGCTTGGCTAAGTATTCTTATAGAATGTCACCATCACAATGACATGTTTTACAGGTCTGAGAAAGAACCCCAATTTAAGTTTATCTATTTCAACCACATGAACTTAGCAGAGAAGAGTACAATTCACATGAGGAAAACGCCCAGCGTGTCGCTTACGTCTGTTCACCCCGACTTAATGAAGATTTTAGGTGACATCAACAGTGACTTTACCAGGTAGTCCTGACTCAGACGAGCTGTCCCCTTCCTGAGAGGAGACACTGAAGGCCTTGTCTTCAGAGCTGTGACCCACAGCCCCATCCAGGGGCTCAAGCCCAGCCTTCCAGGGTGCTGCCTCCAGGTGCACCCTATACCTGAGGTCACAGTTCAGCCTGAGACACCAAGCTTCTGGAGTGTCTGTCCCTGTCCTGGTCCTTGTTTTGGGATGTTGGGTTTTTCTTTTCACTATCTAGCTACGTATGTAAATACACTTGCCTTCTGAAACTCTTGTCTTACAGAGCAGATGAAGATGAAGAAATCATTGTGAAAGCCATGAGTGATTACTGGGTGGTTGGAAAAAAGTCAGATCAGCGGGAGCTGTATGTTATTTTGAATCAAAAAAATGCAAACCTGATTGAAGTCAATGGTAAACAGAATTTGGTATTTGAGCCCAATTTTAATGCCACTGATTTTTAACTCCTTAGTATATTAAGAAGCATGATAAACAAACCAAATGACTTGAAATTTTAAACAGATGCCTCCATTTTATGTTTTTTGTACCCTATAGCACAGGAAACTTGACAGTGGTGAAAAGAGTATCATTTTCTATATTGCTAAGAAAAATCCCTGGCTATATGCACTATTTTTAAAACTACCCTTTTCTATCCTGCAATGGAAACACTTCTGTGCAGAACTACTGGGTCATGTGGCAACCCTGGCTATCTGTGTCTGCACCTCGGCAGGACGCAGTGCACAGGTCCCCTCCGCCCCCTGGCCACAGTGGCTGCTCCAGTCGTCCCCATGGTGTACCCTGGCAGCTGCTCTTGCCCTGGGGAAAGGGTGGCACCCATCACTAGGTTGGACCACTTTGCTGCTCCGTCTTGGACCTGGAGCAAGCAGCCTGGAGCAAGTGGGGAGATACAAGAAAAGTGAGGCTGAGGGGTTTTTCCTCATTATGTTCTAGGGATAATTCAAATTTTCTCTTTATGTTAATAGTTGCATTAGTGTTTGTGTGCATTAAAAACATCAGTAATATATGCCTAATTTAAAATGAGAATTTAAACTGAGTGTGGTGGCTTATGCCTGCAATCTTGGCACTCTGGGAGGCTGAGGCAGGAGGATCACAAATGTTCAAGCTCAGCCTGGGTAATTTATCAACTTAGTGAGACCTTTGTTAAAAAATTTTAAAAGGGAGGGGATGTAGCTGGGTGTGAAGGCCTTAGGTTGACTCCCTAGTACTAAAATAAAATAAAATTCAAATTTAGTAAAATCAAGATACATCCATGGAGTACTTGATCCAGCTTAAGGTTGGGTCCAGAGTTCCTGTGTACTCCATGAGATTTCTCAAGATTGACTGTGTCTTCGATGTGCTCCTAGCCCCCTGCCTGTGGGTATCTCAGGCATGCCACTCTTCTCACTAGGTTGAGTTTCTCAGGCCCAGAGAAGCCAGGTTTCAGGATACTGGGGAGCACTGAGGTCTTGTGGGTCAGGTATCTCTAGCTCCAAATTTGTTAACATCTTTGCCTAGGCTTCTAGATTTTCAAGTCAAAATCAACGCAGATATTTTTATTCGAACCTTATTCCTGAAGAATTTAAAGTACTAATATGTACGTATACTGTAACCTTTTAAGTAAAAAGTCTGTTGTTTACACACTGTTTCCTGTTCTCTTCGCAGAAGAAGTAAAGAAACTCTGTGCCACGCAGTTCAACAACATCTTCTTTTTGGATTGACAGACAGTGGCCCACAGAAAACATCTTTCCAAAATCTCAGCGAACATTTTGTTTACCATTGCAAGTTATTGGTCATATTATTGACTGGATTAATGATAATAGTAAAGCAATACTTGCTTTGAAGAATCAAATTTCTACTGTCTGATGATCCCTTGAGGTTTTTAGATTTTAAATATTTATGTGGAATTGATTAAAGATAGTCAGCTATATATCATTCCATTCTTTTGACATTATGTGAATATTTTACTGGAAAATGAGACTAATAAATTCTTAAAAAGTTTTTAAAATTTTGGTTTTGCATTGAGTATTGTTGCTGGTTTGTAGCGTACCCTGGCCGCTGGCTCCCTGGCTTATGCCCTGTGGATTTAAAACCTCAGTCAACATTCTGCTAGAGCTGTGGTCTAGCAGAATTCCTCAGCCCTGAGACCACAAGAGCCAGGCACTTGCCCAGATAATTGCTAGACTTTGTCTTCAATGTTACCCAGGACTAATAGACCACACCGATGACAGAGAACTGAAACAGAAAGTTTCTTCATTATTCCAGGAACTCCCAAGGAGCCAAAGTGCTGCATATATCTCCTTACAGGGAAGACTGAATTTTACTTAATTTTTGGTGTGGATGAAAAAGTGACTCCACAGACCCTTTTACCTAATCTATGTTGGCCCTTATCTCAGGGAAGAGGAACAGTTTCATCAGTTTGTAGAATTTTCACTGGTCCTAAATAATCCCAAGTTTCCATTATGATCTTCTCTATTTTGATTAGAGTTTGGTTGGTTGGTTGGTTGGTTTTTTGTTTTGTGGTACTAGGGGTTGAACCCGGAGCCTTTACACCGAGCTACATTCCCCAGTCCTTTTTTAATTTTTTAAGAAAGGGTCTTGCTAAACTGTTGAGTTGCCCAGGATGGTCTTGAACTTGCGATCCTCCTGCCTCAGCCTCCCAAGGTGCTGGGATCACAGGTGTACACAACCATGACAGTTTAAGGCTGTGGTTTTGAGTTTCAACTCACACTGGGCTTTGTTTATTGTGTGCATTTTCTGCAGACTTAGCTATTGCTTTGCAATTAGATCACAGTCCATGGTGTAGCATTTGCAATTGTACTTCTTAATGTAAAATGGGTTTCCCTCATTGTGTATTCTGTGTTGAATTCTGGTTCCTGTGTACTCAGACTTCAGTTTCCTGGCTCACATTATATGTGCCCTTGTGGATACTGTCTCCTGCTCTTTCCCGACAGGATGGCAGCTCCCCGGGATTCTGTCAGCTCTGCGTGGATGAGAAGTACATCAGAAAGCGACTCCTTTTACCATGAGCTCAATCCCTGTGAAGTGCAGGTGTTTCCTTTAAGTTGTTTTGTCTGTAATATTGCTTGCTATTCCAGTCTTTTTGCATATATTTATATCCCATGTATTCTTAAAATGTTTCCCTTGGAAAGAAATTATCTGTGTTTGCGGGAGAGAGAAGTGCATTTAATCTGCTTGCTGTGGTGGAGACTGGTATATGTGCACTTTTCCATCTTCCACGTTTCCTATTTACCTTCCTTTCTTTGGTCATCTTCCCCTCTAACTTTCCGTTACATTGATGGTTTTCTATATTCCTGCTGCTAGTGTGGAAATTTTTGATTATATTCTTATTCTTTTTGGTGGTGGTGGTAGTTACCCTTGAACTTTAATATAAATTTTAACTACAGAAATTTCTGGCAGAGACTAAAAGTGTTCTTTGAGCCACCCACTACCATCTGTTCCTTTTCTTCTCGCTGCCCAGAGTTGGTGCTGTGTGGCATTTTCCAAATGGGACAAACAGTGCTGTGGGCGTCTGTGGAAAAGGATTGGGGAAGGCCACGTGCGGTGGCATGTGAAGGACCCAGGGCGGTTACAGGACACAGAAGACAGAGGCAGCTCAAGAAACATTCTAATACCTTCTTTCACGCCCACTCCCTCTGATCTGTTTTATCAGGTTTTAAACTTCATCACTATTGGACGTTGACTTTTTAAACATTTTTAATACACGCTCATTAATGTGCATATGTGTATGTGTTCATTTGCCCAAGTTTTCAAAATACAGGCCATTCGGCGATGATCGGCTGTGTGAGGCATCTGGATGCATCAGACCAAGGCAGGAGCATTTCAGACTCTGAGGAGCAGAGGTGAAATTCAATTTTCTCATGCGGCCTGTGTCACAGTGCTCATGGGTCTGAGCTTTTCTTTGTTTGCTGATCCTTGCAGCCAGCCCGCAACACTGAGTGCCTTTACTTCTTCTTCTTTTTGCTTGGGGTGGACTTGGTGGCCTGGGACACAGCCACGTCCTCTTTGGGAGGGCTTGGCGTGAGGGGCGGGAGGGAGGACTGGAAGTCCATGGGCTCCTTGATGACCGTGATGTCAATCTCGAGATCTTGTCCCTTGGTCTCTTCCTCCCTTAAGGTACTCAGCCTAAGAGGCAAAAACAAGAAGTTAGCTTTTTTCTTTTTTTTTAATTCTAAAACCAGCCCTAAGCTGGTAAGTAAAGTCATTCACTTCTGTATTTTAGCAATGCTTGTGGTGCCTGCCTCTTTGTCTGGCAGTGCACCCTTCTGCAGAAGTAAAGTCTGCCTTGCCGAAAAAATAAAAAAAAAAAAAAATCCAACTAGTACTTGTGAGTAAAACTATTAATCACCCTTGCTTTGCCTGAATTTAGGGAGTGAAGCCTCTGTCGAAAGCCCAGATCCAGTGATCTGTGAAGCTCTTTGTGAAAGGCTTCTGCGATAATCTCCCTCTGCCACAGAGGCCAGGGACCCACATGGCCACACAAAGCTGAGCCTCTGCAGTGACTGCAAAGGTGAGCTCGCGTTTCTGGGGCCAACTGTATCCCAGGCCTGTGCCTGACACCTGCAAACCCCACGAGGTGTTGTCCCTTGTGCAGGTGAACAGATGGAGGCACACATGCAGGAAACTTAGTGACTTAGTGAGACCCTGTCTGAAAATAAAAATGGCTGGAGATGTAGCTTACTGCAAAGGCCCTAAGTTAAATCCCCAGTACAGAAAACAAAACAAAAAACAGCCAGATGAGAAGATGCAAAGAGTGAAGTCCAGAAGGGTTTCAGCATAGGGGACGCTGGCCTTGCAGAGTTTGGAATGCACCCTTCCATCACAAGGATGTGTTCACCAGCCAGGGAACTCTTTAGCCCCGCACTGTCCAGCATGTGTGTGGAGCTTGCTAAGTAGGTGTGAGTGGTTAAATCATTGGCCACTAGCAATAAGAGTCTGCACACCACCAGTCCCAGCGGTGAAGGGGTGAAGTGGAAAGTTCCACCTCTCCAAGCACACAGTTGGGCCCTCTAAGAACCAGCCTTCCTGCACCCCTACCTTGTGCAAAACGATTTAAAGTCACGCCACTGTCATCTTATTGACTATCAGTGCACAAAAGACACTCTTGGCCATCCAGAGGCTCCAGGGTCTGAGAAGCTCTGGGGTTTGGAACCAGGCACTAAGACCCAACATTCCAAGAAAAGATGCTCCTGTTTCCCCAGAAACTCTAAAGGCTTTGGAAGCTATGGTGGGAGCACAAGCTGGATATTTATTGTTTTGTGTATTTGTTTCTAGGGATTGAATCCAAGGCTGAGCTACTTCCCAGCCCTTAATTATTTTTCATTTTGAGACAGGGTCTTTCTAACTCACTGAGGTGGGGCTCAAACTTGCATTCTCCTGCTTCAGCTTCCCAGAGTGCTGGATTAGGTCCAGCTGTATTTGTTCCTCGGGTCTCAAATACTCTATTTGGTTCTGGTGCTTCTGGAAGAAGTCAGAAAAGCCAGCTGAGCATCTGCTGCAGAGGAGGGCGGGGAGCCTGACACCCGTACCTTGCTTCCAGTTCATCATTCTCTGCCTTCCTCTGCTGCGCCAGTGCTGCCTCCTGCAAGTGGTGCTCCTTCACTTTCTCCTTGAGCATCTCCTGGTGTCTGTGGGCGTGGAAGAGGGTGTTCACAAAGAAGGAGTGCATGTGACTCTTCCACGTGGGGAGCTTTTCCTTCTGGTCCTCCTTGGACTTTTCATGTTTCTCTGGAATAAAGTTTCATCACAAGGAGCGTGAATGCTCTCCCACCATACCTGAAGTCATTGCACCCATTCTGCATGGTGGGGCACATGGCCCTCTCCGGGCAGTGAGGATGGAGGGACCTGCACAGCACATCAGTGCCCCCTGGGATGAGGTGGCCGTGCAGTGGACACAACTGTAATTGCCCTGGAGCCTCCTGCCTATCCTTTTTTCCTAAACAGCTTAAGTATTTTAGTTTTTGCAGTGAAAATGTCAGAAGCTTCACATTCCATGTATTGGGGAAAAACCCTCTCTTGGCATTGCCTACACTATCTTTGGTGCGATTTTCACTCAAGAGCTGAGTGAGAAGGTAAGTGGATTCTGTCTGCCTGGGCTGCTCCACTAGAGGAGGTGGGACCGGGTGCTACAGGAAGGGGATTTCATTGGTCCCCCCTCTGCTTGCCACTGCAGAAGCCAATGTGATGGGCCCCAAGTGAAAGGAGTAGGAAGAACCGTGCCACTTGATGCCAGCACCAGTGCTCAGAGACTAACGGGGACCTTACGTGCACCCCTTCATGGACCCCCATCAGGCTCAGGCTTGGGTCAGTGTGGCACGTAGAGATGCAGATGGCAAGTGGTGCACACAGCGCCAGGGGCTGCTGCCCAAGGGCCAGGCACAGCCTCCACTCCCTGCAGACCTCAGCTGTGTCAGCCTCACAGCCCAGCTGTGCCACTTCCTAGCAGCCTGGGCCAGGCAGCAGCTCCACCATTTTTTCATCTGCAGAAGGGGAGCCACGACTGAACCATCTGCAGAGAAGTGGCGGGAAGGCTGGATGCATCAGTGCACGGGAACTCAGCTCCCCGCACACGTAAACACTTGGTGGGAAAAGTCTGTTTGAAGGACTGAAATCACAAACTTAAGCCAGGGAGCAGGGATGGAATAGACTGATACAGATTTGCATGAGATGAAATTTTTTTATGAAAGGCAATTTATTGAGTGCGATTCCTAATGAAGACAAGCTTGCCCATTTTATAAAACAGATTTGTACAAAAAAGTATTTATTGGGTATCTATTATGTACAAGACCCTGTTCCAAGCACTGCAGGAAATACAGCAAAGTAAAAATATCTGCCTGTCCTAATGCAGTCAAAATGACGTTGACATTCTGTTGCATATCCTATTAGCTTCTTCCTGTGCTGTTTTTTATTTTTATTTATTTTTTTCCTCATTGAGTTTATTGGTACATTTTAGGTATACAGTACAGTTACACTCATCATTGGGATCTTGTACCTTTACAAGAAAAGTATTTTCTCTCATATTAGTGTTTTCTCTTTCTTTCTTTTCTGGCAGTATAGGGGATTGGACCCAGGGTCTTTTCACTGAGCTACATACATCCTCAGCCCTTTTTTTTTCATTTTTTATTTTGAGACGGGCCCTTTCTAGGTTGCCTAGGCAGGACCCAAACTTGGCAGTTGTCCTGCCTCAGCCAGCCAGAATGCTGGGATTACAGGCCTGTGCCACCACACCCAGTACTGTTTGCTTTTGATAGTCTTATTTTGTTGATTTAATTTGAATTTCCCCAGTTGTCAGTGAAGTTGGGCATTTTAAAAATACTTTCATTAGTCACTTAGCTTTTGTGAAAAGACTTTTCCCTATTTTTTTTGATACCGGGGATGGAATCTGGGTCCTTGCATTTGTAAGGCAGGTGCCAGAACCACTGAGCTAAATCCCCAGCCCTCCCTATTTTTAATCTTTTTTTATTTTTAGTATTTTAAGAATATTACCCTTTCTCAGATTTTTCTCAGTTGGACTTTAAATTTTGTTCTTGGTTTTTTTTATTAAAAACTGATTTTTAAATAGTTTTAACATTTTCATTATAGTTTTACTTTGGTTTTTATACTTAAGAAGGACTTTTCAACACTAAGTATATAAATGTTAACCTGTATATACTTCCAGTTCATACGGTTCCAATTTTTACTGTAATAACTCTTTACTCCATCTGAATCTTTTTCCCAAGCTCTGCCAATCCCAGCACCATTTATTAAGCAATACATCTTTACTACGGAGGAATAAACTTTATTACATATATCAAATACTTAAGTTTGTGATTTCTATGGTTTGCCTATTTTTTGCCATAACTAGTCGTACTTATTGTAGCTCTACACTTTCAGTATGTTTTAATATCTAGAACTAAAATTATCCTCTTGATTTCTTATATCTATTTCTGCTTTTTCACTTTTTTCCAGATGAACACCATGATCATTTACTCCAATTCATAAAAATACTGGGATTGGGATTAGTTCGAGTAGGAATTAAACCTGTCCTTTATTTTGAGGAGTCTACCCTGCTACAGTACTAAATGTTGTCCGGTAGGTGGGATTTCTGCTATTCCAGACTTTTCTAAGATCTATAAAGTTCAGTACTTAGGGTTTAATTGTAAATTGACAAATATATATAATTGTAACCCTTTTTAAAAAATGTGTTGGCTCTGTATATTTATACACACACACACACACACACACACACACACACACAACACCTGTAAAATTTCCTAGTAGTTTTTATTATAGAATTTTTCTTGGTGTTGTAGTAGTTCTGGTCATTTTCCCAGGTTTGCAGATTTTTTTGTGTGTGTACTGGGAATTGAACTCAACATATTCTCCCCCCACCATCCTCCCTCTCCCTTCCTTCTCCCGCCCCCCATCTCCTCTCCCTCTCTCTCCCCCTCTCTCCTCATGACCTTGCGCTTCCGCAAACACGCCTGGCCCTGTTACTTTCTCTCGAATCCCATTTTTTCTGTTTGACTTCTGAATGTTCCTTTTCAGTTACTTGCCTCAGCTGATAAGAAAGATGCTTATAAAATTTCATAGTACATAAATTATAAGCAACAGGTCATAAATATACAGTTCTCCAGTTAAAATACTTACCATTTTCAGATGAAAAAGCCAGGCCTTTCCCTGCAGGCTTAAAGTTCATTTTGGAACTTCTGTCATGACAGAGAGACTTTTTAATCTGGGGCTTCTACATTAAAAAAAAAAATCATAAAGCAAAATATTACTTCTATATCATTATGGGTTAAAACTAGATTTTTAAAAATGAGATTATTACATTATAAATAATTAGAAAATTGAAGCCTTTTCCTTTGAGTTAATATAATAACCTGTGTAAAATATTGAGACATATTACAGAGAGAATAAGTTACTGCTTCTCCTGAGAGGCTCTGTTCCCCTCCCCCTCTAAAAGCCCCAAAGATTTTTAAATCTCCCCTAGGAAATCATTTATTACATGTGATAAACCAAACTCAGATTCACAGATCCATGGTTTCATGATCACATCTATGCTGCAGCCCCACCCTCCAGCTAGATCTTGAACTGCAGGCTTATCTCCACCTGGCCACTTCCTGTCACCCCTTGGGCACCTCTGGTGTGCCCGGAACCTGTCCCACACCTATTTCTGCAGTGGCCCAGGACAAACACTTCGGCCTCACCTTTGCCCTCCAGTTCCTCCCACACCCCATCCTCCAAAACCCCTGGGGCTCAGTCAGCACCACCTCTTCCCCAGGTCAATTCCCAGAGCTTCCGGACCAGGTTGTCACCAGCTAAGCCAGAGGCCCCTTCCCTCCCATCAGCTCAGGGTCAGCCACGTGCGCTTCTGTCACCCCCACCCTTAGAGTGTGAAGAGTGCTGTGTGCTAGCAGGTGCCAACCCAAGGCTTCGGCCCTCTGCTGTATGAGCATTATGGGCTATCAGGGAGCCATTCCGAACCACTCCCCCGATGGCTCACAGGGCACTCAGTGAGCTGAAGTGCCCGGCTTGGCAAAGCCTCACTGTGAGCTCTGCTGTTCACTTGCTAGAGTCTTCCTCTCCCATCAGTGCGTGAGGTCCGCCAGTCACACTGTCCTCCACTGCTGGGCCCACAGCTGCACAAGAGCACGCTCTGCTTGCTCTTTGTTTTGTTTTTTGGTGGTACTGGGAATTGAACCCAGGCCCTGCACACTGAGCTGCATCCCCACCCTTCTTTATTTTGAGACAGTCTCTCAAAATTGCCCAAGCTGGGCTCAGACTGCTCAGGGTTACACGCCTGCACATGGCAGACCCATGATAGTGCTCACCACTACAACTATGACAGGTGACTGTGACATGGCAAGCTGTAAATACAAACCTCAGCTTTCTGTATTTTACAATCAGGTAAGAGTTCTAACTTGCTCAAAGACTTGGTGCACCTGAAGTAAATGATGTCTGACTCCTGGCTTCTGACTGCATTTGGACTCCTGCTGTGGACACTCTAAGGACAAGCACAGAGAGGGAGTCTGGCTTCCACAGATGTACGTACATGTCTGTATGCACAGACACACATTTCTTTAATAAGGTATTAATGTAAGGTGAATATATGAAGCGTACTGTTTGAGTTTTGACCTGTGAAATCACCTCAGTCAAGACAGTGAACATAGCCAGGCATGGTAGTGTATGCCTATAATCCCAGCACTCTGGGAGGCTGACGCAGGAGGATCTCATGTTTGAGCACAGCTTGAGCAAACTAGTGAGACCCTGCCTCAAAAAATAAGCTAGGCATGTAGCTCAGTGTAAAGTTCAGTCCTCAGTAACACACACACAACCTACACGTGTACATGTGCATGTGAGCAGGCAATGGCTGATTTGCTTTCCATTAGTACACACTACTTTGTAATTTCTAGAATTTTATAAAACTGACCATGCACTACACACCGTCTTGCCTGGACTCTTTCACCCAGTGTACCTGATTTTGGACCCACCTGTGTGTGGCAGGTGTCATGGATGGTTACCGGGCTGTCCTCCCTGTGCAGATAGAATATGACCTCCAGCTTGGTGAGCTGTGTGCAGATTGACTACTGGATTTGTTTTTATGACCCGGGATAGGGTCTGCTTGGATAAATAGTTCGTGTATACTGGGAAACAGTGAGGATTCTGCTGTTGGTATTTAGATAAAGTTGCTTCCTAGTGTTATTTAAATCTGATGCTTACTGATATTCCATCCACTTGCTCTATTAATTACAGAGAGCAGGGCTAAATCTCTAATTATGGATTTGTCTATTTTCTCTTCCTTTTAATTAGTTTCCACCTGTACTTTGAAGCTTACCCACCTAGGGTTATGTCCTGTTACTTAACTGAGCTTATCACCGTGAAATGACACCCTGTCCCTTCCTTTACTCTGAGATGTTTTTTGCCTAATGCTGATGATGTGTGGTACATCACTTTCTACAGTTTTTCACCTATTTTTATAATTGAAGTACATTCATTGTAGACATTTTAGTAGCTTTGACGTTTTAAAATCTGACAACCTATGCTTTTTATTTAGGGTGTATACACCATTTCCATTTAAAGCCTTTGGGTTGTTGTCATCCTTCTGCATATATTATAAATCTCATGAACACTGTTATCCTTGCATTAAACAGTAAACTACCTTTTAAAGATTTTTTTACAATTTTTAAGTTGGGCATGGTAGCATGCATCTAATCCCAGCACTATAGAAGGCTGAGGCAGGAGGATTGCAATTCTGAGCCCAACTGGGCTCTGCCCCCCCTTCCAGTAGTGTCATAGGCTGAGGACCAAGGGCTTTAACACGTGTGCCTTCAGGGGACATTTCATATCCAAATTATAGCACTGTTATGCATTAGAAGGATTCTCCCCTCCAGCTCCTGGGAATGCAGACTGTTTCCAGCCCCATGTGAATCCACTATTCCACTTCTTTCTGGAAGCTCTTTCCTTGGCCCCAGGAGTTTCCTACATGCACGCCTACATTGGTACACTCAGCCAGTGATACAAGAGGCGGTAGCTTTTCCAGATGTCTAGAGCTTATTTGCCCTCTCTGTGGCCTCCCCTAGATTACTGGGAACCTGTGAAGTTGCTGTGAGTGAGCAAGAAGACTGGGCTTTCTTAAATTTTAAACTGACCATTCCCAAATTTTTCATCGGAAGGGAGTAGTGACAGAATTGGAATATGACATGAACTTTCCATTCCCAAAAAAGAATGAGGGGGACTAACCCCTGGACCAAATTACTATAATGCATTGTAAAAAGAACAGAGAAACTACATGGTCCACAGTGCCTCAAACAAAAGAAACTGCATAGAGTGACACTGAAAACTGGAGTGAACTGGAGCAGAGGATTTCTGCAGATGTTCACACCTGTGTTTTCAGAAGCTATGAGGATGCCATCTGCTGTGGTCTGGCTGGGGCTTGGGTGTCCCCCAGGCTTCATGTTGAAATTTAATCCTCATAATGAGGGGAAAAAAGGTGGAAACAATCTGATTATGGAATCAGACTGTGTGGGGTGAGACTGTTGGGAAATGATCAGGATTGGTTATAGTCATAGGGTGCTGCCCCACGACTGAGCCTGGTGGCTTTATAAGAAGAGCAAGGGCCAGGGATTTAGCTCAGTGGCACTGCACCTGCCTTGCAAGTACAAGGTCCTGAGTTCCATCTCTGACACCAAAAAAAAAAAAAAAAACCAAAAAAACAAAACAGGGAGTGAGACCAGACACATACACACAGACATGCATCTCTTGCCAAGTGATACCCTGTGCCATCTCCTGACTCTGCCAGCAAGAAGGCCATTAGCAGATGTGAGTCCTTAAATCTCTAGGACCTTTTTATTTGTAAAGTTATTCTAACTCAGGTATTTTGTCACAGTAAGGAAAGCTATTACATCATCCATGAAATTATGAATCAGTTCAAGGTGGACATTTGTTTCCCTCAGAAAAACAGTCCCAGACAACCTGGAGAAGCCATCAGTGAGAGCCTCGCTGGCTAATTTGGCAGCACTGAGATATGGAAAAGAACACAAGCCCTCAGCCTCCCTGCGAGAAATCCAAGGCACATGCCAAGGATATGTGGAAAGAGACACTTCTCAGCCCACAGAGAAAAGCCTCCTCATTGAGCAGCTCGGAAGGGTCTCCCAGCTCAGGGACTCACTGGGCCCCGAGGCTCTCCCTGTGTCTCTTTGAGACATTCTCCCTCCAGATGAATGTCTGAAGCCCTCTAAGTTGAAATGCCATCAAAACACTGGTCTCTGGGCCGGGGATTTAGCTCAGTGGTGCTGCCACCTGTCTCACAAGTGAAAGCTCCTGCATTCAATCCCATTAAAAATAATAATAATAAAGAAAAAAAACACCGGTCTCAATTTGATCCAGATCTGGATCCTTCGTAAAACTCCTGGCACAGTCCTTGTGCTGCCAGGGTCTTGTGGTAGCATCCGGGGCATCCATCTCTGGAGCAAACGCCCACCTCAGGACCTGTTCCTTGACATCTGTGCCCTGGGACAGGCTTTCCACTCATACAAATGCTACATATGCATGACGAAAGGTCACACAACAACCCACCGTAGATGGCCGAGCCTGGTACCATCAGAGAGCACAAAGACTTCACTGGTATTTCCCTCTCCTGGGGCTAAGAGTCTCCTTCCTGGGCCTTGACCAGGAAATACAGGCTTCCTAACTTTAAAAAACAAAATAGTACTCTCCTTTCAAAATGTGAACATACATCATAAATTTTCTTAAGTCTTAAGAAAAATCTGGGTTACAAAAACACAGATCATTTTGATGAAGGTTCATCCATTCCAGAATAAAACCATCCCTTGCTTTGTAAATTCCAAGGTATTGTTACCTGATTTACTAGTGTATGAATGCTTCCAAATCTGTTTCCAGACAAGCCATCACATGGAACATTTAAGGAGAATTCAGTGCTTTGGTCAGGAACCACGGTGAGTGAGAAGGATATGAGAGCTTCAAAGAATTCCAGGAAAACCAGCTGAAAGACAAGAAAACACAGGAGTCTCATTCGGATGTACTGAGAGGTGGGCTGGCAACTGACCTGAGAGTTGACTTCTTTTTTTTTTTTTAATTAAAATTTTTTTTTATTTTTGACATAGGGCCTCATTCTAGTTCAGGCTGGCCTTGAACTCACTATGTAGCCCAGGCAGGCCTTGAGCTAGTAGTTATCCTCCTGTCTTAGCCTCCCGAGTGCTGAGATGTCAGGTGTGTACCACCCATGCCAGGCTGGGAGTTGATTTCATTTTTTTGGTACCAGGGATCAAACTCAAGATTTTGTACTTTCGAGGCAGGTGTCAGCACCACTGAACTAAATCCCTGGCCAACCAAGGGGGATTCATTTCTTTATCATCATTTCTGACATCTGCAATACACTTCTGCCAAGCATGGCACACCTGTAGTCCTGGCACTCAGGAGGCTGAGGGAGGAGGATCGCCATGAGTTTGAGGCCAGCCTGGGCTACGTAATGAGTTCCAGACCAGACTGGAATATACAGTGAGACCATCTCAAAAAAACTGAAAAAAGAAAAATCCATTGCAATGCCCTTCCAATATTAATCTCTAGTATTCTAATATAATCAAGGATATATTTACATATACAAGAATGTATGTATGTATCATTTTATGAGTTTGAATTCAGATTATTTTTCATCAAATTTTGGTTCTTGGTATCCAAAGTAAAACATACATTCTTAATTGGCTTTGGAGTCTTTTTTGGGGGGGGTACTGGGGATCGAACTCAGGACCTTGCCCTTGTAAGGCTGAATCAAATTTGTACCATTTAGACACTGCTTTACAAACCTCAAGTTCAAAGTTGCTGTCAATTCCATCGTGTATGAAAGGATTATCCTCTGCTATTACTGCCACAAATTTGGTTGCAGTTAATTCTTTATTTATCATTTTAAAGTCCTGTAAAAGAAACAACCAACCAAACCATAACTTGGTATAGAGGTATATACTTTAATATCAATAAACCACTTTTTAAAAATGTACCAGAAGTCTTTATCTTAAAAACTGATCATCTGATTTTTGTTTTTTGAAACAGGGCCTCGCTGTGTAGTTCAGGCTGTCCTTGAACTTGAGGCAGAGGTGATCCTCCTGCCTCCACCTCCCAAGTGCTAGAATTACAGGTGTTCACCACCACGTCCAGCTACCAAAAACTGACCACTTTCAGCAGCATTCTGGACTAACATGAGTATTTACCTCTCTATCCTTTTTCCAGTTCCTCTTACACACACACACACACACACACACACACACACACACACACACACGTCAGAGAAAATGGGAGAGTAAATGATCCAAGTATGAAACAGCGACACAGTCCAGAAGCTAGGGAGCACTGGGCTGGTGGGCTCAGCAGAACAAGCAGAGGAGCTGAAGGGGTACAGAGTGAGTGGAAGGAAAGGCCGCACACAGGGAGACCAGCTCGAGTCTGGCTGGAGCCCTTTCCACATGGAAGGTCCATACTCAAGAGACCGAACTGGAAGAATCTGGCTGGGAAAACATTCGGTGCCCCTCAAGTCACAGTGCTATGCTAGAAAAGAGGATTGGGTGAAAACGGGTCTTACTGTCACCCCTCCCACCCCACCTTTCCTCTGTCCCAGGACCTGTGACACCCAGGTCCAAATCCCCAGCAACTGCCAGAAGTTCTCATCCAAGAGACAGGATCTGCACACTCGCAGCTCACCATGGGGCAGCGACCTGGCAACATGCTGTACTGAAGCTTCACCCCTGCCAAGCGCCACTACCCACAGAGATATCATCAGCTTAACAGCCACAGCCAATAGTGACATACAGGCCTTACACACGGCAGCGCAAGATAGAAGCACAGAAGCCAGAGAACAAGCTGGGCACAGTGACACAGCCCTGTAACCTCAGCACTCTGGAAGGCTGAGGGAGGAGAATCATAACCTCAAGGCAGCCTGGCCAACTAAGTGTGAGACTCTCTCAACATTTTAAAAGGATTGCATTGTAGCTCAATGGCAGAGTGCCTGCTATTGCATGAGGCCCTGAGTTCAATTCCTGGTACCTCACCAAACTGCAAACAAAACCTTTGAATTGCTAGGCTATCAACTCACTGTCCTGAAATTTAATAAAAGTGGGGAAAAATCAAACATGTATCTCCCCTTTCCTTTATGGACTTATATTTCAGAGTATTCAAATAACTGGTGAAGTGAAGCTCTTTTTAAAATAAACCTCACAGCTAATACATGCTGTGGATAAGTGAAATAATAGACTTTGGAGATTACCACAGTACTGTCCCTGGTGAAGTACTGAACATCACCAATGGCCATCATGAGCTGCTAGAGGAAGGCTTGTGGAAAACATCATTGAAGGGCCCTGCCACCACCCAGGAGCCCACTGAAACCCCAGAAAACATTTGTGATGCAGTGCCACAGGAAGAACCCAGAACCACCCGGGTCACACGGAGCCTCTAACTGCCACTGGCATGGAATTGTGACAGGAAAGGACATGTTAAACACCATGAAAAGGATACAGTCAAAGCCAAGATAGCTCACCTACTCTGCAAGGACAAATGACCATGAAGTAAAGGGCAAGGTAACCTGAAGTTGGTGGCACATGCCTGTAATCCCAGCACCCTGGGAGGCTGAGGCACGAGGAACCCAAGTTCAAGCCCAGCCTGGGCAACTCAGTGACTTAGGGAAACCCTGTCTCAAAATTTAAAACTTTTAAAAAGGGCTGGAGATGCAGCTCATCTTGAAGGCTTCAGGTTCAATCCCCAGTACCACAAAAACAAAAGGGGAGCTCAGGCAAACAAATAGACAGTTGTATATCTCATCCCCTTGCTATATACTTTTAAAAGCTTATTTTCCTAAACACATGATTACTGTCTGCTTTTTACATACATGCAGTACTGTTAAATGTCTTAAAGCACTGTCATTAGTTAGTATTCGACTCTTTCAGCTTCATCAATTACAGATTAAAAAGATCCTAGAACACAAACCACCAATAGTATGAGAACACTGTATAAACAAGATGTCACTGCTTTCTGCGGCTAGGGAGGTAGCTCTGTGGGAAAGTGTTTGCCCCATATGCACAAGGCCCTAGGTTCCCACTGCCAGAAAAACCAATCATAATAAAAATGGCACTCAAGCCCTCCTCTACCTCTCAGAGGCCAGGTCTGCAGCAGTACAGACACTGGAGTGAAGCCGTCCCTAACCCCTAATGTGAGAGCACATCAGGAAGGCAGCCCCTCTTTCTGTGCCTCCCTTATCACAGACCATTTGTGTTACTCTCTGCCAAAGAAAACTCTGTTAAACATTCAACTATGAAAATTCATTCTAGATGGGGTGTGGTGGCACATGTATGTAACCCTAGCTACTCAGGAGGCTGAAGCATGAGGATCACAAGTTTGAGGCCAGCCTGAGCAACTTAGTGGGAGCCTGTTTCAAAATTTTTTTCTAAAGGAGATAGGGATGTAGCTCAGGGCTGGAGCACCTGCCTAGCAGGCACAGGGTCCTGGGTTCCATCCCAGAAATGCTCCCCAATTCAGCCTTGATCTTCACCTCATTATTTATATATTATAGCTAGGATAGCTTGCTTTTCTTTAATGTAAAGATGCTGTAAATATAAAGCCAGTATCAAACCCAAGTGGAATTAAACTTACTTTCAGCATCCACAGGAAGTGTCTCATCTTCATTGTAAGCTCACCAGGAGGAGCTGCACTCGGTCTGCAGTAAGCTGTGTAAATCTCCCAGCACTTATCAATATAATTCATTATATAGAGTGCCCCCTCTCCCTCACTGAATAAATTGCCTGAAAATATAACATTCAAAAACTGATTACAAATTAAATTTTGAAAAATGATGGTGAATAGTACCCCTTTTACTTTCATATTTACCTTTTACCTGGAAGGCATTTGGACGAATATTTTCAGTCATCAGTTTTGTAAAACACAGAAAGAGCGATGGGCTTCGATTTCTATGATTAAAAAGACATCACAGTTATTCCCCCCAGGAGCTGGAACTTAACAAGTTCCCTCTTCTGGAGTGTGGACTAGACTTAATAACCAAACTGTAATAGACAGGGTAGAGAAAAAGACAGACCATGAGTTGCCAGTAGAAAACCCTGCCTGGCCCCATTCTGACCTGCAAGCAGGGTTAAGCTTGCCTCTAACAGGACATCTGACCTCGTGTACAGCCTGTGTGATGGAGGGCCGTCCACCAGCATGGTATTCTTCCCCAAACCCATAACCTCAGTAGAGTCATAAGACTGCTTCACAACACTGAAACGGGAAGTTTCACACAAGGACTGGCCAGGATTAAGTGTCAAGGTCACTATAGACAGAGTCTGAGACATGATCACAGGTCAGAGGAGCCCATGAGGGCATGACCAGTCAGTATAAAGTGGCATCCTGGACTTGATCCTGGGACAGAAAGGGGATAGTGGGAAAACTGGAGAAATCTTTTAAAAGCCTATAACATTAATATCACAGTAACATTAATTCCTTGCTTTTGATGAATGTACTGTGTTACATAAGGGGGATGTGAGTGAAAGGTATATAGGAACTCTAGATAGTAACTCAGCCAAACTTCTGTAAATCTAAAAAAAATAAAAATTTTGTGGGGGGAAAAACATGGGCTGGGGATTTAGCTCAGTGCACCGCACCTGCCTTGCAAGTGCAAGGTCCTGATCCCCAGTACCAGAAAAAAAAAAAGGTATCATGTTTGCTTTAAGGCAGAAAATTCTCTCCTAAGAAATGAGTTGGCCATACCTCCTTCTGAGTAAAATTCCAGCAGCTCTACACAACATTAAAATGGCTCAGACATGAAGGGTGTTTAGAATCGTACTATAATGTCTTATGGCTTTGTGGCTGAAATGTGGGGGGTGCTTCTAGACCTTGATTTTTGGGGCCATATGGGCACAATAGTGATCATTGGAGAAAAGAGGATGACAGGCACTTACTGGTATTCTTTGTGATGAATGTGGTAAGCCAACTGCAGGAGATAACTCAAGAATGTTCTCAAAAGTATTTTTCTAAACGGAGAATGAATTTCTTCAACTGGTATGCTGTTATTGGCTAAAATAAGAAAATTGGAGAGCATGCATTGTCTTTCCAGCAGTGCCTGTTGTATTTGCTCCTCGTGTACAACCCAGAGAACTCATGACTCTAATGGAGTCCACACTCCTCAAGAGTACTCAGAACATTATGCCATGGGGCGGCTCGTACCGTTGGTGGTACAAATGGATCTGATCACCTTTATCCATCTTTTTATTATTAAAATTTAAAAGTGTATAAATGGACCAAATCTAGTTAAGTTGCTTAAATTTGAATTACTACCCAAATATAAATATTAATTAACAATATTCATACCAATTAAAAATTATAGTAATTAACAAATTTATTTTATTAAATTAAATCAGAGCTGCCCAATAGTAAGACATGAATTATGGCCCTGTCGTGAATATGTTAAAAATGTTTAGTAGTATCTTTTTAAAATTTTATTGGCACATTTTAGATACATATATAATGATCACATAAATATTTATTTTTGAGAAGATAATTTGAGGCTTTCAGTTCTGCCTCTCAGAATTTAGCCGAAAGGAATAAAACCTTCAAGGTTGTTAAATTTATCTTACGGACATTCTATTTGAAATCTTAAGACTGCCTGTAATGGTTTAGATCTAAAATATCCCCTAGAAGGCTCATGTATTCAGAGGTGGGGATTTTGGAAAGTGACTGGATCCTGGGGGCTCTACACTTATCAGTGAACTAAATGTGTGGTTAGCTAAATGTGTGCTTAGGTGTATCACTGGGGTGTGCTTCTGGAGAGCATATCTTCCTCCCTTCTCTCTCCGTTTCCCGGACACCTTGACCTTCCACCATGATGTTCCCACCTTGGAGCTAGATGACCATGGCCTAAATTGCCTGAATCACAAACCAAATTAAACCTCTCCTCCTTTAAGTTGTGGGTTTTAGGTATTTGTCCAGCAACAGGAAGGCTAATACACTACCTAAAGCCTTTTCTACACTATTCCAAACATTCACTCATCCTCCTTGACCTGATAGTTTCATGCTTTTCCACTACAGACTGGGGACAGGCACACTTTTCTGTAAGGAACCTGAGAGTAAAATGAGGCTTTATGGTCCAGGATGGCTCAGTCATGCTCTGTAGTGTAGGACAAAAGCAGCCACAGGCAGAAGATGGACACAAACATCACTATGTTCCAGGGCTTCAGGAGAACAGGTGGTGAGTGGGACTGGCCAGAGGCCATACTTTGCTGACCCTTTTATTGATGGGCTTGTACTGTTGCTATTGTTGCATAAGGTCACCTCTGTAAATACAGTATAAGCATGGAAAGCAAGGCCACACATCGATTTCTGGAATACCCCTCCTGACCTGTGCCTTCTCTACTTACCCGACTTTTTTTTCCCCTCAGTGCTGCAGGTCAAACCAAGGGCCTCATAGGTTAGACAAGTGCTCTGCCACTGAGCCACACACCCAGCCCTCCTAACTTGTTCCTATGATGTCACGGCATGTTAATCATCCTCTAGTCCCAAAGAAGTGATGGACCTGCAATACTCACCATTTAACATCCGATCCATATCAGCAAGAGTTATATTGTGGTGATGAAACTTGCAATCTTTTAGAAATCTCCAGAAGTGAAGCTTTGTCATGAGGAAGGTGTTGTCCGGAGAGTGGTCACATCCAAGGCTGCTGTAGAAGCTATAGATTCTTCTTAATTCTGTAATGCTTCTTAAGAGAGCATATTCTACCTGAAGAGAAGAAAGCCATGTGTATCTTTTCCTGCCTTGTGAGAATAAGACACAGTGCCTGCTTTCTAGACTACACAGCACTATGTACCTCTGCCTCTCCATGAGTACCATCCTGCCGGCTCACCTCCACTCAATAAAATGCAATTTCTGATTAACAGTAACAAAATATGTTGTTTTCTGGAAAAGAGAGTTACTATCATATTGCTATGTGATCACATCCTGTCTCAATGGCAGCAATATAAAATTGTTACCTACAGATCAATATCCCTTGAGTCCATAGATGCAAAGTTCCAGGACAAAATAAACTCAATCCAGAAATCTACAAAAAGAACAGGACATCAGCATCAAGTGGTTCCTCCTGCTGCAGCCTCCCAGAGTGCTGGGATTATAAGCAGATACTACCAAGTGGATTTAATTGCAAGGCTGGTTTCAACACTTGAAAAATCAAGGTAATTCGTCATGTTGGTAGACTAAAAAAGAAAAATCACATGATCATACCAAGTGATGCATCTGACAGCAGTTAACATCTGTTCATGATAAGCACACTCAACAAATTAGGGATAGAAAGGAACCCTTAACCTGCTAAATGGCTCGTACAAAAATATAGCTAACAGCATAGAAAGGCTGGAGGTGTGAAGTAAGCAATGTTCATGCTCTGTTACTAACCTCTCTGTCCCCAGGTCCCGCATGAAACTCCCACCCATGCTACCCAACAGCCTGTATGGTGTACCCTTCTACTCCAGGTGTCTGTGTCTCAGTGCTGAAGAACAGCATAAGGGGTCCCAGGTAGCCTGAAGAGCCTCCCTGAGTTGTGGCATCAGGCACATTACACTCAGCATTACCTCCTGCCTTTTAAGATTCAGCACGATTTATGCTCTATCCTAAAGCATTATTCTAGAGCACAGAACTTGTCTTAGTGAACCTCAAAATGTAATAAAGAGGGGCCGGGGATTTAGCTCAGTGGTGCCACCGCCTGCCTTGCAAGAGCAAGGTCTGGAGTTTGATCTCTGGTACAAAAAAAAAGAAAAGTAGTAAAGAACCCAAGACATGCAGTGTATGCAAAAAGGAGGTGTCAATGGGAGAGCAGAGTGGAGGCAGAGGAGAGTGGATCTAAGCAAGGAGCTTCCTGCAGGGCTCAGAGAAAGGAATAAGGAACAGAAACACCCTGCAGGTGCCCATGGCGAGCTGGGCCTGGGACAGACAGTGGGGTGACCTGGAGCAAGGCTACCATCCTTCTCTGCCCCATTTCTGCTATGCAAAAACACTTGCCCCAGAGGCTGTTGGGAAGATCCAGGCACTTGAAGGCACTGGAACCCAGGGCCAGGGGCCACTGTGCAAGCAGCAGCACTGTCACCATGTGAGTTCACAGTTAGGATGGGGTTTGGCTGAGGCAGGCTGGGCAGAGAGGCTGAGGTTGGATCCCATGAAGTTGAGACAAGGGCAACAACTGGAGTGGGACAGGATAGCTTGAAGGCTTACAGGACCCCTGCCTGCATGTTTAGCTTGTTCTAGCTGGACCTGGAATGCTCCAGGACCTCTACTCAAAAAGACACCATATTTTGATTAAGACACCAAAATGATACCAATAACAGACAATACATGTAATCATAGCAAAACTTAAATAGATCCAAATTAAGGGAAGTCTACAAAATAACCGACCAGTACGCTTCAAAAGTCTCAAGGTTACGAACAACATAGAGGAGCTGTCAGACCAGAGGTGTAAAAGACACCTCTGTCTTTTAAGTACAGTGTGGGGCCCTGAACAGAAAAAGGGCATTGGGAGGGAACCAGGTGAATTCTGAGGCAGAAGTCTGGTTTAGGTAACAGTGCTGAAGCAGTGAGCAGGTCTGGGGCCCATCATATGCCAGGGTCATCAGAAGATGCCAGGAGAGGGAAGCTAGGGAAAGGCATATGGAGACTGTGATTATTCAACTCTCTGTAAGTATAAAATCATCCAAAATAAAATGTAAAGAAAAAATCATACACAGTGTGCTAATAAAATTGTAGTGTGCCCATTATGATGAAGTATACTCATTAAAAATGTTCAAAAAATATTCAAAGGTATTCTTAAAAGATCCTTTCCCTTTCTGTCTCATATATTTCTATGTTTGAATTTTTTGGTAAAAGCGTGTTCCTCTGTGATTATAAAACATTCAGGATCTTACTTTGTCCTGCAGGCTGGCCTTGAACTCACTATATAGCCCAGGCTGGCCTCAAATTTGTGGTGATCCTCCTGCCTCAGCCTTCTGAGTCTGCAATTACCAGCACACACTACTATGCCCAGCTTTGCATGCTTTGACATAGAACTCTAAATTGTGAAGTGAAGTGTGTGTGAATTGTGTATATGTGTGTGTACATGTGTAAAATACAGAAAGGGGAAGGAGAATAATACAAGCAATCTCACTTTTCTTGGTAAATCAATATATATTATTTGTATTGTGTATTTACCTAAAAACTACATTGTAGGAGACTATCTAGTGCACTGAATAACTATCATTAAGTTCTTCATGAGAACAGAGATTCTGTGAACAGAATGATCCCATTTCTATGTCTGTATGCATATGAAAAGTTAGGAAGATAGCCACAGATTTGTCTGGCTAGAAATCCACTTTTTCCTTATCTGTGTTTTCTACATTTTTTTTTACTTTTGTAATTAGAGGAAGTGGGAAAGACTATTGTTTTTAACAAGAATCATGGGGCGGAAGTAAGTGATCCTAGGCACCTGAAGTACAGCATCAGCCTTTGGAGCCAGAAGAGGCGGAGGGAGGATGGGCAAAGTCTTCCTTTCTGGGGGCCCAAGGAGCAGGGCCCAGGTGCTGGGTGAGGAGGAAGAGAGAAGAGGAAGATGCATGGCGACAGCCAGTCACCATGCCCAGCCCAAGCAGGGGTCACTAGTACTAAAATGTCATTTTGCTGTGACTTGTTAGGTATGAATCAAATAAAGTCCACATACATAATTTTCTCTGTCTCTAAGGGTTTAGGTACCCATTCATTTCTTGTTTTGCATTTTATTGTTATTTTGTTTTTACAGTGCTGGGGATGGAACCCAGACTGGCCTTGAAGTTATAATCCTCCTGCCTCATCCTCCCGAGTAGCAGAGATTATAGGAGATACCAAAGCACCCAGATTTTCAGTGATTTCTAAGGGCTTTAAGTTCTGCTGAACCCCAGAAGTCCATAATCAGGCAGAATTAGTGTCTCACTGAGGAGGTGGTGACAGCCTTAGTCTTCAAGCCACACTGAGTTTGATAGCAATGTGACTGTTAGGGGCTCTGAGGCTCTGAGGACCTTGTGGGGACCCTCTGCCTGGGCTCCCAGGATTGCCTTGGAAATTAAGTGGGATGATCTATGTAAAGCATCCATCATGGGACACACGACAATGACCACCAATGGTCACTCCCAGGACCAGGGAGACTACAAATAGTTAAGCCTAAAATACAAATTTATAACAGTGCAAAGTGTTTGACCTGCTTCTTTTCTTCTTCTTGTTCTTCCTTAGGGTACATGTTCACCAGCAGGTTGAGGTCCAGCTCCGTGCTCAGGCCTAGCGCGGAGGGACTCTCCTTGCCCTCAAGCTTTCTGATCCTTTCTAGAAAACAGAGGTAAAACAGGAGACAAATATGAAAAGCAATGTTAAAGTTTTTCAGTGTTACGTCAGAGTGATTCCCTACCACAAGGTAATACAAGATCATTCAGAAAACCTACTAAGAAAACAGTTGCAAGCCAAGTGTAGTGGTGCACACCTGTGATCCCAGCACTCTAGGTGGCTGAGTCAGGAAGATGGCAAGTTTGAGGCCAGACCAGGCAACTTAGTGATTCAGCCAGATCCTGTCTCAAAATAAAAAATGAAAATGTTGGAGCTGTAGTAAGGCCCCTGGGCTCAATCCCTAGTACTGTAAAAAAGAAGGGAAATGAAGAGAAAGGAAAGAGGAAAGGAAGAAAAAGGAGGGAAGGAAGAGAGGGAAGAACTGTTGCTCATAGGCAGCTCCTGTTTCCTGAGGAATCGGGGGCTTTTTAAAGGATACCAGGGCCACCAGACAGGCAAAGTCTCCTACCAGCACTGAGAGAAGATCGGCACTGCTTGCTCTTGTGGACCCCTTTGGCGTGCAGGTCCAAGTAACTCTGGATCTCAACATCAGGGTCTATAAACTGAGCTATGTGGTCATTGGAGAACAGCCCTTCATACACACGCCCGTTCTTGAAAGTTAATCGGCCCTGCAGGTAGGAAAATGACTACTTACCATTTGGAAAAAGTTTTTTGTAAAAGCATCTACTGGTAAATGTGCGACAGCAGTCTCTTCAAGGTTTGGGAGCTTTCTGTTTGTTTGCTACTGGGAATTGAACCCAGGGCCTTCACTCTGAGCTACATCCCTAGCCTTTTTATATTTTTCATGTTTTTTTTTTAAAAACGATGACAGAGTTTCACCTTTATTAAAGGTAGGAAAAAACAGGCTATAGTTTTCATTTTGAGACAGGGTCTCATGAAGTCATTAAGTTCCCCAGGTTGGGCTCAAGCTATGATCCTACTGAATTACAGGTATGTACCACCACGCCCAGCTCGTTTGTTCTAAAGCTTCATACTCAGTCCACACCCTCAGCCTGCGGTGTCTCTCACCTCACTGTGTCGGCCCCTCCTCTTCCCACTTCTCCTTTCCCTTCCTCTCCCCTCCTCTTTCTGTATCTATCCCAGACCTCTGCCCAACTTTGAGCCTCTGGTCACAAAACGGATCTTACTAAGTGAGGCAAGTGACCTACACAGTGCCTGTCACGCAGCAGGGACTCCCTTGCCATTTGTCAAGCCCAGGTCGGTGGTCAGTGACTCAGAGATGGGAAAACAATTCAGCTCAGCTCTGTGAAATTAAAAACATCTGTAGAGAGCTTCTAGGAGAAGTCTCTTTTCTAGTTAGTGCAGATGTGCATGTGAAGCCTGGAACTACAGCAGCCACCATGAAGTCATGGGACAGGGGCGACACAAGAATGAAGCTGACAGGGAGGGAAATATTGTGTGTAGACAGGAAAGAAACCCTGATTTCTCTTATTCTTCATTCATATATATCAGATTAAGCTAGATTGTTACTTTTAACCAAATTCACCCTAACACACAGATACATAACACAAACTAGTAACTGCACTATTCAGAAATTAGATAATATGTAGGAAATATTTAAAAATTTATATAATCGTCTCAACAAAGAATAACCTATCTGTGTAAAAGAGAGAATGCAATTTATCACAGAACGACCTGCCCTAGCTCACCTTTAGGAGGTGACTTCACAGGTCCACACTCACCATGCCGTGTTTCTTATTACAGACCCAGTCGCCCTCGTACGTGGCTCCGCTGGCATAGTAAAACTTCCCGTGTCCGTGGCGACATCTGTTCACAAACTCTCCTACGTATTCATTCCTCAAAGGATACTGGGAGTTGGGGATTCTCTTTATAAACCATTTGTGTGTTCCAAAACCATTCTGAAAAGAAAGCAAACCAGCCAGGCATGGTGGCAAATCCCTTGACTCCCAGCACTCGGGGGTGGCGAGGACTTAGGGAAGAGGGTCACGTATTTGAGGCCAGCCTGGACTACAGTGAGACTCTCAGAAACCAAGTAAGATAAATGAAAGCAAATAGCCATCAGGAACATTCAAACTATTTTACCTAAATCCATTTAAAATTAAGACAAATACAATATAATTTGAAGGAGTAAAGAAGAGAAACCATACAGACTTGAGTTCCAGCTCAGCTCAAGCAATTTCTAACCAGTTTTTGACCTAAGGCAAATTACTGAAACCTTTAAAGGTTCTTCACCTACAAAGTGAGAAAAAACACCTTATTCTCCAGGCTCCATGCAGAGTTCTAAGATAGTGCATATGGCTTGACAATAATTATTTTAATCATTGTGTTACCTTTTTATTTTTTTAAGCATACACTTTGATAAAAGTACCCACTCCTCAACCTCACTGTCCAGAAGCAACTCACTAGCCTGAGAGTCTGTCTGTTGGTCCCACTCACCTGCAGTAAGACATATTAAATCAACATCCTCTGTGTACCATTGTGTAACTCCTGGTTGTTTATACAAGGACAGATCAAAAAGTACAATGTTGTTTAAATAAACAAAAGTATTATAGTAAAAGACGTATTGCCATGAGTCTCCCTCAAAATACTCTTCCAAGAGCCAGGGATTTAGCTCAGTGGTGCCACTGTCTGCCTCTAAGCTCAAGGTCCTGAGTTTGATCCCCGGTACCAAAGAAATAAAAAATACTCCTCCCAGCCTTGAACACACTATCCCATTGTTCATGCCACTTTCTGAAGCAATTCTGGAAATTCTATTTTGCAAGTGTCTTCAGTTGTACTGTTGTGGCTGCCTTGATGTCCTGTGATGATTCAAAATGTTTACTTTTCATGGTCATTTTGAGGATGAGCCAGAAGTTGCATGTTGCCAGATCTGGTGAATAAGGTGGAGGAGAACTCACTGTCCAGTTTTTATGAGCCTGCTTTCCATTGGATGGCACGTGGCAATGGCATTTACTGGGTTTTCTATCACAACTCATAAAGACACCTATGAAAGAGGACTTCCAGAGCTGCATCAGAAAGTGGCAAGAGTAACAAGATATGTTTGAGGTGAGGGGGATTCAGAGCAATGTTTCTTTTACTGTAATAAAATTAGGACATTCACCATATTTTTTTATCACACCCTATATACATAAAGAATAGAAAACTGGGGCCAGGGATTTAGCTCAGTGGTGCCACCACCTGCCTCACAAGCACAAGGTCCCAAGTTTGATCCCCAGTACCAAAAAAAAGAAAAGAAAACAGGGACTCAGATATTTGTACACCCATATTCACAGTAGCACTGTTTACAATAGCCCAAAGGCAGACACAAGTGTCCCATAGATAAATACATAAACAAAATGTGGTCTCTACAATGGAACATTTTTCAGCCCTAAAAAGAAATTCTGGCACATGCTACACCATGCATGGATAAACCTCGAGGACACTGTGTTCAGTGAAATAAGCCAGTCACAAAAGCATAGATACTCTACAATTCCACTATGTGGGAGACGTAGAATGGTCCAACTCACAGGGATACAAAGTAGAAGGGAAGGCTGGGATTTAGCTCAACGGCACAGCGCCTGCCTGGCAAACTCGAAGTCCTGAGTTTGATCCCCGGTACCAAATAAGAAAGTTAAGATCAGGGTCAGGGATGTAGCTCAGAGGCACTGTGCCTACCCTGAAAGCACAAGGTCCTGAATTCAATTCCCAGTATCGGAAAAAAAAAAGTTATGATGGAGCCAGGTGTGGTAGCACATGCCTATAATCCTAGCACTTGGAAGGCTGAGGCAGGAGGATTGCTGTGAGTTTGAGGGCAGCCTGGGCTACACAGTGAGTTCAAGACCAGCCTGGGATACACAGTGATGAGACCTTGTCAAAAGAAAAGAAGCACAGTCCCCAATACCACACACACACACACAAAGAACGAGGTTGCCAATTACTAGATTAATATATAAGCCATTAGCATTTGGATCAGTGGTGCACACCTATAATCTCAGCACTCTGAGGAGCTGAGGTAAGAGGACTGCAAACTCGAGGCCAGCTTGGGAAATTTAAGACCCCGTCCTCAAAATTACAAAGTTTGAGCCCAGCCTGGTAACTTAGCTACCTAGCAAGACCCTGTCTCAAAATGAAAAATATTTTAAAAAAAGGTTGGATGAGAAGGAACTGAGCTCAATCCCCAGTACTACCCCCGCCAAAACAAACAAACAAACAAACAAAAGACAAAACATTAGAAAATTCAAGCTTTGTAATCCCAGCCACTCGGAAGATTGCAAATTTGCAGCCAGCCTGGACAGCCAGCCAGACCTTGTCTCAAAATACATAAAAATGGCTGGAGGGGTAGCCAGAGCTCCCTGGGTACAAACCCCAGTACCACAAAAGAAAAAAGATAGCTTAAGCTTTATACACAATGTTAAATTTGCTAGCTGATGTTTTTCCTGCTCTGTGCAGGCATCCATAGCCAGTGTGAACACCTACCTCTGTTCTTGTAGGAGCTGCAGAACTCATTGACTCACCATGGCAGAGCCCTGCTTGTCAGGGAGGCTCAGAGGACCCGACAGCCGTGCAAAAAGTGTAGCTGACACCCCTCAACCCCAATTTGAGTTTCTCAGTTCAGCCAAGCTTGAATTTCAGATTAGCACACAGAGCGATTCCAGGCAGCACAGGCTCAGAGTGGCCGTGGGGCCCGGGAGTGTGTGGCGCTCACCTGGGTGCCCCTGTCCCACTGGCCGTCATACTCCTCCTGGGTCGTCAGCCACCTCATCTTGCCCTTGCCATGGCGCATGTTGTCTTCCCACTGGCCTTCGTATATGTTTCCAGATTTGTAACTGGGACAAAGAAACCAAGGAGGTACAATCAGTTGCCTCATATGCAATGTTTGTCTTTAAGACTTTTAGGCCAGGGATGGTGGCACATGTCTGTAAGCCCAGCACTGGGGAGGCTGAGGCAGAAGGATTACTATGGAGGCCAGCCTGGGCTATACAGTGAGTTCAATGCCAGCCTGAACTACATAGTGAGACTCTGTCTCAAAAAATAAATAAGTAAAAATTTTAAAAAGATTCTTAGCTACTCAGGAGGCTGAGGCAGGAGAATTACCAGTCGAAGGTCAGGTGGGCAACTTAGTGAGGCTCTATTTCAAAATAAAACATTTTAAGTGGGGGGTTTAGCTCAGTGATAGACCACTTGTGGGCATGCATGGGGCCCTGGGTTGTTCCATCCTCAGCAACACACACACACACACACTCATACTCACACATATAATGCTTAAAATTTCCTCCAAATACCTGTGAAGCAGTACAGTCCTGTGTCCAGACACTCCTGTAAACTGAAACTCACTGGGTAGGTATGTGGTAAATAAAAACAGTAATCGTAGGGAGCGGGATTAATCACTTTATTGAACCTGCTGATTATTTAATAAGGTAACAAAGTGGGTAACAAGAGTTTTACATCTTTCAGAAATTTGTTTTTTGGGGCTGGGGATTTAGCTCAGTGGTACCAAGACTGCCTCACAAGAACAAGGTCCTGAGTTCGACCCCTGGTACAAAAAAAAAATTTTTTTTCCAGTACTGGGAATTGTACCCAGGGCATTCACAATGAGCTATATTCCCAGCCTTTTATTTTAATTTTTATTAGACAAGTTTGCTCTACATTGCTAAGTTGCCCGGCTGGCCTCAAACTTGTAATCCTCCTGCCTGTCTCCCAGGGTTCTGGGATTACAGGCATGTGCCAGCATACCTGGCTAGACTCAACTCCCTATTGTATTATAACTTTTTAATATTTTGCAATAAATATTTTAAGATTAAAATTATCAGCTCAATCTAAAAAGCATATAACTAATAGTGGAGGTGTATGATCAATACAGAGAACAGGGAAGGCAGTTTCGACTAAGGTGAAATAGTATATAATCATAATACAGTATTTTTCTAAATCTTCCATAGACTATTTCCATCACTACAGAGATGATACTGGGATCAATTTACATCACACCCTGGCTAGACAGAAAATATGTTCTCTGCGGTTTCTTCAGCCTACCATTAGCCTAAGTGGCAACTGTTTGGGGCCAGAGACACCTGTGTGCCCACCCCACACGAGGCCAAGTCCCACTTACCACCTTGTGCCCCAGCCCTTTCTGATGTTGTGGTCCCAGTCACCTTTGTACCAGGAAGTGCCCTCTTGATTGTAATAAATGGAGCCCTAAAACAAATAATATCATTTTCTTAAAAAGTCAAGCCTTAGAACACAGATGAACTTTTAAATGTAAAGAAAAAATTACAGAAAGCTAAAAAGCATAAACTCTGCAGAAGTCAATGTCATACTTACAAGATTTGCATGATCCTTCAAGCTTCTGTTTTGCAATTAAAAAAAAAAAAAAAGGTGTTCCTAGCAAAGAATGGGAAGATCATGTCACAGACTGAGTACCCCTTCATAACAAAGTGACACATTGAGGCACGGAATGACTCCTTTAGTTATACTCAGTAACTTTCACTCAAACACCAAAATAAATAGTCTCCTTGCCACCTAAAGTGAATAGCTGTGTCTTCACTGTCACTGCAGGTCACTGTCATGTAGCAAAGCCACTTTTGTTTCACTTTGACATCGGTCTTAGTTAGACTGAGTACCCCTTCATAACAAAGTGACACATTGAGGCACGGAATGACTCCTTTAGTTATACTCAGTAACTTTCACTCAAACACCAAAATAAATAGTCTCCTTGCCACCTAAAGTGAATAGCTGTGTCTTCACTGTCACTGCAGGTCACTGTCATGTAGCAAAGCCACTTTTGTTTCACTTTGACATCGGTCTTAGTTACTTTTCTCATTGCTGAGACAATATACCTGACACCCAAAGTCAAAGGAGGAAAAGTTTATTTAGTTCACAGTTCGTAGATGTTTAAGTCCATAGTTAGCTGGCTCCAAGGCAAGGTGATATGGCAGAGGGGCATTGCAGAGGAGAAACAGTTCATTGTAGGTAGAAGACAGCAAAATCAAGCGAGGGACCTTAACAGTATCTTTCTGCCCATTTTTTCTTATGAAGACAATTTAGGGTGGGTATCACTCACACCCTTAATCCTAGTGCCCTTGATTGTACTAGCATTGTACTATGAATCAATTCCAGTGTTACACACTCTACATCCAGCTACCTCCAAAAAAGCCCCACCTATGACTGCATAAGGCTTTGGAGAGACATCTAAACACAAGCCATAACATTCTGCTCCTGGCCCCCAAAGACTCATGCACATCCCTTTATGCAAAAGGCATTTAGTCCACCTTTAAGAATTGCCAAACTCCTAAAGTTTCAGCATTGCTGAAAAGTCCAAGTCCTAAGTCTCTTCTGAGATTTAAGGTAAACTCACAGCTGCAAGCCCCTGTACAAATGAAAAGAAAGTTAAACTTACAACATTCAATGGCACAAGATAGACAAAATTTCCATTCTAAAAGTTATAAACGGGGATACAAAGGAATGAGAACAAAGCAAGACCAAAATCCAGTAGGGCAAATATTAAATCCCACAGTTCCACATCCAGCATGTCCGGCAATCTTTTGCAAACTGTGAACTCCAAAGGGCTTGGGTGGCTCCACCCTCCTGGCACTTCTGTTGATTGTAGCTCCAATGGCTTCTCTCTGGGGCTGGCTTTGCTTCTCCTCGCAGCTTTCCTTGGATAATCCATTTGCCTGGCTTTTCTGACCTTCTGGGGCCTCCACTGCACCTGTGGCTTCAGCTTTGCCATCTCAGGAACACACTGCCTGACTTCCAAGGCTTTCTTCTGAAATCTGGGTGGAAGCCTTCCTGCCTCACAATTCTTGCATTCTACATGCACCTAAACCCAGTGCCATGTGGATGATGCCATAGTCTGCCACCAACTGGAGCAGTAGCCAGGCTTCCTTCTCTCTTGACTGTAAGGGTTGAGTATCTGGATCACTGAGCACTCTGCACACAACTGTTTACTCTGCAACAAATTCTCTAGGCCACTGCCATTCTGGAATATGGTGCTCTGGGGCTTTCTTCCCAAAGCAAAGTTTTTTACTTTTGCAATTTTGAGGCTGCAAAGTGTGGTGTCCTGCTGCTTCTTATGATGCCCTCAGGCCATCCTTTCTATTCTCCTGTTCCTTCTCAGCAATCAAGATATCCTGTGCTCTATCTTTGCAGTTCACTTTTACTGGTGCTTTCTTTAGGGCCAAACTCACAACATTTTAAACCATGTGCTGGGCTCTTTGCTCTTGATTCTCTACATAGATCTGGCTAAAAGCCCCCAAGAGTAGCCATGCCACTCCCTCAACATTTGACTGCCTTGACATTTCTTCTGCCAGATTACTTAGTCCCCCTGCACCACCCCCATCAGTCTCAGTCTCAGGCAAAGTTTCTGGACATGAGCAAAATGCAGACAAACTTTATGCCAACTCATAACACGTTGTCTGAAATCCAACAGCCAGTGCAGTCCTTCTTCCCAGGAGAAACCTCCTGAGCCTGGTCTTCACCAGCAGAATTTCAATCAGCATTCTGAGCTCTGACCAGAAGCTCCCATCAAGTACAGCCTAAGGCATTCCAGCTTTACTTTTTCAGCCAGCATCTCCAAACTTTTCTAACCCTTCCCCTTACCATAAGTCATAACCTCTAAAGGCTCCTAAACCACATGTTCAGGTATAGTCACAGCAAGGACCCCACTCCTAGTACCAAATTATGTCTGTTACTTTTCTAAACAAAAGTCATAACAACATCTTACTCAATGCCACCTGAGTGTAACCCTTGGGTGGCTCCTGTGAGCAGCAGGCCTTGCCCCTGAGCAGTATACATGGGTCTGAGCTTAATAGCTTTTGCTTGTCTGTGTGCAATGTTTCTTCTTCCTCGTCATCCAGCCACCTTGCTCCTGTAGACATGCAGGTCCTTCTGTCCAGAAATCACCATTCCCAGTCTATCAGTGCCTTAGTTGACCTGTTGTGAGCTTTAAACACCTACAAATGCAGGAATGGAGGGACAGAGCTTGTGTACAACAGGAGGGAAGGTGATCTCTCGAGGTCTGGGTAGTGCTTGCCTTGCAGTGGGCACGAGGACAGCCAGGCACGGGGGTGGGGTGGCCTCAACCACCTGGCTCACTCTCTCCCAACTCTCCTAGCCTGCAGCCATTAAGGAAGGAGGTCTGCCTCAATCAGACTCTATGTATGTATTTGTTTTTACCATGCTAGGGATTCAACCTAGATCCTTGTATAGAAAAGCAAATAAAGCAACACAAAACCAAAATGAAAAAAGCAAAAGCAAACCTAGGTCCTTGTGCACATCCTCTACTACTAAGCTATCCTCTTCACTTTGTGATACTAGGGATTGAACCCAGGGCCTTTGCTCTGAGATACATCCCCAGCCCTTTGTATTTTGTGAGATAGGGTCTCACTAAGTGGCTCAGTCTTGGCTCAAACTTTTGATTCTCCTGCCTCAGCCTCCCAGAGTGCTAAGATTACAGGCATGTGTCACATCTGGCTCTAGCCCCTATCTGAACTCTAAAACCTAGACCTTCCTTTATGCACAGCCTTTGGAAGTCCTCCTTTGTTTGTCGAGGCCTGTGGTGACTTTCAGAGACCAGCACACATCCTGTGAAGGGCTGTACATTGCAAATGGACAATCTGGTGGTTCCACTGCCAAGAAAATCAACACACAGGGCAGGTCTCCTTGGGAGCAGAAGACAGAGGATGGGGTCTAATTATCTGTATTGTTCAGACGCAAAGCCTCCTGGAGCCAGAATTCTCCTGGGTTCCTAAGGGCTGGTCCCTGATCTGTTTCTTCCTTCTGCTTCTCTTTTTCATGGAGCAGCACTTGAGCAAGAGGCACTGGTTTCTGTGGAGCTTCGCAGTAATGCATCAGATTCCACCCTTTTATTTTGTACAGAAATAAAATAAATCCGGGTATTTACCTTATCTTGGTAGGTAGTCATAAATTATAAAAAGGAAGGAGGGAGGGAAGGAGGGAGAAAAGGAAAAAGAGAAGTCATCTGGGTGTGGTGGTGGTACACTGGTGATCCCAGCAGTCTGGGAACCTGAGGCAGGAGCATCACACACTCAAACCCAGCTTTGACAATTTAATGAGACTCTTGTCTCAAAATAAAAAATTAAAAAGGGCTGGGGATGTAGTTCAGTGTGAAGGCCCTGAGTTCAACCCTCAGTACCACACACACACACACACACACACACACACACACACACACACAACAAAGAGGGAGGAGGAGGAGAAAAGAAAAAGAAAGTAAAGAAAAAAAAAAAGGAGCCATGCGTGAATACTGTGCAATCATGGACTTCAGGAAGGCAACAGCAGACCAGGGGACACTACATTCCCAAGGCACATGATCTAATCTGCAGTAGTTGGCCAGTGAGGATTAGAATGGTAAATGTTTTCTTAGGGAACTCTAAATAAACTATAAATTTTAAAGATTTTAAAAATTGCTACAGTCATCTTATCATCCTAAACAAAAGCAAAGCAGTAATACCAAAAACAACCTCAGTTAAAAATGCATCTCTACTGCATTGCTAGTGAAGATATAACGGTTGTTGGTAGACAAGTTTGGTGGTTCCTCAAAAAGTTAAACATAAAGTTGTCATATAACCCAGCAATTCCACTTCTGCATAGTTCCCCAAAGAACTGAAAGGAAGCACTTGAATCCTTGTACATATATTCATAACAGCATTATTCATAATAGTAAGAAAACAGCACCAGGCATGGTGGCCCATGCCTGTAATCCCAGCACTTGGGAGGCTGAAGCAAGAAGGATCGCCACAAGTTCAAGGCCAGCCTGGGCTCCATAGTGAGTTCAAAACCAGCCTGGACTACATAGCATGACCCTGTTTCAATAAAACAAAAAATAGAGATACCCCAAACATCCATCAACAGACTAATGAATAGACAAAATAAATACTGATGGTGGAATATTACTCAGCCATTAAAAGGAACAAAATACTGACACATGATACAACACAAATGCACTTGAAATATTATACTGTGAGAACAGCCAAACACACAAGGTCACATATTATATGATTCCACTTATAAAAACATCAAGCTAGGAACAGTGGGGCACATCTGTAATCCCAGCAACTCAGAAGGCTGAAGCAGTAGGCAGAGGCAAATTACAAGTTAAGGCCAGTCTAGGTTACTTAGTCAGGTCCTCTCTCAAAATAAGATTTTCAAAACGGCTGAGGATGTTGCTCAGTAGAAGAATGTATACTTGGCATGTATAAGGCCCAGCAGTCTATCCCTAGTACCACAAAAAATAAAAAAGAAAGTCAAATGTCAGCTGCGCAAACCCACAGAGACCCGGAGCAGACTCATGACCACCAGGGAATGTACAGAAGGCAGGATGGGGAGCTGCTATAGGGGTGGAGCTTTACTCCAGGGTGATGAAAAGGTCGGAACTGGACAGTGGTGCCATCACACAGCACTTTGTGTGGACTGAACACAGCTCAAACACTACCAAAGGCCAACTCCGAGGTTGCATACTCCCTCAGCACTGCCGCCCACACCTGACATCCTGGCATGCAGGACCCAGTTTCGCAGCTGCCTCACCCACCTTCCCATGTCTCTTGCCGTGGCACCAGTGGCCAATGTAGGACACAGGCTGCGTGCTGCACCTGAAGATCCCAAATCCGTGTCTCAAGCCGTTTACTACTTCGCCTTCATACCTGCTGCCGTCCGGCCACGTGTACACGCCATGATTCATGGGGATGTTCTTCACAAAGTTCCCCTGAGGAAAATGGGGGACACTCTGAGGCACTGAGAGGAAGCACTCCAATCCCCCCACATATAACCGTAACTGCCCAAAGGTGGAGATGGCCCAAATCCACCAATGGATGAAGAGGCAAATTACAGTGAATGTTGACAATGCAGTCTTACTCAGCCTTGGCACAGGATGAACTTGACACTTGCTACAACACACATGTAGTGTGCTACACGAAAGCATACCAGGAAGACAAGCACACCAGGGAGAAGGCAGTGGTGGGAGCTCTTCCTGTGAGCTCCTGGGGACATCACCTGCCCACTGACTCTGTCAGGCTTTCTCACATGGAAAGAGTTGCCCACGCCACTGGTTTCTCCTGCCTCCTTCCTTCTCACAGCTCCTTCCTCTCTCCCTGACCCCTCCACCAGGTGGACGCCCAGCAGAACAGAATGTGAGGATGGTCACGTGAAGACAAAGCTCAGGAAGCAGGCTGCTGACTTGCTTAGGGTTAAGTGGCGGCGGCCCCTGGGAACTGTAGATTCCAAGGACTCACCTGAAGGAAGCTAATTCCTGGTTCGCTCCCAGGGCCTGGATGATGAGCCAGACAGTGGTCACCAGTGGGGAACATGCTGCCTGAGCCTCATCCAAGTGTTCCACAGACCCATCAGGCAGTAGCCCATCCAGAGGCGCCCTCCAGAGCATGGGCTCTGCCGGCGCAGGGCTTCTGCCCCCCTGGCACATGCACCACCTGCCGTCTCTCCCAGGAGTCCAGACTTAGCGGTTGTCACAGCCAGCAGAAGGACGAAGGCCAGAGCCTGTTGTCTGTCCTGCCTGAAAACGTGTCTGCAAGGCCCAAGTCTTGCCCAGGACCCTACTGCTGGGGCGGGGGGGCTCTGCACCCATGGCAGGACCCGGACCCCAGAGATTACAGAACAGTGTAAACAGGGGGTTCTCAGTGGCAAATTGCCAATGGTCAGAAACCCTGAATGTTGGCCACAGGTGAAGAGCCAGGATGACACATGGGAAGGGGGCCCCAGAAAAGCCACTGTTGGGGCCCAGGGCCCATGGTCAGCCCCTCCCTGCTGCTCTAGCACATCTCCCACCAGCACATCCAGCTCCAGGGAGCCGCCCTCTGGAACCAAACTCGCCTTCATTTCTACCTTTGCCTGGCTGGTGTCTGAGTGTGTTGTGTGAGTCTTCAGTGCCATTTATAAACACCATGGTGCTAGTAGCTCTGCAATCAGGCATTTCATTTATTAATTGATTGATTGATTGTACCAGGGATCAAACTTGGAACCCTGCACTTGCGAGGCAAGTGGCAGCACCACTGAGCTAAATCCCCAGCCCAAATGAGCATTTTAGAATGGCATTTCATACTCTCATACTTCCTCAGCGGGAGCTGAACAGGCAGAGACTTTTCTTGGAGAACAAATCTTGCCTGGCAATCACTTTAAAGACACAGTCAAGCCAGGCATGGTGGCACATGCGTGTAATTCTACCACTCTGGGAGGCTGAGGCAGGAGGACTGCAAGTTCAAGCCAGGCTGGAAAGTAGGAGGGTAAAATGTATGTGTTCTGTGAACTACACATATGTGCTCTGTGCACAGAACTCCACAGAGCCACATGTATGTATCCCGTGTGTGCAGAGCACTCACAGGACACCTCTAAGGGCTGTGGAGGAAACTGTTACAGTCCCAGGTGGTGCTGTGTGGCCACCACATCCCACATCCTGTGATCCCATGCGCCCCCTTAGCCTTGCATGCCAAATTGCTTTTCCCACACCCATCCATCCAACTGAGGGAGACTGACCACTGACTTTGTCAGTACAGTGCAGAATTAGAATTACACGCCTTACCTCGTATTTCAATCCATCAGCCCAAATGTACGTCCCTTGTCCATTCATGAGACCTTCTGAGAACAGACCCTTCGAGACAAAACAGCGGCAATCCCTGAGTAGGGGCCATGGGTTGGAGGTGTGCTGCCTGTGGGCTGTCTCTGGGAGCATCCCTATCCCCATCCTTCCTGGAGCAACGCAGCACCTACTGTGGCCTCAGCAGCAGCACCAGTAGAAGCAGCAGCAGTGTGAGAGACCAGTGGTCTGGCTTGACATAAAGAGGTGCTCAGAGCTATCAAACATAATGTTCCCTACAACTTAACACACTGCAGTCTTCCTCTCCTAAGCAAGCAACTAAAAGACTTTAACAGTCAATATAATTCAAATATTTTGATTTTGCATTTCAAACTTTTTTTCTATTTTTAAATTTTATTTATCTATCATGGTACTGGGATTGAGTCCAGGGCTTCTGTCCTGAATTATATCTCCACCACTTTTTAATTTTTGATACAGTGTCTCACTAAATTGATAAATTGTCCAGGCTGAGCCTGGCATGGTGGTACATGCCTGTAATCCCAGTACTTGGGAGGCTGAGGCAGGAGGATTGCCAAGAGTTCAAGACCAGCCTGGACTACATAGCAAGACCCTGACTCAAAAAACCAAAAACAACAACAAAAATTGCCTAAGCTGAGTTCAAAGTTATGGTCTTCCTGCCTCAGCCTTCCAGAGTGCTAGGAAACAAGTGTGGGCCACCACACCCAACTTGAACATTATTTTTTGGAGTTGAACCCAGGGCCTTCACACTGAGCTACACCCTCAGCCCTTTTTTATTTTTTATTACCACATTTATAAATTCACACTTTCATCTGTTTTACCTCATGGAAATAATTAGTGTGTATATTCTGACACACATGTGACAGACACAAGGAGACAAAATGCATAGCCATCCCTCTGCACCCACACACACCAAAGTTCCCGGATGCTCAAATCCCTCACAGAAAATGGTGGGAAAAAATTAAACCGGTGGAGTATTTGCATGTGACCTATACACACCTTCCATTTATTCTGGTGCTGAGGATCAAACCCAGGGCTTCACGCACACTAGGCATGAGGTCTACCACTGAGCCACACTCAAATCCATTTGTACACTTAAAATCATCTCTAGAGTTTGGATGATACCTGCTCCAATGCAGATGCCATGGAAGTAGCTGTTGTTCTGTTTGATTTAGGAAATAACAAGAAAAAGGATGTCCTATTATGGACAGTACAACTGCTTCCCCAGATACCTTCAGCCTGTAGTTGGCTGACTCTGTGGACAAGGAACCCTTACATACAGTGGGCCACCTGTAGGGCAACCAAGGACAGTTCATTTACATCTAGTGTCTACTGCTCATCTGCAGCAACCAGTCAGGAAAAAACTCAACGCACCTGAATGTCCAACTGCAATCAGAGCAAACCAGAAGAAAATGACATCTTGTTCCTTCCTGAAGCCCCCTGGTTGGAGGCAGGATGGATGGTTCTCAGATGCAGCTGTGTGTGACAATCACCAGGGGTGTGATAACACACAGACCGCAGGGCCCACCCAGACTTCCAGTCCAGGGTTCCTGAATGTATATTTCTAAAACTCCCCAGATAAATCAAGTGTGGTGGTGCATGCCTGTAATCTAGTACTTGGGGATGCTGAGGCAGGGGGATCACAAGTTCAAGCCCAGCCTGGGAAATTTAGCAATTTAGTGAGATCTTGTCTCAAAAAAAGGGTAATGGTGGATGGGGACGTAGCTCAGTGCACAGGCCCAGTACTTTGGGCGGGGGAAGCTCATGTATAAATATTCACATATCTATTCAACATATAATGGCAAAATGACAGTAACACTGGGGTTTCAGTTGGCCTTTGAATCCACAATTTCTGAATCTGTAATCTGGGCACAGAACCAAAAGCAGAGAGAAAACTTTTAGAGAAAGTCACATTGTTGGTGGTATCTACAATGTAGCTAGGCCTACAATGGTAGGTAGCATCAGTTCTGAAGGTGTACATTTTCCTTCTCTAAAAAATGCAGCATAACAGCCATATACACAGTACAGTATTTCTGTTGTATTCAGTACTATCTGCCATCTAGAGGGAATAAAGTAAATGGTAAAATGGATGGGAGTTCCAAGCAAATACTATTCCATTTCACATAAGGGACCACAGCAACTAAAGATTCTGGTGTCTGAGGGGAGTCCCAGAACCTATCCCCCAGAGATGCCAAGGGACAACTGTTTTTAATTTAGTGACAGAACTAAAATAAGATATAAATCAAGCAAAGAAAAAAACTCAAATGACTACTTCAGCTATACTAAGCCATACTTTAAGTACCGTAGTCAGAATTCAGAATAAAATTAGCATGAAGTACTTGGAATTCCTTGTGAATAATCAGTGACACTTTCTGAAGACTTGCAAATCTGAAACTATCACCCTAGGCAGGAGGATTCCAAGTTCCAGCCCAGCCTGGGCAACTTAGTGACTTAGGGGGACCCTGTCTCAAAAAAATAACAGGGATGGGGTTGGGGCTCAGTGCAAAAGCCCTGGGTTTTATTCCCAGTACTAAAAAAATCAATAAATTAAACTCTCACCCCACACCTTCACCCAACCCAGCAGGTTCCAGTAAGCAACTCACATGATAGGTACAACCACCTTGAAAGATTGCAAAGCCTTCTCCCTGGTAGAGGCCACAGCGTTTCTCCCCTTCATATCTATGAAGAAATGAAGCTGGAGGTAATGAGTGATGTGAATAAGCAAGGGGTTAAAATACAGTCAGGAAATGGAAGCTGGGCCTGGCACATGTCTGTAATTCCAACACTCTGGGAGGTTAAGGCAGGAGGACTGCAAGTTGGAGCCCAGCTTGGGCAATTTACTCTCAAAATTAATGAAAGAAAAAAATAAAAGGAAGAAGGAAGGAAAAGAAAGGATATGTTCACTTTGGGAAAGGGTAACTTCAAGAACGAGGACCAGATTTTTAGTTCAGATCCAAAGGGATAATATGTGACTTGTCACATAACTCATCTTTGGCTCTGAGATGAAAAAACAAGCCTATGACAGGTGCAACCACACTGGGCTTCTCCTACGAATACAAGGAAGAACAAACACTAGAAAAGTCTATGGAAACATCCACTAACCAGCAAGCTAAAGAAGAAAAAACTACATGTACATATCATAGTGATAGAAAGCTATTTCATGGATTCCAGTAATTGTTTCTAAAAACAAAATTCTGGCCAAAGTGGTGCAGGCCTGCAATCCCATCACTTTGGGAGGCTGAGGCAGGAGGATTCCAACTTCCAACCCAGCCTGGAGAGCTTACTCACTTAGAATGATCCTGTCTCAAAGAAATAAATTAGGGCTAGAGCTGTAATTCAGTGAAAAGGCTCTGGGTTCAATTCCAAGTACAACTGAAACAAAACAAATCTCTTACAATATGAGGAAACTACTTAAACATAAGCATGTAGTGAAAGCCTGAGGTCAGGCCACCTGGCAACAGCCATTGGGATGAGCCCCCTGGAAGCAGATCCCCCAGGCCAGTCAAGCCTTTTGTAACAGCACCCAAGGGCAACAATTTCAACTAGAACCTTGAGAGGCCTGACCTCAGACTTCCAACTGTGGACCCTGACCCCAGAAACCCACAAGGTACCATTCACAGCTGTCAAAATTACAAGGCTTTGGGATGACCTGCTACAAGGTGGTAGGTAATTCACACGGGAGATGCACAAATGGCCATGCTTTAGGTAGGCCCGGGAGCAGGGGAGTCTTTCGGAAATGAGTCTAATCACTGCAACAAGTAGAATAGTCTATGAAGAGGGGAAAGACTAATGAGAGAAGCAGGAAGGCTCATGGAAGGAGAAGAGTTCTAAGGTTTCCAAGCCTGGAGACATGGAAACTGGTAGTACCATTACAGTGGGGAACACTGGAGACACTAACAGGGCTAAGAAATACTGACATTCTCAGTGACCTCTTAAGATGTGCGGTCTTTCACTTCTCCCCATTAAGAATCTGAGGTTCAGCAAGCTCAAAGGTTGGGCTGAAGTCACAAAGCTAAGGCTCAAATCCCAACCTTGTTTCAAGTCCAGCAGTCTGGTAGTTCTGGACATGGGGAGCTTGGTATATGCCTGTAATATCAAATACTCAGGAGGCTGAGCCAAGTTGGAGGCCAGCCCAGGCAACTTAGGACTCTGTCTCAAAAACTTTAAAGGGTGGGAAGTTTCTGGGGATGTGGCCCAGTGGAACAGCACTTGCCTAGAGTGTGCAAGACCCTAATTTCAATCCCCAGCACCACAAAAACGAGACCAAAGATGTTTACCATCACCTGGGGAGATGGCAGGTAAAACTACAGCAAGAGATTGCCAAGACAGCATGAAAGTGATAGAAACAGGAGACTGAAGATTTGCCCTGAGACCTCAGTGGGACAAAACCAGCACCACAGAGAGGCACAGCTGGGAAAAGGAGTCATTTTCAGAGTGGAAGAACATTTTCAGAGTCACAAATGTGTGAGGCATCACGTGCTTACAGCAAATCATGCTTTCAAGAAAGCCCAGTTCTCAGGGCCCATTCTTGTCACACCCCATGCAAGTCACCTTTCCACTATGAATTCGGTCAGAGAGGGCTCTTCGTACTGGGTGGCATCTCCTTCCTCCTGAACACGTGGGGATTCTGGTGGTATGTCCAGTGGCTGGATGCCAACTGGGGATATTTCTTGCCTAGGGACATTGTTATCTTGCTTGGAAAACTCTGGATAATCAGAGAAAGATGAGGGAGAGCGAGATGATTTTTCTTTTTTGTCTGTTTTTTTCTTTTCTTTCACCATTGTCTTTAGAAGTCCTACTTTGCTTTATACATATAAATATCTAATGATTCCTTTGGTTGACAGCTGTGTTTCCAAGCATTGATGAGTATTATCTGAAAAACAAAAATCCAAGCTCTAAATACTTGGGGGTTTCATTTATAGAAATGTATTGTTAGCATACAATTGTCATTATCATTCTCTTAAAGCCTGAAAATAATCACATGTATCATGAGTTCATAAATATATCAATATCACACTGGTTGTTCCTGAAATTTTTTTTTTTTTTTTTTTGTTACTGCGGATTGAACTTGGATCCTTGCGCTTGCAAGGCAGGCCACCGAACTGCTGAGCTAAATCCCTGGCCTCCTGAATGACTGTTTTTTGCCTCTTCAAAGAGAGTGAAAGTATTCTAACTGTATTGTTTAGGGCTTTTAAAAAAATAAATTATTTTGAATCTGTAATAACTAATTTTGACTTAAAAACCCTACAGGCTGTTGAGCAGCTCCCTGATTTTGTAGAAACACTCCCCAAACCATGTCTCACCTTTTATTAACATATAAACTGAAATGGTGTCCTGTAGGCAGACACTTAGAAGTGCTTGTTTGAGCTTCTGGAATGCAGTCGGGGAATAAAGTTCCCAGGGTAAATTATGGAGCAGTGGAACCACTGAGCTAAATCCCTGGCCTCCTGAAATTTTTTGAACAATAGAACTACCATCTAACATTATTTCTTTTCAAATAGTGCTACCGTAAGGACAGTAATCCTTCATGAGATGACTGTATGACCTCTATGTTGTTGTGTGCTGTCAATTCCCCTTAGCAGCTCCTCTCCTAATATGCTAGGCTTTGTAAAATGCTCACAAGCTGGATTCCAGCTCCTGCATCACCTGTTCCCAGCTCTGTGTGCTTAAGCAAAGTTTCTGAAGCTCCTCCAGCCTCAGGCAGCAAGAAGGAATAACTACCTTGTTTTATAAGGTTTCAATGGGATGAAGCTCACAAAAACACTAGCTACAGGATACACAGCAGTGAGCAAAGTGAGGGATCACCCTGTCACCTTCCTGTTTTTGAAGTTGAAAACAGTGGCTGCCCCTTCTCTAGAGCCACCACTGAGTGTGTCCCACAAGCTAGAAGGGAAAGGATGTGCTAAACAAATGTGCCTTCAGGGGCTGTAGGGCTTGGAGCTTGGTTCTGAAAGGGCATTAATTTTCATGACCCTCCTGCCTAGGCCCCAGCAAAACATCCTAGTCCTTCAGCAAAGACACACGGTTGAGGTGCAAAGTCCAGTTCCTGCTCCACTGCCCAGGGCAGGGGGTGGGTGCTGCCTGCCTGTCTGCCTCTGTCAGGATAGCATCCTCTGGGTACCCCATTTGTAGGCTGAACCCCACCTCCGGGTCTCTCTTTTCCTTGACCCCTTCCTTCCCACCCCTACCAGCACAGCCGGTTGACTGACTTACCTGGACAGGGCCTAATGGCTTTCAGTCCTCCACCAAAGTACAAAGAAAGCAAATTTTCTCAGTGTTTCCTAGTTATTTCTTCCCTTTCTCAGGTGCACTTTTTCCTTGTGGGGCTCCTGGGGGCACTGAATTGCTGGGACTCAGTGGCTCTCCCAGGCTTGAAGGTGGCAAAGAGCCAGTATCAGGAACCGCTGGTCTGTCTCCAGGGCAACAGTAGCTGCAAGCCCCACCCCCATTGCTCTTAAAGAGGCCACAGCAGCAAGAAGCAGCCAAGCATGGCATTATGCCCTTGCCTGTTAGTCCTGAGAGCCAGGAGGAATAGGCTGGCTGGCTGGAGCTACAGGCTCTTGGCCTGAATAACCTAGTTCTGCTATTCCATAAAATAGAAAAAATTCAAATAGTTTTCCACTGCTGTCTTAAAGAAATTACCACAAACTTAGTGGCTTGAAGCAACACACATTTATTATCTTACAGTTCCCGTGAGTCTAACAGGGCTAGCTTCTGGAGGTTCCAGGGGAGCCTTGCCCTTCCAACTTTACAGGCAGCCAGCATCTCTTGGCTGGTGGCACCTTTCTTGGTCTTCTAATTCAGCATCACAGCACAGCATCTCTTGGGCCAGATGGGAAGTTTTCCACTTGGACAAACTTACAAGAGTGGGCCCATCAGAGTAGAGACCAACCTTCCCATCCTAAGGTCCATAACTTAATCACATCCATGAAGTCCCTTTGGCCATATAAAGCGACATAGTCACAGGTTCTGGGGATTAAGACACAGCCATCTTGGGGAGAGCCATTGTCACGCCCTCCACAATTCTGTTTGAAGAGTTCTTATGAATATTAAATGAGTTACTGCACACACACACACACACACCAGCACAGAGCTTGACGCCATGACACCAATTGTCAATTTACTGTCTCCTGACAGCTAAGGACTGACCCTTGGCAAGCCCTCGCTCCCCTCAGAGGGGATGGGGCGGCAGTGGGCCTGCCTGCACTTGCTATCCCTGTACCAAAGCACCATCTGGACTCCACTAAGGTCATTTTTTACTTCTACTTTTGCCACAGGTCAAATGAGACCAGATTCCTATAGTTCACACCCCAAGGAAACCAAATTACAGTATGAAGTTACAGAAAAGCTAGAATCTTCTTTCCTGATTAGAATAGCACTTTCTACCCTGGCTGTGCTAGGGAACATTTAACAATAGTGACCAGAGGCCCATCCAAGTCATTTCTTTCCAGCTGAGCCAAGAACCTCCCTACTTTTTTTATTATTCCTAAATTTTAATATGCACCAGGGTTGATAAGCATCAACCCAAAAGGACCATAGTCTTAAATTTAGAAAATTAAACAGATATGAATTTATCATTGAGAACTCAAAGTTGCAGAATAAAATACTTCCAGCCAGAGGAGAGGCCACGGTAATTTCCAAAGTGCTCATTTTTAAAAACATGTTCTTGCCTGTACACACATACGTACACACACACTCAAATGTGGGTTCCAACACTGGAAGAAGGACAGTTCCAAGCAATGCTGAACATGGTTTGAAAAATTCTTAGGATCTTTTCTTTTTTTGAGGCAGGGGTCTATGTTGCCCCAGCTGGTCTTAAATTCTTGGGCTCTAGTGATCCGCCTGCCTCAGCCTCCAAACAGGCACAAGCCACTGCATCCAATTTAAGATCATTTCTAAATGGATCTGGTACATTTTTTTTTTTAAGTGGCAGATTAATTTTGAAACAAAAAACAAAACAAAACAAAAAGTTACTTCAGACCCGTCTTTCAAAACAAAAAAGTCTGCAATAAAATTTCTAATTCTCGGAAATGAGAAGTGTCAGTTCTGAGAAATGACTTTCAGATTGGCAATGTGTCTCATGGTTGGCCTTCCGTGGGGACAGTTCCAGGGGTGGTCCATCTCGCCCATGTGGACAATGAGCTTCTTCATCTCACTTGTGTTAAGAGCGGTTCCAATCATCACCTGCGTAGGAGACACAATGATTTGCAGTTTTAAAGTACTCTTCAGAAGCACTCTTCTCTAAGACTGGACAAGATTGTTGTTCAACAACAATCCCTGAAACACCTTTCCTCAAAAACGTCTGGCCTTCGCCTTTCTGTGGGCTCAGGGGCTCCGAGGCTCTGGCATAGCAACACAGCTCTCCAGGAGATGCCATCCTGACCTGTCCAGAAGCAAAGCACTCTCTCAGCAGCTCCAGCACCAAGCACCTCATCTACATCCCACCAACAGCAGCAGCCCATGTGCTCTTCTTACCCAGCAGCAAGGTCAAAGGCACGTTACCAGGTTGTTCTATGCTCTTCCCTTGCTCCTGTCACCCACCTACGCACCCTTACTGGGCTTCATGCCTGCACCTCCCTGCATGCACAGCCCCCTTGGGCCACAACAGTGCTGACTGTTCCTCATGGACCATGGACCTGGCTGTCCTGGGCCACACTTCCTCCTCCTTGGGCTCCTGCTCAAAGGGCTCGGCTCACTCTTAATGGAGGAGCATGACTATCCCCCACTCCAGCCTTGCTCACTCTCTGAAATGTACGTGGAGAGGAACAGACAACACAACACAGACTGGGATGCTGTGAGCCTAAAGAACAGGGACAGATGAAGGGGACAAGCCCAAACCTGTTGGGCACCATCTTTTCCTTCTATAGCACCAATACAGCCCTAAGGCTGCAGTTAGAGGGCCCTGCCCCACTGGAGACAGACAATAAGGTAACAGAAGCAAGAAAGTGCCATGCATGATGGGGAGGAAGCAAGACATGAGAGGAGCAGAAGTGATGGGTCCAGGCAGGGGACAGCAGCAGGAAGGAGCCAAGTGACTGCGGAGATGGCCGGCAGCCAGCATGCCTGGAGCAAAATGTAGCAGGAGCATGACAGAAGAGACCACCTCCACCCCAGGACCAGCACAAGAGATATGGAAGATTCAAAACAGAATGGGAGGGGAGGTACAGCTTTGGACCCACAGCCCTCTGAGTCACCTGTTAAAGTGCTTGGCCAAGAGCACTGGCTACCCCTGCTTTGACACCCACTCAGACTCTGAGACTGGAAGGTCAATATGACGTCTTCATTAAACAAGTATCCGTGTCTGCAAGTCAAGTCGGGGCACTCTTCTAATTAAACTCTTCCGCAGAGTAATCTCACCCAACCTTGAGGCTGTGAATTCCACCTGAATCTGATCTGTGGCCCCGACACTTCCCTTGAGCCCTACGCTCACACATGTGCTATCTGCAGGCACTCCACTTGCAGGTAAATGTGGCCTTGCCTACTGCCCATCTACAACAGAGCTCTAACCCCCTACCTTACCCCTCCCCAACCTTAACCCTGAGACTGGAACCACGTGGCAGTTCTTGCCCTGGTGGCTCTCATCACTAGAGACACCTACCTCAGTGTCCCCATGAGGAGCAACTCTGTGTGACCCATCCTCAGGCCACATGCTCCCTCATTCAGGTCCTCTCCAGCCAACCTCTGGCTTTGCTCAAAGCCTCTCAGCCTTGACACTTGCTCTTTCTTCTATCCAGAAAATCCTTGCCCAAGGGGATCGGACCTCACCTTTCCCACAGCTGCTCCTGACTGCCTACCTCCCCATTCTCCTCATTCTCCTATGGTCATTCCCTACCCCAACATGCTGTCTGAATCTCTACTTGGTGTCATTTATTTTATGTCTATTTCCCCCCTCTGAACTGTTACCTCCACGTGGGCAAGGACCTTACCTGTCTATTTACCTCTGTGTTCCATCACCTGGAACAGGGCAGGCTACACTGTGGGGGCTCAAGAAATTCAAAGGAAGTAATGTAGCCAGGTGACAGAGTCATTTAAAGCACACTGGTCTAACACCCAGCCATTGCTACCACTCTCCATCACCAATCTAAGTGGTGGAAGGGACACAATATGGATGCCTTCACATGGTCCCCATAGAATACCTACTCACTGACCCTGCAGGAGCGTGTGCTACGTCGTCTCAGTCTGGCAGCCACAAATCTTGCTCAACCAATGGTGGAATTACCCTAAGGGCCAGGATGAAGAAGGTGTACACAGAGCTAACTATGTGGGGATAGACGAAAGCTGTGAGACAGAACACCACTTCACAGAAGTAGCGAAAGCAGTATGAGCCAAAGGTCGAAGATAATGCAGACCCAAAAGCTGGGACATTATACTGACAGGGACAGTGTGGCTCTCTATGTAAAATGACTCACGGCAAACACCGGAGACTCCAGACCAAATCAGGTGTTGAACTGAGAACCTCCCTGGACCACCAGCCTGAGCAGACCTACAGGCCTGGCAGCCAGGCTTACTCTACTTACAGACTTCCGGCAGGCTCTGGAGGCAAACATCTGCCTGACTCGGGAGGGCCGGCACATGACTCCAGGACTGTCACTTAGCATGAAGATAAGTTCATCTATATCTTGGGGTCCAAAGGTCCAGTTTTTACTAGTTGGCAAGGAAATCAATTTAGCCCTTTTGGTGACTGGAGCTAAAAAGAATAATATTTGAGAAAAATCTTATTATTTAAGAAATGTGTGTCACTTGAATGCTATTTATAATGACCAGCTGAGGAAGACACAGACCTGAAATGCTTTTTGGAGAGAATTTTGCTCACCTCTTACAAAATAAAGAGACAGATCTATATAAAGTTAAAAATTGTTCCTAGTACAGGGGATTTAGCTCAGTGGTGCTGCACCTGCTTCTAAAGCAAAAGGTCCTGAGTTCGATCCCTGGTACCACAAAAGAAAAAAAAAAAAGTGCCTAACTCTAAAAAGACAATTCTTAGCCCCAATTAATAACTTACCACCTTCATCGATGACAAAATCAAAGCCATTCTTTCTAAATATTTCCAAATTTTCTATTAGGACAGCTTCATTGACAGCAGTTAAGTTGAGAGTCTGAGGTCTGAAAAACAAGAGATTCAAATTACAGCTTGAAGTCAAAACATTTACCTTTAAAACTAAAAAATGAAACAATAGTATAATACTTTAAATTCATCTAAAAAATACAACATGAAAATCACTTTCCGACTCTATACCTTTCCAGTATTCAGCTAAGTGTCAGAATTCCTTCTTGTTTTCTTTTTCTTTTTTTTCCCCCCAGTACCAGGGATCAAATGCAGGACCTTGTGCTTCAGAGGCAGGAACAGCACTGGTTTTCCTTTCCTTATAAGGTTCTTTTTTTGGGGGGTACTGGGGATCGAACTTGGGTCTTTGCACTTGCGAGGCAGGCGGTGGCACCACTGAGCTAAATCCCCAGCCCTTCTCCTTATAAGGTTATTTTTTTTGGGGGGGGTACCGGGGATTGAACTCGGTCCTTGCGCTTGCAAGGCAGGCCACCGAACCCCTGAGCTAAATTCCTGGCCCTAAGGTTCTTTTTTAAGAGGTTAAAAAAATAGCTGCAAAAGTAGTTTGCTTTCTTTTCGATCTGATATCCCACTGATGATCTAAGTCTTCTTTTGGATCCTCTCCTTAAGGATAACAATGTACCATAAGGCTGTTCTTCCTCTCTACAATAAATCTAAATTGAAAAGCTGGGTTATTTCATCACTGGCATTTGAAAACACTGAGTAGAGAACAACTATTTTGCTATCCTGCTCCTTCCTCTGCCTGCATTACTTAACCATCCACCCATCTCCCTACTAGCTTTATGGAAGGCTTAATAAGACAAACACTGATAAAGGCAGGACGCATCATGATGAACAAAATCAGACTCAGTCTCTGGCCTTGATTAGTGAGAAAGAAAGATACTAAACAGTCAAATCAATTAAAACCACTAGCAACATGATAATCAGGAAAATACAACACAGTACTGTAAAAGCACTCTTGTACAAGAAGTGAGATTCGGCCCTGGGATCGAGGAAGGATTCCTTTCTCCACAATCAGAGGTAAACTTTGAACTGAGCTCTGGGAATAAGGGAGCAACTCAGATAACAGGGGGAAGGAGTGGGTGCAAAATGAGGGTTACAGGCAGAGACAACTTTTGCAAAATTGTTCCCTCCAAGGAATTGTTGATGTTCCCAGAGTCACACACAAGAGATAAAACTTCACTCTTAATGAGGCTGGAGTGTAGGGAATAAATAGAAGAGGATTTAGGAAATGCTAAGGAAGTCAATGTGCTAAACTGCACAGGGCTATATGCTAGGGTAGAATTTTGGCCTTTATCCTTTAATCCTGAAGTGTAGCCCATCTGGGACCCAAAGTGGCCCATAATTACCTGGGTCAACCTGCAATGCCACACATGAGACCTTATTTATGCAAATTGGCTAAGAAAGAAATCCCTGTGAGAGCAGCAGCAATATCTGTATACAGTAATTATAAAGTAATTTCTGAAATGACTTCATTACCACCTTTACTCCTACTAAAAACAAATTCAATTAAGACATTCTATAGAAAATAGAGTACTCAGTAAAGTAGATATATTTTCCCAACTGAGTTACTACTTAGTGGCACATTTCCCCATGCCAGACCTGTATCTGTTGTAGTCTGAGTTTACTCTGCATAGTTTAATTCCATCCAATGAAAATCCATGATCTTCCCTTATAACTTTGTGTGTGTGTGATACTTAGGGTTTGAACCCAGGGCCTTTCTACTAAGCTACATTCCCAGCTCTTTTTAATTTTTATTTTGAGAAAAGGTCTCATCCAGTTGTCCAGGTTGGGCCCAAACTCTCAATCCTCTTGCCTCACTCAGCCTCCCAGAGTGCTGGGTTATAGGTGTGTACTATAATGCTTGGATTTATAACTTTTCTTTGGAAAAGATTGATGGTTTACCTGATATGCCATCATTTCCCCTTGAACAAAGGTCAGTGAAGGCAGTCAATTTGATAAAGAGAAGAATATCAGAGATTGCAGGGACTATCTACCCACTGAAACTGCTCTGCTATAGATGTGAAGACTGACTTGCAGGATGGGATGCCTTTCTGCCAGTCAGGCACCAGTACCACTAAAACCCTGGCCGATTTTGGGCTTCTTTCTGAACACATCAATCTACACACTATAAAAATACGAATAGTACTAAGTATGCCCCCACTGCCTTCACCGGAAGGATTTTCTGGCTAATTAGTGAGCAACATTCTTAAAACAACTAAAAAGGTTCAATACCTAAAGAATACATTGGGCAGGTTATTCAGCTTTTCTGTGCCTCAGCTTTATCACCTATGAAATGGCAACAGCAATGGTAATAACTTGTAGTTTATGAAAAACAATTGAGCTATACCTGTAAATTTCTTCAACAGTGCCAGGGACACAGCAAGATTACTAGTGTATAAGAAGTACAAAGTTTGCTATATGGAGCCAGTGTCTTGGGCATACCTGTAATCCAGCACTCTGGAAGGCTGACACAGGAAGACTGCAAATGCAAACCCAGTTAGTAAGAATCTTTCTCAAAATGAAAAATAAGGGGTTGGGTTGTAGCTCAGTGTGAAGGCCCTGGGCTCAACCCCATACAGCAAAATACATAAATAAAAATTCTGTTCTATAAGTACTTAAAGAAAAAAAATACATAAGTATTCATACAGACATATACATAGCATCCCGATCTTAAATGAAGGAGAGAAACCCGGGAGAGAGCAGTGAAAATTCCAAAGACCTTGTGAACTTACGCAATGAGTCTCTGCGCCTGGAGCACTGTGTGCTGTTGCAGCATCTCGAAGTTGTACTTCTCATCTGCAGCATGCTGGTCCACCAGGAAGATGTCCTCCTTCAGCTTAGTTACTATGAACCCCAAATTAAACTGACCAAGGATCTCCATTTCTGCAAACATCGTTTTACTGCATGTAGAAAACATTAATGTAAGACATTTCAAGGGATTCTTCTGATTATAAAACAGAAGATCATTTTTTAAAAATCAAGCAATATAAAACATAACATAATCTCAACAATACCCACTTTCCAATTATCCACTCATCCAACTATCCAGAGACTTTAGTTACTATTATTAACAATCTGGTCGCTGGGGATGTAGCTCAGTGGCACCACACCTGCCTGGCAAGTCCAAGGTCCTGAGTTTGATTCTTGGTACCAAAAAAAAAATCTGGCACATTAATGTCTGTGAACATGTGTGTCATGTGTGTGTATATACATATGTGTGTGTGCATATCCTGATATACCTTGTTTATATTTTTTTAATTAAAAAAAATAAATGGAATTTTAATTCTTCATACCACTATACATGCATCACTTAAACACATCATAGATATTATATGTATGTATTTCACTTTTTAAAATAAATTTATCTGTTGCAGATGTGGAGGGTAAGAATTCCAAAACTGAGGCATGGGCAGATTTAGTGTCTGATGAGAGGTGCCCTCTGTTGTCCTTACATAGCAGAAGACGGAAGGGCAAATGCATCAGGGCACTTCATTCCATTTAAACCACTCATGCAGATGAGGCCTCTGACACTTCTGCAAAGGCCTCAACCCTAATGTTAACACGTTCACAACAGGGCTACAACTTGATGTCTCTCTGCCGGCCGGCTCTGTACCACTGGTGACACATACATGACTGCCATCGGGTGGCATGGGACAATCCCCTCAGGTGCCACAAGCCATGTGCCAATGAGACAGTCATGCATGTACCACCACTGATTCAAGCCAGGGGTAACATATATATTTTGCAGGGACTTATACATTCAAGCCATAGCAATAGCCCAACCAACATCCTGTTCATAATTATATATGTATTTTCTTAGTAGATAAAGCTTTTTCCCTAGCTATCTTCTTTTTTAATAGCAAATATTAAGAGAGGTTAGGACAGCAATGTTGAACTGTTTAGACCTTTCAATGATACAAACAGCTGGCTGCAGCACGTGTGCCACAGGTTCACCACCAGTGGGCCAGGTGAATTTGCACTGTAATTCAACCAATTGCAGGATGAGATTCTTCGTGTAATTTTACCAGTCTCAGCTTTGTGGCTACAGTAGATAAGGCATTGCATTCTTTATAATGGCCCTACAGGAATTCATTGTGTGGATGGACACAATTTGTATGACAAATTCTCTAGTGAAGGACATTCTGCTGTTTCAGAAAACCTGCTCATTTTTAAGAATGTTTCTGTGAGACAAATCCCAAGAAATAGAATTATGCACTTTTTTGGACAGAAATCTGTAAAAGTTTGGACTCCCACCAACAGTATATGAGTACTTTAAATACTACAAAGGTCAAAGCAGACATCACGTCCACTTCCCCATGAAAACCAATATGTTAACCCCATAATCCGCACAATTAAATTTTATGAAAACAGCTTTTCCTCAGTCTCAGCCCTGTGCCCATGAGCAGTGACACTTCAGTACTGCCATGGAACTTTCCAGCTCCCAGGCAGGGGCCTGAGAAGAGAATGAAAGGAGTGGAGTCTCATTTTTTGAAAGTGCTCCAGGGCACTGAGAAAGACTTGCCCACCAGCACTTGTGATCCTCACTTCTGCAGCCACTACTGGGGTTCAGGGGCAGGGTACAGGTCAGCACCTCATCATAATCACCCTCAGGCCAGTGATGACACTCCACATGCCGTGGGGACTAGCCCTCTATTCCCTTCTGGCAAGGAGCTCAGCACTGAGTTTAAACTCACATTACAACCAAACCAATCCCCAAATCCTGCCTGGAGGGTCGGTCTCCTGGGACCATTCTGGATACCAATTACCTATTAGATAAGAGTCCAATCAAGAGACACACACCAGTGATGAGAACAGGAAAATGTATACTAAAGTTATGAATCCATAAAAAGGTGGCTAAATACTAAACTAAGTTATGAAAGTAGCACATGCAGAGCAGAGGCTTTCTCTAGGGATAATGGGAACAGGCCAAGCCCCACTGGAGCAGGAAGAGCTACAGGCTGTGGATGGAGGGAGGCCACACTACATACATGTCCTGATCCTCATGGTGACTGCACAGCAAGAGGAAAAGAAAGAGCACCCAGAAGCCAGGAGGGAGGGTCTACTCTGTCTTGTAAAGTTCTCCTGGCACTTTGGTGCACCTTCAAATCTAGGAGTGCACAAGAAGAAACAAACATTCACAGATGTGTGCATGCAGAGCCACCAGCCAATAAACTGGTAACTGGCCAAGTGATCACCTCCCCTGGCTCTTGATTCCACCTCCTCTGGAACTGTTTGAATCTGCTCTGCCTGCCCAGCAGGATGATCTTTAAGAACCTGTGCTGAACTCAAGATGCAAGTCATCAGTGTCTTTGGTGAATGTCTCCTATAGAAAAAAGAATCTGTGCCACACATGAAGGCATACACTTGGAATCCCAGCTTTCTGGGATTTCCTGAAGCAGGAGGACTGCAAGTACAAGCCTATCCTGGCCAATTTAGTGACTTAGCAAGATCCTGTCTCAAAAAAAGGGGGGCTGAGGATATAGCTCAATGTGAAGGCTCTGGGTTTGATCCCCAGACTGGCTGGAACAAACAATGGAAAAGAAACAAAATTTTACAGCTTGAGTTTTTTGAACTCTAACTTGCTTTGGCTGGGCTAGAATTTGTGATCCTCTTGTCTCAGCCTCCTAGAGTGCAGGGATGACAGGCATGTACCACTTCCCAGCTCTTGCACATTAAAATGAAAAATGGCACCAGGCGTGGTGGTGCACGCCTGTAATCCCAGCACTCGAGAGGCTCAGGCAGGAGGATCGCTGGGAGTTTGAGACCAGCCTGGGCTAGCTACATAAGTGAGTTCCAGGTCAGACTCAACTACATAGTGAGACCCTGTCTCAAAAAACCAGAAAAAAAAAGAAAAAAAGAAAAATGGCAAGTGGTGATGTCTACCAAAACTGCCATAAATGCAATGCCTGGAAGTCACTGTGGGCTGAAAAATTTCAGAAAGAACAATGAAATTGGAGTTAAGAAGCCTATGCTTAATTTGGATTGATATAGAAAAGATACTCTGAGAAAATCTAAAGAATAAAATCTTGAATGTTTCCAAGCAGTAGAAGAGCATGGTGAAAGAAAGAGCCCTTAAAATACGTGAGAGGCAATGAGAAGTGGGTGATGGAAAAAGCACTGCCAAGGGTGAACTGGCAAAGCCAACCAGCAACCAAACTGTGGAGTCAAAACCAATCCTAACATTACACTCTGAGAGAGGGAGCAATGAGGGAGGGAGGTAGAAAGAAAAGGCAGCAAGCCCACCAGGAAGGGGTGGAGTTTGTGAAGCAGGGAACTGCCCCTCAGGCCTGTCCTGAAAGGGAGGAAAATCCTGGGGATCCATTCTATTGCATAGGGAGGGCCACACCGCAGCTGAGCCCCAAGCCAGACAGGAGATACAATCTAAGTGGAAGGAAAAGGAAGACAGCTACAGATGCCCAGAGAGCTAGGGTGGTGGCACACACCTGTCAGCCCTGCACTCTGGGAGGCTGAGGCAGAGGATCACAAGTCTCAGCCTAGCCAAGGAAACTTAGCAAAACCCTGTCTCAAAAAATACAAAAAATAAAGGGCTGGGGATGTAGTCCAGCATGAAGGCCCTGCATTCAATTCCTAGCACCACAAAACAATAACAACAAAACACCCAACACTGAGTCTTTAAAGATCAGCTGCTGGTTCATGCAAAATAACCAATCACAGGTTTGACCAAAATACCATTCAGAACAAATTTACCTGATCTCTTTCCTTAGTTCATCTTCTGCTGCTTGGTTTTCTCCAGGGCAAATCTTTGCCCTAAATTTCCTAAAATTCTGTTCACCTTCATTCTGTTGTTTTTGGTGATGTAACTGATTTATTCGTTTAGCTAAAGAACTCATAGAAAAGGTAAGGGGCACTATTTTCTTACTAATTTTAACAGCTACATCAACCTGAGTCGCTGATATGTTCTGAGTACTAACCAACTTTTGAGGAATGTCAGCAATTGAAGGAATTTCTTTCTTTTTAAAACGCTTGGTGTCTGAGGGTGAGAAATCAGTCTGCAGAGGCAAAGCTCTAAATTTATATCCAACATCTTGGTCTAAATGGCATCTCATGTCAGAAGGGTGCCGGTCTGTGTTCAGTAGTTGCTCACAAGAGTCCACACCTCCCTGTGGAAATCTGTCTTCGGGGGAGGTCGCTGCTTGGTCACTGCTACAGTGACTCCTGGTTTCTGGGGTGCAGAACTCTTCCTCGGAGCCAATTGGGGTGCTGCTGTGCCCCGAGTCCTTCTCTGTTTCTACCCTGTCTGCAGAGTCACCAGAGTTCTTCTTGGGACTTGTTACGTCTTCCTGAGGGCCCTGTAAGCCCCTGCCAGAGACAGGATCTGAGGAATCAAAAGATGGAGCACCTCCTTTCTCTCTCAGAGAATTCCATCTCAGATCTGCAGTCTCCAGGCCTCGAGTCTTGGTCTCTGTGTTGTGACGAAGAGAAAAGGCCTCTCGGAGCCTGGAAATGGACACTACCCTTTTCTCTTCCCCTTGAGTCCTTAACGGAAGGGAGTTGGTCTGCTTTTCCAGCTGAGGTTTTTCCATTTCTGCTGCATGCATCTTTATTAAGTTACCTAAGCAAACAGGAACAGAGAACAGTGTCAGGGACTGCACTGAAGTGGGACAAGAAGAGGTCCAAATGGCTAAGCATATGGACACTGTCCAAAGTCAATCATAAAGAGACCGCGAAGTAAAACCACAATATGGTACAGTCATATATTCCCCAGAATGGGTAAAAAGTGAAAAACAACAAATGTTTGCAAGGATACACATCAGGTGGAAATCTTAAACAATGGTAGTGAAACTGGTATACTCCCTTTGCAAAACTCTGTGGGCATCTCCTAACCCTACACACGGGCACACCTGTGACATGGTGCTGCTGCTCCACTCAGAAATGTCCACTTCTACTCATCAGAATACATGCCTGAAGATGCTTAGGACACCTTTCTTCATGGTAGCCCAAACTGGAAACAACCCAAATACCCACAAAGACAATCAGACAGGAGAATACCGTATACCCACGAGAACAAACGAATGTGTGAATGGCCATATGCTATTTGAATCAAGTCCATAAACAAATCATAAGATTGAGTTACTTCAAATTAAAAACAGAACTAAGCTGTTTAAAAGTCAGCAAAGTGGACACCTCTGGGGCTGATAGAGGAAAAAGGGGCAGAAGGGCAGTTCTGAGAATGCTGCTTCTTGATCTCAGAGCTAAGATATTTCTAAGTCATACATGATGGCATGTGTGCTTCTGTGTGGTTGCTACACGTCGATGAAATGGATAAAAAATAAGCAGATTCAACCAAGTGTTCTGAATGGTTTCTTGTTACGGGGCAGCCTCTCCGGCCGGCTTCCACAAAAAGTGCAGACAGTACAGTGGCCCCTTCCACAGCAGTGTGTGCTGCAAACCACTCTCTGCTGCACCCCACATGCAGACCTATGCCTCCTACTCTTCCATATAGACCACAGCTGGGAGAGGTGTGAAACTTCCATATTCAAGTCAGCAGTTCTGCCACACAAATGCTCATTTCCTGTGCTGCACTCCACCACCCAGCACCCCACCCACCCTCAGGAGCCTCTGGCCTCCTCCACATCCTCAGATTCTCTCAACTCTGGCACTCTACAAGAGTCCATCCCTCTGTCTTCCTTCTGCACCTAACCCACCTTTAGGGAGCTAGGAAATGTTAAGACAGCAGCCCCTCAGTTCCCTCCCTGTGTCCTGCTCCCCGAGACGTGGGGGTCTAGGAGGTTACTCTTCATGCCTGGGGAAGACTGGGCTCCTAGCACCTTCAATTTATAAAGCCTCATCACATTTTCCTCTCAGTACGAACACCGGGTATGTCTCGTCAGAGCTTTCTACCAAAGCCCATTTTACACTGAGGATAAGATGACAAGCTCCCACTTCCATCTGTCCACATGCAGACACAGACTGGGGCGAGTTGGCTTGTGATCTTAGAGAAGATACTATCTACCACAAGACACCGACTGTTTCCACTGCCAGGAAAGGAGGCTGTGGCTCAACTGTGCCCTCTACTCTCTGGTCACCTAGATGTACTTGGTTTGAATGAATAAAAACATAACTTGCTACTTCAACAGGCGACTGAGAACGTAAGACCAGAGAATGAAGGAATGACTGCATGTCACTACAGATGTCATCTCTGGCAACTCTGATCTCCACACAAAGCTCAGTACAAGCTGTGCAGGGTAACCTCAGGGAAAATGCAGAGTGAGAGCCTCCGAAAATTCCCTCCTTCATACAAGGAATGAGGAAACAGCAAAAATTGTCAGTTAACCTTTCCAGGACTTTGGATTTACAAAAGGCTTGCAGCAACTGGGAAGCGTTTATTCAACAGAAACTGTAAATCTTTGCAAGAAATACAAACTTCCTGTAATCCCAGCACTCGGGAGGCTAAGGCAGGAGGATTGTTGTGAGTTCGAGCCCAGCCTGGGCTACACAGTGAGTTCCAGTTCAGCCTCAACTACATAGTGAGACCCTGTCTCAAACAAACAAAACAAAAAAAGAAATATAAACTTTTGGTGGTGCACACCTGTGATCCCAGCACTGATGGGGTGGAAGCAAAAGAACTGCCACAGTTTAAGGCCAGCTTGGGCTATAACAGTGGGTACAAGGCCAGCTTGAACTACATAGTGAAACCTTGTCTCAAAACCAAACAAACCCTAAAAAATTAAAAAAGAAAAAAAGAAAAGCAAGCTTTGTGGCCTTCTAAGATGGCCTGGTCCCATTCCTTCCTTTCCAGCCCTTCACTATCCGTGAAAACCAATAGAAGGTAGGCATGGTTTTGTTTTTTGTTTTTCTTTTGTTTCCAGTATCAGGAATTAAACTCAGGACCTTGTGCTTGCAAGGCAGGCATAAGGCACTGAGCTAAATCCCCAGGCTACATGGTTTTAATCCTATGCATGCCCACAGGCACACCTACAATTCCAGCACTCTAGGAGACTTGGGCAGGGGGACTCCAAGTTTGAGCCCAACCTTAGCAAGAACCTGTCTCAAAATTTTAAAAAAAAGGTTAAGGAAGTAGCTCAGTGCACAGGTCCTGGGTTCAATTCCTAGTAGGGGTGCGGGGAAGGATGACAAACAAAGATCACAGTAAAACTCCACTGGTCTGGCAGCCACCACAGGAGACAGAATGGAACTGGAGCTTCACTGAAACCTCATGTCCTCATGTCCCACAGAACAATTATTTGCCATGGCCAGCAGCTTCTGAACACCCAACCCACCTGCAAGGCTGTCCATATTTGTCCTAACTCAAGAGTTCTCCCAGTATAGAAGGCTCCTTTCTTGAGGGCCCGGTGTGAAATCTATTCAATCTTCACTGCCCACAACTGGGTAATAGGCTAACCATAAAAGCTCCAATATCAATCTGGGAATCTATAAGGCTACTTGCATGCCTAGGAAAAACCTAAGAAAGCCCTGAACTCTGACCCATGGCTGACCTTAATATTCAGCACAAACAGGAAGTGAAACTGAAGCAGACTTGTGAACCTCCTGGCCAAGGGTCAAAGATGTGTCCCAGTGATACACACAGCCCCTCAGCCAAGACATAGAGACACCATGGGCTTGGCATTTACAGAAATCCCTGTCCAATAATTAGCTAACCAATAAGCCAATGGAACAGGGACCTCAATGGCCATATATGGCTCTACAGAGATCTTTTTCAGAAAAGTCAACAAGCTATAAACCCTCAGAAGGGAAATCTGACTTCCAGAATGCCATATCCTATTATTTAAATGTCCAGTTTTCCACCATTAAAAAAGAAAAAGAGACATGCAAAGAAAGAAGAAAGTATGGCTCATACCCATGAAAGAAGTAGCCAATGTAAACTATCCTTGAAGAAACTTATACGGGGACCTAACCAGACAGAGTCCATCGCCTCCCTGCATCTGAGGATGGAACCCAGGGTACTCTATCACTGAGCTACAGCCTCAGCTCTTTTTTGTTTGTAGATAGTTTTGATAAGTTGCCCACACTGGCTTCAAGCTTCTGATCTTCCTGCCTCAGCCTCCTGAGTAGCATCCACAGGTGCACTCCACTATGCCAGGTTAGACAAAGATTTAAAATTACCTATTTCAAATGTTTTAAAAGAGCTAAAGGAAACCACATCTAAGTAACTATTATATCTAGATGTCTCCCAAGAACCTCATGTACTCGCCAAAGGGGCTTCTGAAAGGTGACTGGTTTATGATGTGGAAGTAAACAGGGTCTGGTCAGAAGAGGTAGGTCACTGTGGAAATGACCTGGAAGGGTTTATCTCCCTTCCCAGCTCCTCCTTTGGCCCTATTTCCTGGCTGCCATGATGTAAGCAGTATCTCTCCACTCAGGCCCTTCTATGGCACTTCTGCCCTGGAGTTAGCAGACTATGGACTGAAACCTCTAAAATGCTATAAGCCAAAACAAAGCTCTCCTTTAAGTTGTGGGTGTCAGGTATTGTGTTTTAGCAATGGGAAAGTGACTAAGACAAGAACTAAGGGAAAGTATAAAGATAATGTTCTACCAAATAAGAATTCAATATATAGAAATCATTAAAAAAATTATGGAATTGAAAAAATGTATGTAAAAGGCTCAATAGCAGATTCAATCAGGCAGAAGAACAGCAAACTTACAAGATGGGCTAATGGGATCATCCAGTCAGAGGAACAAAAAGAAAAAGAATTTTTTAAAAAATGAATAGAGGCAGAGGGATCTGTTTGGTACCATCAAACCCACAGTGGGTATCCCAGGAAAAGAGGAAGACAAAGGGGTAGAAAGATTACTTGAAGAAATAATGGCCAAAAACTTGCTATATTTGATGAGGCAGGAATCTACACATCTAAGACACTCAACAAACTCCAAGATAAACTCAAAGAGATCTATTTGTACTTAGATGCAACATGATCAAACTGAAAGACAAAGAGAATCCTGAAAAAGCAAGAAGTGACTCATCACAAACACAAGGGAAGCTCAGTTAAGATTTAGAGATTTTTCATCAGAAAGTGTGTAGGACAGAAAGCAACTGGATGACATATTCAATGTGTTGAAGGACAGTCTGCCAACAAAGAATTCTGCATCCAACAAAATTATCCTTCAAAAATGAAGGAGAGGCTGGAGATGTAACTTAGTGGTACAGCATGTGCTGAACACACAAAAGGTTTGACTCCACTAAATAGAGAAAAGGAAAATAAAAAGGAGATACTAAGACTGCAAGAATTCATTACTGTAGAGCTGCTCTATTAGAAATGCTAAGAGGGAGGTGAAGATATAGTTCAGTGAAATAAAAGGACAGTGGATAGTGACTCAAATCGACATGAGGAAAGTAGGACTGATAAAGGTAATTACAAATGTAAATATAAAAGACAAAATAAATATATTTTTAATTTGTACCCTTTTTCTCCCCATATGATTTAAAAGACAACTACATAAGGCAATAATGGTAAATCTGTGGTGACAGGCGCCCAATGAATAAACCAAAAATACTGTATATGACAATGACAGAGAGAAAGGGAGCTATACAGTAGCACAGGTTTATACTGTTGAAATAAAGTTACAATTAGTCTGAATTAAACTTTTTTTTTTTTTTTGGTACTGGGGATCAAACTCAGGACCTTGTGTTTACAAGACAGATAGCAGAAAGGTTTATACTGTTGAAATAAAGTTACAATTAGTCTGAATTAAACTTTTTTTTTTTTTTTTGGTACTGGGGATCAAACTCAGGACCTTGTGTTTACAAGACAGATAGCAGAACCGAGCTAAATCCCGGACCCCATTAGTCCAAATTATATTTCTATACTAACTGTTATATCCAGGGTTACTACTAAGAATATAATTGAAAATACACAGGCAACAACAAGAAAGCTAAAAATGTACAGTCACTACAGACTTCCGCTCATCATCTATCTTCTATTACATCATCTGCTCAAAACGAGAAAAACCTGCATGGCCATTATAGCCTAAGAAAGACAGGATTAAATAGCCCTGTGTATATAGAATGTGGTCATTTATGCTTTTTTCTAAACAGATTACCTTAAATCTGCAGCTATACATTTCCTAGTGTGACATATCTTTTCTAAAAGAAATTTTATTTCATGTCAAAAAATATTACCTTAGGGAGGAAAAGGGAATCACAATAGCTAAGTCTTACAAACTGTTGTTATCACTACATTTTTCTTACCTTCAATATCCAGCAGTGGCTGCTGATTGACAGTAAGTTTGTTCACATCACCATCAAACATTCCAATCAAAGAGGTCTTTAAAATAGCCAACAAAAGCTTCTCTTCGTGCAATAAAATTTGCCTTTTATCTGGAGTAACATTGATATCAACACATTCTAAGGAGAAAAAGAAAACACATTATAATGTTTAAATTCACCTATAACAATAGAAACTTACCCATCTATTTCATTTACTTATTAATAAAAATACTACAAAAAACATTACAGTGTTCAGATTAATATTCATAAATTATAAAATTAGCACTAGGTGTGGCAGCCTACTCCTGCAATGCCAGCATTCTGGGAGGGTGAGGAAGAATCACAGGTCCAAGCCCAGCCTAGGCAACACAGCAAGACACTGTTTCAAAATAAAAAAGGTGGAGATATAGTTCAGTGCAAAGGCCCTGGGTTCCCTCTGCAGTACCATTATCAAATGAATGAGTAAAATTTTTAAATAAAAATAGCTTTTCCAAATAAACAAAGAAAACATGAACTATTTTTTAAACGATTAACATATGTAAAGATTTGAATGGGTACGTTGTGCTGAGTGTGGTAACACATGGCTGTTACCCCAGCAGTTGGGAGGCTGAGGCAGGAAGATTGCCATGAGTTCAGGGACAGCCTGGGCTACACAGTGAATTCAAGGCCAGCCTGAAATACAGAGCAAGACTCTGTCTGAAAAAAAAAACAAAACACAAAACAACAACAACAAAGTTGAACAGGTACACTGTACTAGAAAACACATGAAAATGTCTAAGAGAAAAAATACAAGATGAAGTATTTTTATCCCCTATTGAATTTAGTTTTAAAATGGTGGTGGCGCACGCCTATAATCCTAGCGCTTGGGAGGCTGAGGCAAGAGGATCGCTGTGAGTTCGAGACCAGCCTGGGCTACATATTGAGTAGTGAGTTCCAGGTCAGTCTCAGCTACGTAGTGAGACCCTATCTCAAAACACCCCCCCACCAAAAAAAGCTAGTATAGTGTTAATAAATGTGTGAATTGGTACAATATGCCTAGAATGCAATACAGAAAAAGCCTTAAAATGATCATATTCACTTTCCCAATTCCACCATAAGGAATTTACTTTAAAGATACAGACAATAATTTCATTACTAGGGAAATATTTATAATTTCTCAAACTGAAACAAACTGAAAACTGAAAACAAATATAGAAGAACAAAAGAATTAGTGGGCTGGGGATGTAGCTCAAAGCTAGAGCACTCGTCTAGCATGTATCAGATCTTACCTTTGATCCCTAGCACCAAAAACAAAAAAAGATTTTAAAAAATCAGAGTGTGATCATGGACTGGAACACTGGAATTTAATATAGGCATTAAAGTCATGTTTCTTAATATTAATGACATGAAAAAGAAAATGTTGGGTAGAGGATGGAGCTTAGTGGTACCATGCCTGCCTGGCAAGCACAAGGTCCTGAGTTTGATCACTGGTACCAAAAAACAAAAACAAAAAGAAAATGTTCACATCTAAGGATAAAGAACAGGATACCAAATTATTTTCTCACCCCAAAGGCTAAGTGTGGTGTGTATATTCTAAGGTAAGCACGTATATATTTCTAAGACTCTAGAGAAAGTAGATGACAATATGTCAGAATTTCAACAATCAGAACAAAGTACGTAGTATAAACTTAATTATTTTCAAAATCAGGGAAGTCTATCTTCTCCCTTCAGTGATGTTAAAAAAGTGACATTTTCCTACTAATACAACTGAGATGGTTTCAAATAGAAAACAGAAATGTATAAAAATCAAAATTATTCTCCTTCCAGTCACATCCAAACTTTATAATTTCATTATATTCTTTAAAAGTAAGTTACCAGGGCTGGGGATTTAGCTCAGTGGTTCTACCGCCTGCCTCGCAAGTGCAGGTCAGTCCCTAGTACCAAGAGTAAGTCAGCAAGTTTATTGAATTCTCAGTACCTGAATCAACAGAAATGTTAAGAACAACGAAAGGATATTGATGTCGATTATACATGTGGTAGACCTCGTTCACAAGTCTGGAGACCTGTCCAAAACAACAACAGAAGAATAAATACTCCCTTCTCCCACTATTGTAACAACACACTATTCTAATCCAACACCAAAAGGATCAACTTTTCTTAAATGTACACAGCTTTACTGAGATATGCTTTATGTGCAATAAAGTGCACATATTTAATATTTTATTTACTAGTACATATTTGTAGTACATAATGATTACATTCATTTAGGAAATAAGCACATGTACATAACACACCTTAATTATTTTTTTTTTTTTAAGTAGAAAAAATGTATTGAGAGAAAGAAAGTTTCTAAGAGAGACAGAAGGGGGACCAGAAAAGGGGTTGCCCCCATCTTAATTCTTTTTATTCCCCTTCCTCTCTCTTCATCTCTAGATCCCTTTCCCATGTAGAAAAGACCTAGATCTATGATCAAAATATGTTGTTTTTGTCTTTTCCTTTGCTTTTTATTCTTTGGGCTTCTCATACAAGAGAAGTTATGTAATATTTGCCTTTGTGTCTAATACACTTAACTTGGTCTTAAGGTAAACTGCACATATTTGAAATGTACCATTTGATAACACACACACACACACACACCTAAGAGAGTATCCCATAATCAATATATACCCATTACTCAAAAGTTTCATGTCTCTCAAAGTGATATTTTTTAATCACAGACTCCTAAAATTGAAACTTTTTCAGATGCTCTTTTAAAGATCTTTTCAGATCTTTTTTTAAGATGCTTTTTATCAAATTTTAATAAAATGCAGGTACAGTTTAAATGTTCAGAAAACACATTTAAATGTACTTAGAAACACATTTCTATGACATTATGAGATTAAATGGCATTAGAGGTAAACCACAAAATCATACCAATTACAATACAGGTTGTAAACTTTTATTAGAGGCTAAATCACATCTTTTTTTTTTTTAAAGAAACCATTCCTTTCTTTATTAAACATAGCTTATAAGCACATCTTTTAGCTATAAGGAAAATTTTTTAAATGTACTTTTATTAGTGCCTATTAATTTTACAAAATAGTTTCAATCTGACATACCTCCCACCCTCCTACCCTTCCTTTTTTCTGCTACAAGCAAATAAAACAAAAAATACTACTGAGCCACAGAGTTGCTAAAGATGTAAAAGGCAAAACTGAACTACTTAAAACCCATGTACATAACTCTATTTAAGACAATGAGTTTTTAGTCTGAGGCAGAGGTAATCCAGGCCCTTATTTTCTGGAAAATGGAGAGAAGGAAGAGAAAATACAGAAATACATGCATGTGATTGATCTATACTGAAAAGTCTAGATGATAGCAAATTTAAACATTTCCTCTCTTCGGTGATAATTTCTATGATAATGAGTACACTGGTGATTAATAGGTACTTGATACATTTATGTATGTATGCAAACATATGTGTATGTGGTACAAATACAATTGAAAGAACCATGTACTTTCTTAAATGCATAAAATGATTTTTAAAGCCATGTTTCTGAGTCAGTCCCATGTTCCATGTAAATTACTTGTATACAAAAAAATTCATGAAATAATTCAGAAACAAAAACTCAAAGATACAAGCATAAACAAATACAAAACATGTGTAAATACCTTTGCTGGGTCACAAGGACGCCGGTTGATGAAGAAAAACTGTCTGTCTGCTGCACTCCTCCCAACACCATGTGTTCCATGTGAGATGAAGCCTGAGATACTGTTCCAGGGGACACAGGGTTAGAACACTGAGCACAGGACAGGCACAGTCTTAAAATCAACTAAAAACACCTGCTCAAGTGCTGGGGATTATTAGGTTCATGTGCACTTGTGCTTCATCCTGAGGAATCACAGACAGCCCAGATGTTCTGAATGCCCCAAAACTTAAGCAGTCAAAACTCTCTTGGAGGCAACGCAAGTGGTTCACAATGAACTTGGCCCAGCCCTCCCTTCACACGCCCCATTACAACTTGGCCTCCATGTCAGGACCCGGCCCACATCCGATACACACTTCAAGCCTTCGTGCTGTCCCCTACCAGCTTGCCAATGGAGTCTCTAACCACTCACTAACAGGATCTTGATCCACATCCCAACTTCAGTCACCAAATGTACATCTACTAAGTTGCTGGTGACATGCATGCTTTATATGATCACCCCCAGAATGCCTACATTTTCATAACTTTAACATGAAGAAATGAATTTCCATCTTTGTTATTCTGCACATGAGCCAAAGTAGGCAAAGAGTAGGGGGTATGAATCTTCACAAGGTCAGTCCTGCTCAGACTGTATCTATTTTTTGCACAGTGTCTAAAAACAAGGATGCTGGACTATCTTCATCAGATCTTCAAAAAGTCAAACACTACAGATAAAATAAGTTAAAAATTATTCTAACTGAATAGCCTTGACAAAGACTAATTCAGAAGGAAGCCCCCTGCCGCAACGTAGCCAAAATATTATATGAATTAAGTACCTAAGTCTTTTAAATCCTTTTTCTCAGCAATGAAGATGCCCAGTTTTACATAGGACATAAAAAATATAACAGCCATAGTGCTCACTTTGGCAGCACATATACTAAAAAAAATAAGCCTTAAAATCACTTAAAAAATAAAAATAAAAAGACAACACCCTTGGCTGTCTCCTGGCAGCAATCTACTTACTGAAACAGATCAGGCAGCACATCAGAACAGCTCAGACTGTACTCTTCACAGACAGAGTCACTAGGGGGCAGCTGAACGAAAGGAATGAGGCTTTGCAACTGAAAAAAACCAAGCACCATGGTTATTTCCTAATAAACACAGAACAGACCAACACTCAGAGAAGATGTGTTTCCCAGCCAAGCTACCAGCTTTAAAAGCACAAAGAAATTCATCAAAGAATCTTGACAACTGCCTTACAAGTACCATAAAAGGATTGTATTTTTTACTAAAGTATGTTTATAATCAACATAATGTCTGTGATACTTTGTTTTGTTCAAGTACAGAAGAGAATTAAGGATGCAATTTTCAAATATTAACTTTGTGACAAGTATTTAAAAAAAAAAACAAAAACAATTATTAAGGCTGGGGATGTAGCTCAGTGGCAGCATGCCTGCCTGGCAAGTGCAAGGTTCCGAGTTTGATCTCTGGTACCAAAAAAAGTTAAAAAAAAAAAGTTTTTTTTTAAAAAAGCTCATATTTTATTCTCACTCTACTAAAAAGGACAATGAAACCTGTCATAATCATAACAATATTTTCAAGAACTGGCCACCACTACCTGCTTCTGCCCAAACACAGAGCTGATATTCTCCTTCAGGCTGGTGCTGCCACTTGTGCACACCACAGGCTGCCGCTTTGCTTGTCCAAGTTGATTGGTACAACTTACTCGAATGCCTGCTGAAATGATACAGTACGCATGTAAGACCTGGACCATTTTGGCATACTCCTATTTAAAAAAAAACAAACACAAGACTCAACATTAATCTTACAGGAATTACATGACTCAAGTTACAAGATCCAATTCAAGGTTCTCACATCATTTTGAAAATAAGGGAAAGAATTATTATTTTTTCCTTTAATTGAGTTTATTGGTACATTTTATGGATACAGTAGTTACATTCATTGTTGGGATCGTGTACCTCTACATGATAGGTCTTGGTTCTCATTTTCTCCCCTTGTCCCTGCCCTCCCTGAACCCCCTCCTGCCCTCCCCATCTACAAACACTTTATTTCCATCTTTTCATTATCACACATTTTTTTCTTTCCCCTTATTACCCTTCCCCTACCTATCCCACCTTCCCTACACCTTTAGCCCCTTTCTTCCCATTTCACAATGTCAGTAATCTTATTAAGATTTTATGTATTATTGCAGTTTATTCACACCAGAGAAACTATTCGGTATTTACACATGTGTGCCTTATTTATTTCACTTAGGAGTATATCTTCAATATGTATCCATTTTCCTATGAATGACTCCATTTTCTCATTCTTTATGGCTCAGTAATATTCCATTTTATAGAAAAACCACATTTTCTTTATCCAGTTTCCAACTGATGGGCAGACGGGCTGTTTCCAAGTTTTAGCTATTACAAACTGTGCCGCTATAAGCATGGATGCGCATACATCACTGTGATACGATTCTTTTAGTTCTTTTGGAAAGATAACCAGCAGAGGGATGGCTGGGTCAAATGGAACCTCCAGTCCAAGCTCTTTTAGGTATCTCCATATTGATTTCCATAGTGGTTGCACCAGTCTGCACTCCCACCAACAATGGAGAAGGGTTCCTTTCTCCCCACAACCCCGCCAACATTTGTTATTGTGTGATTTCTTGATAGCAGCCATTCTTTGTGGGGTGAGGTGGAATCTCAGTGTTGTTTT